AGGACAGAAATCAGGAGTCGAGTGCGTCTCCGCAGAGAGCGCCTCAATCCTAGGCGAGCTAGCGCTCGACGCTGGCATAGCGAAGTGCGTGCTCTGGGTCAGGAGGTGCAGGTTGTGGAAGCTATTACTGGGCTGCGATTGGCCGCGCGAGTGGCTAAGGGTTGGGCCGTGGCCAGAGGGAGTGGGCGTGGGGCCAGTGATGGAACCCGAGTGCGCGACCCGTGGAGCTTGGTGCAGAGGCAATTCCGGCGCGGAGGCTAGTCGGTCTCTGAATTGGCGCTGCATTTGGATGGTGTCGGGCACTGTGGGTTGCTGCATCATGCTTTGCTGCCACATTTGCACTTGGTCGGTGGGGGTTTGGCCCGGGGTGGGGACTTGCTGTTGCATGGCCCAGTTCGGCATTTGGGTGTTCCATGCTGGGGTAGTGGTTTGCTGATTCACGTACTCTGGGATCTGGGCTGAGTTGGGGCCTGTTGAAGGGGTGACCATTGAGTATGGCGCCTCAGAGCCGGGCATACAGGCCATGTAGGAGTTGGCGTTGTTGTCGAAGGATGTTGCTGGCGAGAGGATGTAGCCGTCGCCTGTTGCCAAAGGGCTTCCCATGGAGCTTGAATCTTGCGAGAAGGACGAGCGGATGTTGGTCAGGTCCAGGCTCATTTTGCGAGGGCCACCATCCGCTGATGGGCGGGGTGTATAAGTGCTCGCTCGGCGGTTGGCGATTGAAGATCCAGGAGACGGACGATTACCAAAGGCTGCTATCAGATGGCGGTGGAACTGTTGTTCGATTTGCATGTTCTGAGCTTGCAGCATGCGGATACGCTTCTCTGCGTAGCGCTCGTCGACTTCCTCATACATGGCTTCTCTTTCGACAATCTCCTTGGTGATGTGAAAGCCCTTGCCTGTGCGTTTCTTGTGCAGCATAGAGGCCCTGTTGGCCGATTCTAGCCGTGCATCCAGGCTGCGATCTTTTCGCCGCGACGCAGCGATAAAGGCTCTAGTATATGGTTAGCAAGGTCTTGTATCAATTGGAAAGTACATACCTCTCCTGATTCTCCTCCCGCGAGCGGGGGATCGGGGTGATATCGGCGTCCATAACTAAAGGCAGTATAGATGTGCAGAAAAGAATATGTACGGGCGGGGGCACTTAAATATAGAGGGGCAGGTGTCAGGCCCTCTCTAAGCTTAGGACCAGAACCATGGATTTCAGACGATCATAGTTTGGCTACTTAAAAACCTTCGCCCACCGCGATCCATGGTTGGCTCTTGCCCTCTTTACTAACGTTCCAGCCTGCGACTACCAATACGAGTACCATTCGCGGGCCTCCCTGCGCCGCCCCCCGGATACTTCTTCCTGTGCAGGTAAGCTGCAGATTAATACCCCGTTTTGTTGAAATGAGTCTAGACTTCAATTTATCAAGATCTGAACTTGGAAAGTGGGGGGTTACTCCAGATCTGTTATGTTACCGTAAAGCCCAAAAAGCCCTGCAGATCAAGCGTTAACCGTTGATCCCTACCTATTCTTACATTTCTGTTACTTTTCCTCTGACTTTTTTTCCTATCTCGCAGAGCCAACCAAATACTACTGTAGGGTGCTCTGGCACACGTGATAGCCGGATCGGGCTTTCGCTTGGAGCCGCACCCTTTACACGATGTTGAAGAACCCAAGGCAATCTCAATATTCGATAGGTTGGACCTGCATCACCTCCGATCGGATCTGCCGTAGTCTATTCTCTCGGAGATATGCATCGATCGACGATCCTCGACGGACAACGGTCGGCCATGCATCTTACGATCATCACCTGCCTATAAGAGTAGTGAGCGCGAGTTTTAATCAATGGATCCATTCCCATGTTCTGTCTTACGGCATTGCCGAGGGTTCTCGTCTATCTAACGGTGTACTTCCGCGTACTGGTGAATACCCGGGACGTCTTCCAAGGCGACATCATTCAGCCTAAAGGTTCTCCATTTGCACCGCCACTTGGATCAGGAGATGTTGGACCTGCAGGCGTATCTAGCCAGGTCTAGCCGAAGATTGGAGAAGGTGCTGGGGTCCATTGTAAACCGGAGTAACTTTTCTACAGCAACTCTCTGGTATATGGTTGGTCGCAGTTGACCCGGCCACTCAGCCCTGCGAGACAGAACTTGACCTCGGTTCTAGTAAGCCATGTTCAGCTCAGCTACCTAATACAGCCTAACAGTCCATGGAGAGTACCAACGCCATATCGAGGCCAAACTCTCGAGGCACGCCACCGGTCTAGCCCTCCTTATCGCTTATCGTCCGGCCGAAACTAAGCCACTTCAGGCAATTGCCACTTGGACTTAAAGAACATAACAAATGTTGTAGTATTGGCAGTTTGAGGGCATTTATGTTCTAGATCTGACCTTTAAAGCTACATGAACTGCTAAATTGCAATTATCTCGGCTGGACTCGGCAATCCAGCCGATCGATCCCACCGATCTTACAACGCTCAAGCATTGGTTTTCGGTCTCGATGCATGCACTACGCCGCAGTAGACGGTTAATAGGTCGAGTGTGGCTCCATCTGTCTCAATTTTCAGCCATATCGCTTGACAAATTCCTTCGTAATAATCCAGCCACATGCTTAGGGCGCAGAGGCCATGTGAAAACGGACATGGGGTGTTCTAATTGGCTCATCCTATCTATACATGTCTATCTCAGCTGTACTAAATACAGTATCTCGTCTATTCACCCAGCCAGCACCAGGCATTCCCTCAAGGGCTTTCTGGGCTGTTATAGTCACTCGTGATATGCCCTGTCTACAACACGCCAACACCACATGTCACACCGCCATATCCAAGCCCTCATCTCACCCGCACCACCGACTAACTTCCAAGAGAAACCACCTAATCTAATCCCTCGGAACCTCAAACCCTCTCAAAAAGCCTGCCAATCTCCTCAATGCCCAGGCCCCTCAATGCTCCAAGGATCCCATCAACAACGACCCCCTCCAACCCCTCCCTCCGTCTCAAATAAACCTCAATACCCGCTGGCGCGAAAACCGTCTTCGCAAAATAAGTCATAACCCACTCATTCCCATCGTCAGCACGCCCCAAGCCAAGACACTCCCAGGGGGAACTAGCAATGACAACCAAACGCCCCTCTCCCCTCCGCGCCAATCCCATGCTCCAGTAGCACCGGGCGTTGGCGTATCAATCCCACGCATAGATTTTAGTTTTGAGGAGTTAATACCCTGATATTGGACTAGGTCGTCGAGCTTGGCTATCCCGCTTGGTGAGGGGGCAGGGGCCTGTAGGTTTTTTCATGTTGCGTTTGTTTTTCCGGAGGGGAGGCTGGTGTGGGTTACATGCCAGGTTCCTGTTAGGAAATTGTTTGTTGGTGGGATGCATTTGTAGTAGTTTGGTATGTATTGGATGTATTGGATGCGATGGTTGATGGTGGTTGATAGGGGAGTGTGCGATAAGGTACACGTTGGGTGATCGCTACCCGACGTGGTTGAGATGTCAACAATATCGTGTATAGGATATTAGAGGTCTACTGGTGTTTTACTGGTATGCTTTAGTTGTTTTGGCTCGAGGGATACTGTATCATATCATTAGGGCTGTAAGTGTAGATGTACAGATGTTTAGTAGAATAAAAGAGGAGCAAGGGAAATAGATCCTATAGAAGCTTATGCATATCTGAAACAAAATGAGGGGAAACGGTGGCGCAAGCTTCAACATCCCTGTCATTATGCGTTGGCACTATACTATCTAGTTGCATACAAGGCGTGCCATAGCCCGGCGCTATCTGGGTCCACGTAAGTATACAGTCAAGAATATTGGGAGCTGTAGTTCGCACAGCTCTTCGACCTGTCTCTAGAACAACGATGGTTATACAATTATCAGCAAGATATAGCGGTACAGTGTACACTGCTATTTTGCTAGAATCGGACTTTTCGAAACCCCCTCGAAATTGCCAAGGAATGGAATAAAAGGGTTGGAGGTCGGCCGTTTTGATATGTATACAAGCGACGTGAGAGACCATTGTTTCTCCCAAAGCTTTGGGCTGCAACAATTACTTTGTGTCTCTGCAAGCTACTCATCATACAAGTACCCGCAATGTAATAATCAATGTCCCATACTGATACAATGCTCTCCAACCTGTAAGCTTATCTACGCATAAGCAAGAGAAGACGAAGATGATAATTTGCTGAGGGAACTATGTACCCTCCATGTCCTCCTGATGGCAGCCATCCGTGTCCCGATACCATGTCGCATACCCTTCCTGCCTGTCTCAATCGTAGAACTGGTCAGACTCGCTCTCGAGCCTTCTCTGCAGTGTCTCTCTCATCACGCCTCCATCCACGCTGCGTTGTTCATGCTGATGGACAAACAGGACGTCATACATCTCCAGCTTAGTGCTTCCACGCTGCATGTTGTTGCGAGTGGATAGCCTCGTCAAGCAAATAAATTGAAACAGAGAGAGCAAATACATTCTGCTAGATACTATAATAGGCTATTCTATACAGTACAATTACATTCCGATCCTTCCCAGACCCACACCTTAAAATCAATCCTAACCCACACCCTCTACAGTACCCACAAGAGTGAGACAGAGACCGGAGAATAATCGGAATCACTTCTCCTCAGGCTCGACAAACATCAATATACCCGGCCGATCATTTGGATGATCCAGGTCGTTTCGTTCCGCCGCTATAGCATTCATCTGATGTATGAGTCGGAATACCAAGGCTGTGACCTGAACGGCGTGATTGTATACCATGAAGGGAATTCGTTACTGGGGAGGTGATAAGTGCCGATGGGGTCATATTTCTCCGCGGGTTTGATCTGATTTCTAATATTTTGGGTTCGCGGTAGTATAGGTATGTGACTGTGGTAGAACTAGCTTTTTGGTTCTTTGCGAGTTGTGTCGGGTTCACTTGGGTAGGAAGTGATTAGGGTTGGGGTACATGTATATAACAGTTGCCGAGGTCTCTGTATGTTGCTTTGTACTATCTAACAAGTGAGGGTTCAATAGGACCCTACGATACTTGCTAACTCGCTAATCCTATTAGCGTTCAAATGTTGGTAGGACCTCTACCGAAACTTAATGTAACGAATCTTTCAAACATTTTCCTCCGCCTTTCTCAAGCGAGTAAGTAGTACAGGTAATGAAAGCTTGATCTTCTTTATAAACAGCATGAATAAGGACGCTAAGTTCTCAATGGGCGGAAAGCCAAGTGGGGGGAAAACACATCAAGAGCAGGGGGAGGTTGCCGTGGGGCTGGAAGCAGAGCAGCAAGTTGCAGTACTGAAACCAGACAGGACCGAAAGCAATGCAACATCTAAACAGGATGCTGTCTGCTCGGTTCTTCCGAGCCTACTTCGGACCGCTCTGGGCCCGTACGGCGGATCGAGCTAGAGCATAGACAAAATTAAGACCTGATTTTGTGGTCCGCAGTTTGTCTAGGAGATGCCTAGAGGTGGCACCATGCCCTGTTCCTCGCGGGCCTCGCCACCAAGCTTGTAGGACACCTTGAATCGGATTTTCACCGAATTGCCCTTTCCTGCATCGATGCCGTCCATGAGCATTTCTTGCTGGACGCCGTTCTGCTGTCCGGGGGCAATGTCTCGGCCTGATTGCGGGCGGAGTTGTAGGGTGTAGGACTAGAGATTGTTAGTAACTCATTATGAGGAATGAGGAAGAAAGAGACTGTAGCTTACCTTCTCCACAGCAACCTGGAAGTGGAGCTCTCCAATGGGTTGGCTGGTTGGGTTTGAGAAGACGGCCACAACGTGGATTTGACGTGGCTGGTTTGGCACTCTGCGCGCAGCAAAGTCAACGAGAAGCTGGGAGTTGAGAACTTGGATCTTGTTTGTCGTGGGGAGTGCATTGCTGGCTGGCAGGGAAGAAGCGAAATCCCACTCATCATCAGCTTCGGCCTTCGCGGCCTGCCGCGCCGGCTGCGGTGACGAACTGGGACCTCCGACCAGATCAAGCAATGACGAGGAGGCTGGAGCTGGATGGCTTTGCGCTGAGGGCGGTTGGAATGGACTAGATCCCGCCCTAGGACTGGCAGAGACGAGCGATGCAAATGGATCGGCTGGCGGCGGGGTTGCCGTGGACTGGGCTTGGGGTGATGCCCTCATGGCGGGTGTTGGAGATTGAGAAACAGGTCGCGAACTGTTCATGGAAGCAAGGATATCATAATTAGGTTTGAACGATGCTGGCATCTGCTGAGGCTGTGTGATAGGCGGTGTTGAGCCTGCTGGCAGGGATGGGAAATTGTCTGCAATACTGTTAGTGACAAGGATTGGGATTTGCAATGGGCATTACTTACTGGAAGGTCCGAGGGAGATACCACCGCCGGGAGAGGGGGCTTGTTCACCTAGTGAAAGGCCGAGAAGGTCATTCTCCAAGGAGCTACCACCCTGGGATAGGCCGGCCTCGTTACCGTTAGAACTTGGTTGAGGCTCTGGGTCAAAGTCGATAAGAGAGAGCTCGTTGTTGGCATTTGTGGAAACTCCAGTCGTAGTACCGAGTGTTCCTTTAGGAATCCTAGCTGCGGCATCCAAATCACCCTTCTTAACCAACTTATACCGCTCGATTGTGCGGTGTATGCTGTCGTTAATCTCCAGCAGCTTGTGAACGGCCTCGGGGTCTTCCGATTCCTCTTCGCACATCTTCTGGATCTTGGGGTGGGCACTTTGCAAAGCGTTCGCAAGCTCCTAATCGAGATAGGATGTTAGAGTCGATACTATTGTAAAATAGCATGTATTGGTTAGATCACGCACCTCGAACACGTCGCCTTCAGGGAGAGCTTCCCCAGGCTGTTGGTTTTGTAGCATCTCCTCCAAAATTTTAGCTTTTGCTGCACCTTGGACACTTCTTCCGCCGCCTTGGCCCGATAATCGGTCTTGTGCCGATTGTCGAAACCAGCCATAACCTTCATAAGCCGGTTGGCTTCCTGAAGGTCGGCAGGGGTGCCCCTGCGAATCAGCTCTTGGAGCTTAGCAGATTGCGCCTCCTTCTCTTCCTCCTCCATCTCATCAGCCGAGCGGAGATTCTAGAACTGTTAGCTCAATCTTGACGTAATAACAAGATCCGGTGCACATACATCACTCGGGTTCAAGACAGCAGCATCCTCTCGGCGTACCTCCGGGAACATGTAGCCCTTGTACAGCAAAAGACGATGCATGTCCCGAATGAAACCCAAGTCCTCCTTGTAGCGCGATGTTTGGCAGATAGTCTGGCGCCACTCCTCGATCGACTCCAAGATGCGGTGCTGGACCCGGGAGGGTCGCATAGGCGGCCGCTCGGGGAACCTGCGAACCAATTCATTCAGGAACTCCTTTGTGCTGATCTGGAGATGGAACGGGTATCCGCAGTTCTTGACGCAAATGTCGAGTAGCTATTGCTGGTCAGTCTCCTTGCGCCAGCTGTCATTTGAGCTCCCCACGTACCGCCAAGGCTAGCAACGCGACATTCTGGTTTCGGGAATTGATAAGATGAACGATGTCGAATGCCGATTCTCGAGGTCTATGAGAACGTTATGAGTATGCGCATCCCTGCCAACATTGGTGTCCAACTCACGCATTGCCTTTCTTGGAGTTGATTAGGTCTGCAACTTCGAGGTTCAGGGCCAGGTTGGGCTCGTAGTTCTGGGGATCGCATGCATTTCCTGGAAAAAAGCATATATTAGCTTAGATTCTTCTATATTTCTTCCAGTTCATGATCAATACTCACGGATTGCCCGCTGCAGCGGCGAAAACCCCGGCTCAGGGTAGGCCCCGAAGCGGTCCCTAGCCGCCATTCGTGCTGAGGCAGCCTCCAGGATGGCGGTATGAATAGGAATAAGAAACAGAGATCGAAGAGAGAGACGAAGTTGGGGAAGATGCAATCGAGCAATGCGATATGTGTACAATGATGGGGGGGCTGAGGCGGGCGGAGAACCCGTTAGTTTGCACGTGTGGCTCTTGTGCTTGGCCTTGATCTTTTTTCCTTCTTTCGCGACTCCAGTTGACTTCAATTTGCATTGATTAACAGTTATTTCTCACATACAATGGTCCGCCACAAGAAAGACAACTTCTCGCGAGGAGGCAAGAAATTCAACCCCCGCCCTAAGCCAGTGCCCCGCGGCAATGAAGATACTGAGGGTGCTGTCTCGTCGCGGCCAGCCTACAAGGCCGCTTGCTGGGATATGGGACACTGCGACCCCAAGCGATGCTCCGGCAAGCGATTGATGAAGCTGGGATTGATGCGGGATCTCCATATTGGCCAGCGCCACCCCGGCGTGATCATCTCGTAAGTTTCGCATCGCATTTTTCTTGGCTAAAAATACTAACGACCCACGGCCAGTCCAAATGCAAAGCGGATCGTTTCTCCTGCAGACAAGGAGCTTATGGAACAACACGGTGCGGCAGTGGTCGAATGCTCCTGGGTGCGCGTCCAGGAGGTGCCTTGGTCGCGGATTGGCGGAAAGTGCGAAAGACTCCGTATGTGATTCAGTCGGACACCTACGAGGCTTATTGAAAGCTGACTATTCTGGCGCACAGTTCCTTACCTTATCGCCGCCAATACGGTCAACTACGGCAAGCCATGGCGTTTGAACTGTGTCGAGGCGCTCGCCGCCTGTTTCGCTATTTGTGGCCGTCTAGAGTGGGCTGAGGACCTCCTCAGGCATTTCAGCTACGGACAATCTTTCTTGGATATTAACTCAGAGCTTCTTAAGCGCTACGCCGCTTGCGAAACCGAGGAGGATGTCAAAAACACAGAGACAGAATGGCTTGCCAAGATCGAACGGGAATATGAAGAAAACCGCGCAGACGGAGGCGACGATATCTGGACTACTGGAAACACCAACCGGTTACCGGCACGGAACTCTGACGATGATGATGACGACGACGACGAAAGCGGAGAAGAGGGCAGCGAAAAAGAAGGAACCGATCAGGAGGAAGAGGAAGACAAAGACCCATTTGCGATTTCCGATGACTCCGAAGACGAAGAACAAATGGCAGAGATTCGTCGCAAAATCCTCAATTCGAAGTCTTTCCAGAACCCAGAAGCCGAGGAGAAACAACAACCCGAGAAAATCGCTCGTCCTGAGCAGCTGTACGTTGACTCGGATGCTGAGTCTGGCTCTGCAGGAAGCGAGGATGAAGCATTTGACAACATCATCAATGCGACTACGGTCACTGACCGCACCGGAATCAAAGCAATCCAGCAGCGGAAAGGAAAAGAAACCGTCACCGCCTCGTTCTCTCGGACCGAACTTTCTGCACCTAAGAGATGGTGAGGGAATATCGTTTTCCTGGATTCATCCATATAAGTTGAAATTCTATGATCAGCCCACAGTCTTGGGAGCAAGGCATCCAAACACCCGACAGAGAAACACTCATATCAGATGCGCTGGGTCCGCTTATTCGAGAACTGGGTCGCCAGGCCACCGAACATGGCCCAGCCCCATTCCAGTCTGAAAGATTTGTCTCCGCCCAAAAGCGCTTCCAATCGGACAATTCAAGCGTCTACTACAATTTCCTACTCGCAAGTGCGTCAACTCCGTGACTACCAGCACATGCACACCTGGAGGTAGCATTGCTGTGAACCTCTAAAATTGCATATTTTATGATTCATGTCCCCGATATTTTCTCAAGGTGCCTCATGTATGGCAAACGGCTTGGGAAATAAACCGAAAAGTTCATAGGTTCATTAAATTCGATCAGAATTCTCTTTGGTGCAGTTGCTAGTTATAGTTCGATATGCGATCCCGAAGAGTACAATTGCGCACTATAGGAACCGGAGCAACACCATCCTCCCCAATGACTCAGTGACTCAGTTCTTTACTTGACCCTCCCTTTACTTTTCGTCCGCCTCCTACTCTTACTATCACCTTTCATAGCATTTACACTCAAACTAGCGCACTACAACACAAAATGCCTACTGAATTCTTGCCTTGTGATGCTGTCAACAGGACAGCTGGCCTAGGACAGCATGGAGCAGAGGCTTTTTTCCAGCTAAAGGAGCAGCAAGCAAAGTTTGAATGCGAACTCGAGAAAGAAGGGAAATGCAGGCCCGCTTTACGAGACGACATGGTGAAACGTTAGATTCGGTCTATACCTACATTGAATGGTTGAGCGATCCGCTACATGAAACTTACTATCATGGAAACTTGGACCACACCTGGGAGCCTATTGAGACTATGCAAGATGAGATGGAAGAAAAAGCGCCAGCCTTGTTGGAGGAGCCTGAGGAACAGAACAGAACGATTTCTGATCTGCGAGGATCTCAGGGTGTCTTTCTCTCGTAGTTCAAAGAACAAAACGAGAAGATGAATTCTCAGCTCGACAGCCAGATCTCTAGCCTTACTGACCAAAACGCAAAGCTGGCATCCAAGCTGGGAGAACAGACCAAGTTGACAAATGCGCTGAAACAACAGGGCAAGCTAAAACAGGCCCTTCACGAGCCCTGTGTGCTAATGATTGATGGGCTCGAGTACCAACAAGAGCTAACCGGCAACGTAAGACATTTGAAAACAACATGCACCTGTTTGAAGCAAGCCACAATGATGTTGTTAACATGTTTGAAACAATGGAGACTTGGATATCTGGAGATCTCGAGCCGCTGATGCTTCAAGACGAAGACGATAGTCTACGATTCACGCTAGAGGAGGCCGAGATCTTGCCCTTGGGTTGTGACCGCCCACCAACTGTCCGTGCCCTTTCAAGCAAGTTCGATAAACAGGCCAAGAAGATCCATTAGCAGAAAATCAAACTTTTCGGTCAAAAGCGAGAGCTTAGTGAGCAGGAAACTCGATTCCAACTACAAGAAAGGGCCTTGTATAGACATTCAAACGAGACTGAGCAGCAGACGAAGAAAATCGAAAAACAAACATTGGAAATTGACTACAGGAAAGCAAAACTCGAAGGCATTCTCCTCGTTATCCTAGCCTTTGACAAGGATGGCTCGATTGATCCCATATCCCAGGATCCCCAACGCCACCAAAACCTGATCAAGAAAGCAAGTCACAAAATCAATCCTTTCGAATACTAACTCTACAATACCAGACAGGAGGTTTTCTGCGCGTATCTCTAGAGGGATGATGTTATCAGCGCAGAAGCCGCTCACAGCATGGTCGATACCAGACGACGACAGATCACTGCGTGCACATGTCAGAGATCGATGCACGAATGTTCCGACGCAGAATGGACGACTGGTCCCGCTGTTTGCTAGCTTTTCGTGCCGATACTTCACGTTGTATCAAGGTCTTTCTCGTTGTTCTTTAGTAACTTCATCTACCTTAGGAGATCACGCGATTACCCCTGTAATCTAATAGGGTGCTAGCGTGGGTTTGTACAAAGTAGGATTATTTGCATGAGGGTGTATTCTGTATGATCTGCGTGTCGTTAGCATATCAATCTTACAGATATAGAGTTGCGGAGATATAAGTATCCTATGCAAGGGGTAACGGGATGGTCTCTACGATTTGGGCTTGAACTTAGACTAAGTCTATTCAAAAGAGATATACTGATACAAGAACTTGATATTCTATTCGCTAATTTCACCTGAATACTCCATGCCGCCAAGATACTATGTGAATATCTTGTTCCCCTTAGGTCACATGGTATCTCGACCTCATGGCCAAATCATGTGTAATTTTCTCTGTGTAACTCGGCTTGGCTACTTGGCTTCGGAGTCATGTTTGCGAAATATCAAGTTTACACCGTTTATCCCAAAACCATGACGATCGTTGACGTATACTGTAGGTATCAGGTGGGAACTGCAGGTGTGGGCACGAGGGGTCGAGGGGGTTCATGCAGGATGTTACCACGAACCGAACCATATGCAGGGTATCGATGCATGTCTATTCCGGAAGATCTTATGGGATGCATGGTATATGAGCGATGTATAGTCCAACTCGCGGCATTTTAGTAGTCATCTAAATATCTATTAATATCCATGGATTCTCTAAAGTCGGCTATTATCATTACTTTTTGCAAGTTTCTAAGTTATTGTTATTCCTCGGCTTGGCCCGTCAACATCCAAAAACACAACAATCTCCCAAGTCTCCCAAGCCAACTAACAAATAGAGGCAGTGCTTGCAGACAGGCCAGATCAGCACCTGAGGGCAAACTCAGCCCTACTGCCAAGCACCCCGCAACGGGTGACCCGATCGACTGATACGCAGTCACCAGGGTCAAACGTCATGTTCACTGCCTCAATACGAGTGCCTTGCTTATGATTATGAGCCTTGAGATCAGGCGGGATGGAGGCTCCCAACCACTTCCAAAGTTAGACTAACGTTAGATCGTCAGCGAGCGGGGCTATATGATCAGCGTTCTCCCCTGATGAGTTTCTGACGCCTATCAGTTCGCTCTAGCATGTGCTATTTAGCTCTCGGGGATATTCCTTGGGATTTTTCATCTTTCATACCATCTACTTGCATATAAACTGCTGGGATTCGAACCACTATCCCCTTCAGACGACAGTATCATATCATCAGCAGCCTATCAACAAACCCATAATGGCGCACGACCAAGAAGAGCTCTCGGTCGCCGGCACCCATCACCGTCACCACAACCACAACCACAACCACAACCACAACCATGAACATGAACATGAACATGAACATGGACATAACCATGGCTCCCCACGGTCCTCCCCAGACCGCCCACCCCCAGCACGCCGCAGCTCAACAATAATAAGCTACATCACCTCCTTCCTCGGCACAAAGAACCCACTCGCGCGACCAGCAGACCCACACAAGAACACAGTGTGGCTACTAGATAACACAGCCTACCAACGCACCACATACAACAAACACAACGAAGTCGTATCCAAAACCTGGCACGCAGAGGTCGTAGCCTGCATCTTCGAAAAAGGCGGCCGAAAAGACGTCGGCAAAGTCGTCGCCGCAATAGCAGACTACATCGGCCTAGATGGCGAACTAGGCAGCACAGACGAGCACGAAATACGCCGACGAATCGAACACCGCGTGCAGCCATTCCTGGATCAGGTGTCTCCGTCGCGGACTATCACGCTGCATGTGCCTATTAGCCGACGCGGGCAATGGCATGAACTGGGCCCGTCCGATCGGAATGGGATTGTTAGTCAGAGTGTTCAGCTTGGGGATGGGGACGTGGGTCATATTCACGATGGGACGGTTGTCAGGCCGCGGTTGTATGATTTCGGGGGCAGGAGTGTGTCGATGAATACCACGTTTGCGAGGCCGCATGGGTGGTTGGTTATCTCCGATATTGACGATACGATTAAGCGGACGATGACACTTGAGCCGACGGGGATTATTCGGTCGACGTTTGTTGATGAGCCGGAGGTTATTAGTGGCATGCCTGAGTTTTATCGGTGGGTTGATGGGGAGTTAGGGGCGCCGGCTTGGTTTTATTTGTCTGCGTCGCCTTATAATCTTTATACTTTTTTGCATAAGTTCTTGCGTGAGCATTATTGTGCTGGGACGCTGGTGTTGAGGGATTATTCCTGGATGGATATTACTGGGTTGATTCGGTCTTTTACCGAGAAGACGCAGGAATATAAGGTTGATCGCATGGAGAAGATTCAGGGCTGGTTCCCGCGCAGGAGGGTGCTTTGTATTGGAGATTCGACGCAGAAGGATCCTGAGGCTTATGCTGAGATGTATGAGCGGTATCCTGGGTGGGTTCAGGCTATTGCTATTCGCAAGGTTACTGATGTGGCTCATATGGAGGAGAAGAATGAGCCAGCGAGGTTTGAGAAGGCTTTTGAGAATGTGCCGGATCATGTCTGGACGGTCTTTGAGGATCCTGAGGAGTTGTATGCGTTTGTTGATAGGCTTGGTTTGGAGGATCAGGATTTTTAGTTTGTTTCTATTTTTTGTTTGAGTTTTCTAATTAGCAGTTGTTTCTGCATTAATTCAAAATTGGCTATCAAATATCATCGTGAAGTGACAACCTCAACTGAGCCCTAAGTCATCCAAGAGACATACGAGGCAGCGCCACCCATTCTCTTCCTACCACACAATCCAATTGGAAATGGATTATACTATATCAGAAATATTATAAGCAATCGCATTGATCGGAAGTATCAAACAGTGGCAACGCTGAGCTAAGCCCTACATACGTCAAGATTAGGAAATAGCCCTGAATCTATAGACCAAAAGGCAAACTCTCAACATCAAACCAACAAACCCACCAAATACAAACCAAAATAACCAGAGAACCGCCAAAATGCACAACCAAGCCAAAATATCCACAAGTCTACACCCAAACATCCCAACAGACATAAACCCAGCAAAGCGCGCATCAACCGCAATCCCAAACGACAACCCATTCACACCGCTCACAATGCGAGCTCTCTACTTCACACCCCAAGGGACAACAAAAGACCTCCCGGACAGCACACAAGGCGACGGTAAATCGCTCGACGAAACCAAAACCACCATCCGCAAACACGGCTCGGGTCTAGTCCTGGACACAAGCTTCCCAACACCACAACCCTCAGCCCACCAATACCTCCTCAAGGTCCGAACAGCAGCCTTCTGCCACGACGAAATAAGGCTCGCCTCGGCGCTGAATCCGCAAAAGACAACACCCCAAATCCCACTGCATAGTCTCTGCGGCACGGTTATCAGTACACCCCGCGAAGACGACGACCGGGATGAAGGTCCACGCTTCCGGATCGGAGAGGTGGTCTTTGGGTTGTTGAGTTATACGCGGGACGGGGGCGCGGCGGATTATGCGGTTGCGTGTGAGGCGGAGTTGGCGCTTAAACCGGGCAATATTACTGCAGCTGAGGCGGCGGCGTTGGCTTTGCCTGCGCTCACGGCTTGGCAGGCGCTTTTTCGATATGCGGGGCTTGATCCGGATGTTCCTGGCGGTTTGGATGAGGATGGGGATGCGGGGGGGGAATGGGACTGGTCGGTGGACTTGGCATGAGTCCAGGAAGAATACTCTTGCCAATGATCCTGCTTATGGGTTCGGGAAGTTTACGGGCCATGGGAGTGGGGTTAGAAATGGGAATGCTGTTGGCGGGGATGGGAGGAATGAGTTTCATGGGAGTGCTGTTGATGCCAATTTTAAGGAGCAGCGTGGGAGTTTGGGGAATGATTTGGCCAGTGGTGGTGGAAGTGGGAGTGGTGAGAATGGGCACTGGGTTTGGCAATGGAATCGCCGTGGTACGATTCTCGCTGGCAATGGGGGCAAGAATAATCACATGCCTCTTGCCCCTGGCTCTGGCGCTGGCGCTGGTTCTGGTTCTGGCAGAGTGAGCAGCACCCCGACCCCGGACCTAGATAGACAACGCCGCAACACGCTCCAAAACCTGACGAGTAGCAATGCACGTCGTGGCAGTCTGTTCAGCCTGATCAACGGACATCGCGAGAGTCAATCCAGCGCCAATCGGAATGGCAGTGGCAACGAAAGCGGCAATACCCTACTAAACCTGGTCAACGGCAATGGAAGCCGAAACGGTCAATCAAGTGGCAGTATCACGAGAAGGATCAGTGACAGTATCAGCGGCAGTATCAATGCAACCAGAAGGAATTCAGACCCATCGATCAGACTATTGATCACAAACGCTCGAGACAACGAAGTCGGCCGCATCGCAGTCCAACTCCTACGAGCAGAGACACTATTCCCAGCCACAGTCCGGCCCTGGATCTGTGTGACCTGCACCAAAGCCGAAGAAGAGATCATCAGACAAGAGTGGGACGTTGACGGGGTAATCGTGATTCCGCATCTACCTCTTCCAGCCGAATGTGATATCGGGGGCACGTTCAAGTGCCAGCGCTGGCCGCCTGTTGATATCGTGCTGGACTGTACTGGCGGCGAGGTATTCCGGCAAGCGCATGCTCCCCGCGTCATTAAGAACTACGGGGCAGTGATGACTGTTGTAGAGGCGCGGTGTGCGGATCAGCCTCTTTATCCTGCTGAGCGGGATATCCTCGGGCATCGGAAGAGGGGGATCAAGACTCGGTTTGTTCCTCCTAATCCGGATGGGGAGGCTATGGCGCGCATTGCGGATTTGGTGGAGAGGAATCTTGTTCGGGGACAGGAGGATACTGTTGTTGATCTTGAGAGGGCGGTTGATCTTTTGGCTGGGATGGCTGCTGGGACTGCCGGGAGTCGGAAGGGGAGGATGATGGTTGTTAGGCTTTAATGCCGGTTCGGCTGGGAAGGCTGCTGCTGCTGCTTCTTAGAAAGTTTGTGTTCAATCTTTTTGGTTTTGATTTTTCTTTTGGTATATTGAGATATCGAGAGTAACTGAAAATATTGAAAAGTAGCAAGTAACGATTCTGAAGAAACGCGTCAAATCAAGCTGGGGTTGTGCACCAATCTGGAACGCCGAACAAGCTCACCGATGGCGGGCTACTTACTCGAAGAGACTTGTAGAGGATCATTGTAAAGCTGTTCCACAGTGAGCCTTGATCCACAGTCTCAGGTAAGAGAGCAAATTCAAGAAAAGAAAAGAATAAAACAGGAGAAGAAGAAAATCAAGGTTGATAAGATATCCCACCCAAGGATGAATTTTGACTCAAAAGTTCCTTTGAAAACGATGCTCTGCCCAAGTTCCAACCCATAGGATGACAAACTACATGAGTGAATAGAAAAGAAACCGAATCCCTGGGTAGCGTGCGAACCTCAGTTGGGACGGTAGACGGGAAAAAAAAGCCGCGGAAAGACAGTGTATTAGGGACAAAGCAGTACATCAGGTTAAAGTAAAGAATCAAGTCTGGTGAATACGCTCAAACATGCGGCGACAATCTAGCAGTTGTTAATATATTGTGCAGGAATTGAAACGAGAGTATCTTACCTCCAACTGAAGCTCTCTATCCTTGTTCCGGTTGATCTCGTCGTTGACAGCCTGGGCCAGGTTGGCTCCAATCGCCTGGGATCCACCAGTCCTCCGGCCAAATGGCCATTGCGAATACTCGGCCAACAGCTCATCCACCTGCGCAAAGGCTCTCTCACGAGCCTCGTGGCTCATAGTGACCAAGGCGTTCTCGAGCACATTGGCGGCGTATGCAGCGCAGACCATCGTAATAGAGCGAAGGTAGCGGTATTCAGCGTCCTCAGGGAGCCACGGGCTGGGAGGAATAATCACGGTGCGGTTGCTGCAGATGTTGCGTACCCGTCTGTGGAGTTCGTCTTTCGCGCCACCGTCGGCCACGGGATGTGTGGCCATATCGAAAAGGAGGAAGTTGCGCTTCTCGGTCCGGAGAATACCCTTGTCCACAAGTCCCTTTGCCAGTCGTTCACGGACTTGCTTCAATTGGTATCCGATCTTCATCAAGTTCCAGGTTTCGCCTAATCGCGAACGCGTAAGTCAGCAGGTAGCTCACATCGCATCTCGGGAGTTGAGATATCATACCACTCAGCAGGTCAATCCAGGAGTTTACGCTCATCTTCTCGCTCGACTTCATCATCTTAAGCGTCTCGTCCAGCAAGACCTCCCCAGTCAATGTATCGTCGATGACCTCGATGACGCGGTCGGCCAGGGGGAAGCGTCGCCGCGAGGAATCCTTCTGCATGCTTATGCGGCCGCGAAGAGCGAGTTCGATGACGATGCACCCTCGTAGGGCGTAGGAAATGTTTTCGTTCCAGAAGGACAAATAGCCCTGTTGCGGCATGGGCGCGAGGTCAGCAGTTGCACCACGGTCGGGCGGACAGGAATCCCATCGAGTTTGCTGTCATCACTCACCTGCTTATCCTTCAGTCCGAGCAGTAGCACATCCTCCATCAGGGTCAATTTTGGCTGCTTGCCCCGTTCCTCGTTTTCGCTGATGTCGCGGGGGTCGAACGCGATCTTGTGGCCATTCTCAGCGCTGGTGAAAGACGTCTCCGGTCCACGGTTATCCATTGCAGAGCCGTTTCTGGAGATTGGGGATGACACTCGGCTGTCATCTTGTTCGTCTGCGCCAGCGACTCGACCGGCGCCTCTTCGGCGAGTCAAGCCCCCGGCTGGTGAGGCCATGAGGATATCTGGATCGGGTGTGGGTGAGGGGGAGAGGGAGAGGTCGAGAAGGGGATAGCGATGTGGTGTTTAAAGGCCGATCTGTATGCCGGTGGGGAGCATTGATGGAGTGAGGTGTTAGACGGACCGTGTAGACCGAAAGTGTCCAAAGTGGGACTCGGTGTCAGGGGAAACCAGGGACCGAGTGGGTTGGCCAGAACGATGAGTTTCAACAATCAATGGGTTTCACGAGTTTGAAGGGAAGTCGAGAAAGGATGGAAGGTCGGTGAGGTGGCTCGTCGAATGCTGCAAGCAGTCGACGGGTGCCAGCACTTCACCTCAAAACACCCGTGACAAAGAAGACTTATCACCTGCCTACTGTAGATAGTCGTCCATATTTACAATTGAATTGCTTTTCTACATGTACGTTATTCCAAGTCAATTATCACATATCCTCTCTCTTCCCTTCTCTCCTCTCTCCGTCCACATTTTCACGCATTCTCTCTCTCTACTCTTAGAGACTTTTTGGCCGTATCTCTGAATGTGCTCGCAAGACATGCATCAGCCCAACCCCATATTAACTCCACACTTGATCCGATACACTCGAGATTTGAGAGATGAATCCCACTCCATTTATAGGACTGATATCTTTCTTCAATATAACTTAGCTATGCTCGCCTCTCTGCACACGTCTCTGTCGCGTCTCTGCACACAATGCGTTGTAAAATTGCACAAATTGCATTCAAATGATATACACGATATGAAGGACGAAAAAAAGCCAGCATGGGTTCAGCATACATAGTAGCATCTCAATGAGTCGCTGTGTCCAGCGAATCCCGATGCCATTCCGATTCTTTTTCTATCCGAAATTCTCCAATCTCCGACGTTCAATTAAGTATTTAGTGAGCTGGATAGAATTTAGCAAATTGTCAAATGAAAATAATAGAGATATAAACATACCATCGGGCTGGGCGAGGATGTACTCAACAGCCTTCTCGACTGTGCGCGGAATTCATGTTAGCTGTCAATAATCCAACACCACCATCAAGATAGAGCTTACCGCTGTGGATCTGGTCGGCCTCCTTGTCGGGGATCTCAATGCTGAACTCCTGTTGAAATGTGTTAGATATCCATCGCACAATATGGGGGATTCGGGCTTTCCCGAGGGAAACCTGCGCGTACCTCCTCGATGGCCATGACGACCTCAACGGTGTCCAAGCTGTCCAGACCGAGGTCGTTGGAGAAGTGGGAAGTGCCGTTAATCTGCAAGTTGAGCGGGTTTAGTAGCTGAATCTTCTGCGGTCGCCCCTCCCTAGCTCGTAGCTACGTGAAGGTCACAACAACACCTATGTCGGATCCACTAACCTTGCTGGAGTCGGAGACCTAATAGTAAATAAAACTCAGTCAGCAATTTGTTTTCCCCGTAGAAGCCAATGGATGACGAAAATCCCCGGCAAAACAATATGACGCACCTTGTCGAAGTTCTTGAGCAGGTTGACTATCCGGCCCTCGGCCTCATTCTTGGAGAGACCAGCAGGGGCAGAGTAGAGACGAGCACCCTGGAAGATGGAAGGAGTGAATTGAGGAACAGCGATGGGAGAGCTGCGGATCTGGAAGGGAGCCGGGGTCTTGATGGCACGGGGGGCGGAGGCTCTGAGCGAGCGGACAATGGCGGAGCGGAACATGGTGGGAAGATTCGGAAGAGCGCGAAGGCTAAAGATCTAAAATAAAAGAGACAGAGACGTGGGGGAGGTAATGAGGTTGGGAGGAAGAAACAGAAGAAGGCGAGATGAGGAAGGTCGGCGCTCCAGCAAAATCCTGCGGGCCAATCAGCAGCCAACAGAAAGGAATGACCTAAGCCCGAAACCTGCAAACTACCACAACCTCGTCCACTTGGCTCCCCTTCCCCCTCAAGTACCTCCAATTGCTTCGACTCTCCCCCCATCTTCATCCTCCCTCTCCGCTCCAACCATGGCCGCCACCCGATCGGTCGCGAGGCTCGTCGCCTACCGCCGGCCGACCCCCTTCGGCTTGATGGGCTCAACCGCAAACTTCTCTTCCTCGGCGTCCCGCGCAGCAACCCCAGCGGGTGCCCCCAGGCCGGCTTCCGCCTGCCTGCTCCCAAGCGCTGGGACCAGGACTCCGAGTCCTCGCTGGACAAGGCCAGCAAATACTTCCTCATGGCTGAGATCTTCCGCGGCATGTACGTGGTGCTGGAGCAGTTTTTCAGACCACCGTAAGTCCCACACTCGTCGACGTGGATACGAATCGCAACCACGTTCTCAATCCCTAGAGAAGGTTTAAGTTCAAATTGAATTAATTGTCCTTTCTTTGTGCAGTTACACCATCTTCTACCCGTTCGAGAAGGGTCCCATCTCTCCCCGTTTCCGTGGTGAACACGCCCTCCGTCGCTATCCCACCGGTGAGGAGCGCTGCATTGCTTGCAAGCTCTGCGAGGCTATCTGCCCCGCCCAGGCTATCACCATTGAGGCTGAGGAGCGTGAGGATGGAAGCCGCCGGACAACCCGTTACGATATTGATATGACCAAATGCATTTACTGTGGCTACTGCCAGGAGAGTTGCCCTGTGGATGCCATCGTTGAGAGTGAGTCAGACCTCGAAGGCGACTATCAGATTGGCCCAATTGACTAACACAACTTTTCTAGCGTCCAACGCTGAGTACGCCACCGAGACCCGCGAGGAGCTGCTGTACAACAAGGAGAAGCTCCTCGCCAACGGTGACAAGTGGGAGCCCGAGATTGCCGCTGCTGCCCGTGCGGATGCTCCCTACCGATAATTCAATCGCCTCGATTTTCATCTGATTGGCATGTCGATCCTTGTTCACGCACATTTTCCTTAGAGAGTGGATTAGTGCGGACAGGGAGATGCCAGTCGCAATACCCATTGAAGAAGCGCGAGTTTTCGTGCCTCGAAAATACGAAGGAATCCTTTCCCTCTTTTTCTGAACCCCATCATACACACTGTACATAAATGCCCTCGATCTGTGTTCTCATCTTGTACCAGTCAATTCCTCAAGAAATATCTTTCCAGTGAATCTTGACTCCTTGTCTCTTTATTTCCTGTGTTTTGGAATCCAGCAGGTTTCTTTGATTTGGTTGAGATCGTATTTAAAATATAAATTTGGTCAATCCCGTCTCATTATCAGATCTCACATCTCATAACAGAACACATTTCCGTCACCAACGATATCTACATCTACCTCAACTTAACTATAAACTCAACTTAATATTTTTAACATTATATATGTTGTTTATAATGATCTATGCTCTCGAAATACGAAAGAACAGGTTCAGCCAAATGGAAGGAAATGATATTTGTATTCACAGATATAAATCAAATCGCTACCGATGCTGTCATGCATAGACATAAAAGATTTGACGGATCCAAGCCGCCACACAAAACGTAAACACCAGGCACCTTGATCTCCGGACGGATATTTCCCAGTTCAAAGTCTCAAAACACTTTTTTTGTTGTAGCTCGTCGAGAGGGTGGGTCTATGTGCGTTCTGGTGGGATGTTGCTATCCCAGAACAGCCCGGTTAAGAGGAAAAAGGGTATGCAAGAAGAAAGAAATAGAGGAAAGGGAAGAATGTAACAAGAGAAAAAGGATGATTTCAACCGAAGACAACCCAGAAGCGAAAAATGACATCAAGGCTTAAATCTTAACGGGTTTGACTTGGGGTTCTTTTTTGACTTATTTCTTCTTGCCCCCGCCTGACTTGGCCTTGAAGCTGCCGCCTTCAAAGCCGGGACGAGCGGCCTTCTTCTTGCCACCGCTGCTGGGCTTCTTCTTGCCCCCCTTGTTGCCCTTTTCGTCTCGGCGCTTGCGGAGGTTCTCGTCACGCTTGGACTGGCGTTGCTCCTTGGAGCGAGCAACGGTGTCGAGGCGGTCCTTCCACTCACGCTCGGACTTCTTCTTTGCGGTCTCCTTGCGCTTGAGGGCCTTCTTCAGCAGGGAGGTGTCGTCACGGACACGCTCGCCGTGGGCACGCTTCTTGGCGTTCAACCAGCGGTCCTTCTCTTCGATGTCGGCACGCTTGGCAGGATCCATTTCTGCGAGACGGGCGCGCTTGGCCTCGGCGGCCTTCAACTGGGCAGCGGGGTCGCGGGCACCGTGAGTCTTGGGCTTGTCGTGCACATCGGTGCCGGCAGCGTCTGTTGCTTGGCCGTCTGAGAAGATCATACGGCCGAAGGAGAAGTTGTTGCTGGAGGAGCCGACAGACTCGGCTGGGGAGCGGGGGAGGCCAAGAGAGAGCCGGAGCCACCGGGGGAGAAGCGGCGGGCCATGGCTTCGTCTGACTTCAGCTGCTCCTCATCTTTGGCCTTTTGGCGCAATTCCTTCTTGTGGGCTTTTCTTTGCTCGGCTTTTTGCCGACGGGCTTCGATGAGCTCCTGGCGGTTACGGGCAGGCTTGCCATTGAGTCCATCTGCGTGGCGCTTCGCCCGGAGCTCGTCGAGGCGCTTTTGTAGGCGCTGCTTCAGCTCTTCGGGTGTGTGCTTGAGGGGTTTGGGCTCTGAGGATTTGGCTTCGGTGGAGGCGGAGGGAGGGACGATGGAGGAAATAGAGGAGCTGCCAGACTGGGGATTTGAAGCATTGGGAGAGTGAGGGGTGGACGAGGCTGAGGAGTTTTCGGGCTGGTCGTTGAATTCAAGAGAGAATCCTTCCTCGACAACGCCATCTTCCTCTTCGTTCTCATCATCCTCTTCGTCGTCAGATGCATCGGGTTTCTTGGTGGCATCACCGTTAGGTTTCGGTGCGTTAGGCTTTGGTGCAGATTTTTCCGAATCCTCTGTTGTAGTATTCGACTGCTTCTTGTTCTGCTGAGCCTTCTCCTTCCGGGCAATATCCTTGGCCTTCTTCTTTTCCTTTTGTTCTGCCTTCTTCGCGGCCTTTTTCTCTGCGTTTTGCTTTTTCCGGGCCTCGACTTCGGCTGCCTTGGTGGCGTCCTTCTCACCGTTCTCGACCGATTTCTGCTTCTTGGGCTTGGCGTTTCCGCGGTTCAGTCCCTCCTTGGGGTTCTCGGTGCCCATCTCTCCATCTGACGAGTCGGACTGGATTGTTCCATCCTCGCGCTTGCGTTTGCGTGCATTCTCGTCCATCACGTCTTTGGCGGTCTTGGCGGCTTCAGGGTCGAGCTTTGCTCGCTTCGCTTCACGGGCTTGTTCTTTCGTCTGCTTCTTGCGTTGCCATTGATCCTGTGAGAGAGGATGGGTCAGACAGAGTCTTCAGGACGGATAACGGCAATGGGTGGCAGAAAACTGAACTCTTTCGAGGGCAAAAGGCAGAGGTCTGACAGTGCGCAGGGCCTACATACACTTGTGTTCTCTTCACCGTAGTAATATTTGGCGGGGATCAAGGACAGTAGACCGTCAAATGCCTGTGCATGGCTGCGTAGCCGATCCTGGAGGACAGTCAGCGCGCAGGCCTAGAGCAATTTCCAAAATCACAAACCTCGATATCATCCATGATCTTTCCCGTAGACTGAAATTGCAATCTGGAGGGGGAAGCTGGTCAAGCGCTACGAAAAATTTGGGGTGAGGAAATCTTGGCGCTACAAATTGTCTCCGCTCAGCCTCACCGCCTGAGAATTTTGCTGGTGGCCCGTGCGGTGATTCTACACTTTGGATGTCCTTGAAGATCTTATATTGTGTCTCATGTGCTTTTGTTCATATTTACTCCTTGATGCGATTTACCCAATCATATGCAATGAACTGCCAGGCCCGATGCTAATCCAACTAACACTCCAGATCAAGACTGCTCCACCAGACGACCTGTGTCCAATGCGGGACAACCCTCGCTCTCAACCTGCGTAACATTGCCATAGGGCCAAGGGTCTGTCCAAATGAGATCGAAGCTGAGACAGTCAGTACTAATACACTGCTAAATATTGGGGACAATCCCCAGATTATATCCAAAAGATCCAAAACAGACAGGATCTTCAAGAGGGCTCGAAGATAACCACTATCAAGTCCGACACATTTGGAACCAACAGATGTAAAGCGCAAAATCACTCACCGATCATCCGGGTACTCGATAGGCTCATATGCACCAAGCGCCTCCTCAATCCCACCCATATTTGTGTGTCGCCACGCAATCAAAATATTGCCCGGTCCATCATAGGACCTAATCGTCTCAGCAACACATTCCACCTTCTTACGCTTGCAGTGAGTATCAACAGTCAGACCGAGATCATTTGCGAGAGGAAGGACAGTTAGGAATGCACGGCGGTGCGCGCCATCTATACACCACATCACAAGTCAGCCAGCCAGCCACGTTGACGAACTCGATAAGCAGTGCGCAACGCCTCGGCACTTCGCACTGCATTATATTAACGAGGAATGCTCTGAACTTACCCTCTCTTACATGAGGCGCCATAATATGCCCAATATTGTACCCCGATCCCTCTCCGAAAACACTGCGCAGACATTGCGCCCGCTTGATCCCATCCAGGGTGAGGCCGTGGTCATCCTTATTAGCGGGCTTCTCACCATGCCGAATGATGTAGACTGTCGGATTTTGGGCAGACACAACCCCGAGAACGAGGCATAAAGTCGTGAGAACCAATTGCAGCAACATCTCGGCCCGTAGATGTACAAAAGCAGGCCCGGTTGATATATATAAGCAGAACAAATGACTCGAAAAGTAGTTTCGATGAAACGAGTGCCCCAAGGAATAAGTTTAAAGTAAACTTTTGCGGCCTAGTGCCTGTGCTGATCGGGATGGCCCATAGCTCTAGTCTTTATAAGGCATGGAAATAATCTGAAGAAGGGATCCCGTTATGGAATCTATCACCGAGAAAAATATGGGAAACACAGAGAAGAAGAAAAAGTAACGGTGGATCAGCAGAGCTCACTTCCATTGATCATCCTGTAAGCGAGTGTCAGGGCTGAATGCGGCATAAATAAGGTGTTGAAGCGCTTGACGAACTACTAGTATAGCTCGTTCGGTGGATGTGCCCCGATCAGGCAGTTTGATTGGTTAGAACTCGTTCTGCATGTCCACTGCACTCTGTTGATCGGCTGAAATTTGGTCGGAGATCTTTGGATGCGAGTCTGTGATCATTGGGGTAGATGTATGCATCTGGTACATGGGTGTCTGGGATCAAACAGGCTTCTGTGGCGATGTATAGAACGGAGAATTAGTCAAGAAACAAGACTGCAACTGATGCTGAGACATGATCATCAACCAGAATACATTAATACAACCAGCTGTGACATGAGGACCTTGAGGATGGATTGCACTACTGTCATCAAGTCGAGTCCCCATCTAACTTTCAAGTCATGAGTCAAGAATAAGCATCCAAAGACGTTGGATACAAAGACCAGCGAGTGGCCGGGGTCAGAAGATAAGGCTGGTATAGGTGTCTTTGTTCCCAGGGTGATCGGGTGACGATCTTCACTCTTTATCCTTGATCGCATGCCCAGTCTCGGAAGGGCCGTTCAATGATATATTTTGTTTGACTTGGACAAAAGTCAAACTCATACACCTGATCTACCTATGTACTGCATTTCCAAGTTGTCTTCATGTGAAGGTTTGAAAATGTTATCACTATGATCTCAATACAGGCCTTTGGTGGATGTGATCGGTTCGGACACTACGAGCTGTGGGTACAGTTGATGTCGGAGAAACAATATGTTGGGAATACTACGGCCTTGGCTTCGGATTCGGGGTTTAAGGCGTGCGCGGTCTTCCAGAGTATAGTCAAGTGAGATAATTTCCCCCTCTCGGAACCCAAAGACTGAGAATTTTCATATTTTCGCGACGTCAACACAGTTCAAGGTCATAAGAATATATTCTTAGATCGGGTGATTCATGCGCCACTGTTCATACGTGTATGAGTGTAACAATACAAATCGGGTATTCTAACACTCAGGGGCTCGGACAGACCGGATGTATGAGGGGCTTAGTTTTACCAGGCAGCCGAATAAGACAGCACGACACTTGTACGCCGAGAGTGGTGCGGAGAAAGAAAGTCTCGGCGGTCGCAGGCCGCGTAGAGTTCTGGAAGAACCGTGGAAGCCGATAGATCCGTGTAATCTGATCTATTTACGGAGACATACAAATACTCCATCACTTATACAACTTAGCCTGGCATAGCCACAACTGCATCAAGAATCATGCTGCGCTATGTGGCTGTGCCTGCAGTAAGAGTGTAAGTACGGATAATGATGTGCGCAAGGCTGAGAGAATTACTGCGCCTCCTGTAATATTTCGCTTGGCCATGTGGGGTTACTGTACATGTATCAGCCCTGTGGTTTCTTAGGTCACTTCCTATAAAGGCTTGCCCCTCCTCTCACTTGACTTTCTGATTTCATCTTCCTCCACACTCTTACTTTTCACTTACCACTTCAAACCTTCAAACCTTCAAACCTTTACACTCTTACATAATGTCCGGCTACGACCAGTACAACCAGGGTGGCTACGGCCAGCAAGGTTACGGTCAGCCTCCGCAGGGTTACGGCCAGCAGGGCTACGGTCAGCCTCAGCAGGGTTACCCCCCTCAGCAAGGCTATGGTCAGCAGGGTGGTTCTGCCGACTACTACGGCCAGCAGCAGCACCAGCAGCCCCAGGGCTACGGCCAGCAGGGTGGCGCATCTGACTACTACGGTGGCCAGCAGCATGGCGAGCAGCAGTACGGCCAGCAGCACGGCCAGCACCAGGGGTATGTCACTTCATCTCCCACTTCTCATTCTGGACTTGGACTAACAGGCAACAGTGGTTACGACCAGCAGCAGCAGGGTGCCCCCGGTGAAGCTCAGGAGGGCGAGCGTGGTCTCGCCGGTGCCCTCGCTGGAGGTGCTGCCGGTGGCTTCGCCGGCCACAAGGCTAACCACGGATTCCTTGGAACAATTGGTGGTGCCATCATCGGTTCCATTGCTGAAGATGCCGTCAAGAAGCACCGCGGGAACAGCCACTCTCCCAACCACCAGGGCCCTCCCCACGGTGGCCCTTACGGCGGTGGCCCTCCTTCCCACAACGGTAGCAGCGGCTCCATGATGGACCAGCTCGGTGGCTTCTTCAAGAAGTAAAGGGTAGACTCTTCGCTTTGCTTCCTGACGACACGTCCTTGATGAATTTCCTTTTTTCTGCTATATTTTTGCAACGGGCTGGCATGCATCTTTTCACCTGATCGCTTTGATTTTTATGGGGGTTTCTTGCTTCGCCCAAGAGGGGCTTTTGTATCATGAACCAACTGCATTCAGATCGGAAATCACCTTTTCGTGATTTCATGAACCGTACTTTCCAGAATTGCAACTGATGACCTCGATACTTTTCATCTATACAATAATCGTAGATATTGACTTCAAAAGTAATAGGATCTGCAGTAGAGTCGAGAACATGCAGGGCGGAGAGATCCAAACAAACCCCAAGTGGAATAATTGTCGGCCTCAGGCAGCAACTGCCAAGGCCGACAAAAGTTCGAGCGGCAGACCTCAACCTTCCTGACAGATCCATCTACGATTCAGCATTCCCAAGATGATTGTACGGAAGTTCTGTATGCGGCAGAGTGAGTGTGATCCAATTCCAACTGTTTCATCCAACCACACAGCTAACAGCGCAATTCCCAGGCCGCCAGCTCCTGGCTGTGAGCCGACGAGCCCCGATCTCAACTCGCTTCCAATCGACATTCCCAACCACACTAGGCGAGCCAGTCGTGCCAGCTCCTCCCCAGGAGTCGGAGCCCACTTCACGGGCAGAGAACCCCCTGACTGAGATGATGAGTGCGCAATCACAGGCAAAGACACCCGCACAGCAAGAAGAATCACAAAGTGAGCCCGCGAATCTTTTCCAAAAGCCCAGAAACACAACCTAACCCACATTTTTTCCCTCCTACTAGGAGCTAAATTCCACAAACTTGGCACCTCCGTGAAAACCTCCTACGACCCCGAAAATATCCTCCGCAACCCTCCCAAGCCCTCCCAGGTAACCCTCGAAATGCTCCTCGCAGCAGGAACCCACCTGGGCCACTCGACCTCGCGCTGGAACCCGCAGAACTCGCGCTACATCTACGGTATCCGTGAAGGAGTGCACATCATCTCACTGGACGTCACAGCAGCATACCTCCGCCGCGCGGCGAAGGTAGTAGAAGAAGTCGCGGCGCGCGGCGGCCTGATCCTCTTCGCCGGCACACGCAAGGGCCAAAAGCGGGCGGTTGTCAAAGCCGCCGAGCTGGCGAAGGGCTACCACATTTTTGAGCGGTGGATTCCCGGCAGCTTGACGAATGGCGAGCAGATCCTGGGTCACTGCGAGACTCGGGTTGTTAATGCGCTTGATGAGGAGTTGTTGGAGTTTAAGGCTGATCTTGCGGACCGGCCTTCTCTTAAGCCTGATCTTGTTGTTTGCTTGAATCCGCTTGAGAACGTTGTCTTGCTGCATGAGTGTGGCTTGAACAATGTTCCTACTATTGGTATTGTTGATACCGATGCTGATCCTACCCGCGTGACCTACCCGATTCCTTCCAACGATGATAGTCTGCGCGCTACTTCTTTGATTGCTGGTATTCTTGGTCGAGCTGGTGAGGCTGGTCAGGTTCGGCGGTTGAAGATGGCTAGGGAGGGTAAGACTACTTACAATCCTGTTTCGGCTACCGAGTTGCGTCTTGATCCGTTTACTGGTTTGCCGCCTGGTGGTGAGGCTCAGAAGAAGTAGGGCCTTGATGGTATTGGCTTGCATTTTCATTTTGCCTCTTTAGTTTCCGGTCGATTACATGCGGCGGGACTCTGTATTGTATAGATGATTCCAGGTCTTGTTGGTGTTGACTACATATGTATTAACAAGTCTTTTTTTGGTTATTTCTATTTGAATCATTTAGCCCGAAATCCTTCATATATGTCTTCATATGCCCAGGTGAAGATGTCAGATTAATTATATGTACTGCACGGAGTAGTAGCTGTTTCATCTTCTTGCTACGCGCAGCTCAGTTTCATGTAGGAAAACCGTATTTTGAATGCAGCAGGACTGATTATGACTAGCAAATAAGAAATGCAATTTATAGCAGGACTGAGAAAGAGAAGCAAAAAGACACCACCATTTATGACTCTCCCCGTACCTCTTCCGGTGCAACCAAGATGACCTTTTCACATAGCATCTGTACTGTGCGAAGCCTGGACAATACAAGTTGGCTAGTACGAAGCAGCACCTCATTTCGCTCAGCTTCGTCGTGAGAAGAACTTCCGCCTCGCGTAGCAACTCCATTCAAACTTGTCTCGGTCAACTTGATGTGGTCTGCTTTGTGTCAAAACGGGGCAATAGAGGCTGTGGGAGAGTAACCATAGTAAACAAATATACTAACCTAGCGCCTGTCTGAGGTTGTAATACTGGTGTATTTCAAGAACAAGAGTTTTGACTCTTTTCATCTCCGGTAGTTTCTCTGGCTTGAGGAGATTGAAATCCGAAGGTAGCAGGGCTTGCCGTCCCTCTATAGTTCGACAAATTGTGGTTAGAAATTGTGTCTTCTTGGATGAAGATACTATACCGGTGCTCCTACCATGGATAGGGTCAGATCGGAAGTATTCGAAGAAGACATTGTCGTCTGCATCTCCTTGGTCTGATGTTACTGTTTCCGTGCCAATCAGGGTCATAAAGTAAATCGCAAGAGGGAATCTCCATCTCGGTGAAAGACCCGTGAGAATTTTGTTCATAACGCGTAAACGAGACCCGATCTCCTCTGACGACAATTTTGGTAGATCGTTGCCTGGCCAAATAGCTTTACGAAGACGTATGACCTCGTTTGCCCACTCGGGTTTTCCATCAGGAATCTGAATATCACCAAAATGAGGCTGTAGGCGGCATAATTGATCTGAGTCGAAAAAGTCTTTGGCGGGAATCACCACAAATTTGTTTTCGATCTTCAGAGACCCTTGTGAGAGATATTCCCCAAAGTAATAGCCTTCCTTTTTGCGCAGGGATTTGAGACTTCCCAGATTTTTTCCAGGCGTAGTGTCGTATTCACAAAATGCTTGGATCAAATCCACGTCCGCAAGGAATGTTCCTTTGGGAAACTGTGCTGTATCTATGACATATAGCTTAATGTCTTCCCATCTCGATTCATCTTCAGTGCTGAGATGCCGGTAGAAGATATATCGAATCGCGAAGAGTAACGAGCTGGTCCAGGAAACAAAGTTGTCATCCAAGTCACCCTTCGGCCACCATCGAAGATGCAAGTTGAGTGTCTGAGCTACTATCATTCGTTTCTCAAGATCCAATTTGTGGAATATATCTTCCACGGAAGAAGCTTTGTTCTGGGAGGCTGACTGTGAGCGCACCCACGTCTCATCCGCTGTACCGTCGGAATAAGGAGTAACAACACGGAAAAGATAACGTGGTATATCATCTAAGGCCGTTGCTGCTAGTCCGCTATGCAATGGGGGCTTGAATAGTAACTGCCCTACCTCTGGCTCATCATTTAAGCGAGTATGTTCCAGCCTCTCAATGATGGTCTCCATTTTCACAGTGTTAAATAAGGGGAGAAGTTTAGCAGTAAGTGGTGTCCCGGGTTTGGGGGTAGAACAGCTTTATAAAATGCCCAGGTGGCTCGGCCAACACATGGATGCCTGCGTTGCAGCCTGGTTTGCTCATTTTATCCCACGAATCAAAGCCTGACATCTTAATCCAGATCATAGATGTGAGTTTGATCAAGAAAGAAGTACTAGAGTATGATTCTAGAGTTTCCTGGAAGATCGACAGAAAGATAACAGAAATAGAAAGAAGAGGAAATGCAAGTGGGAGTAGATAGCATATTGAGGCTTCCAGCATGAACATATGAACCATACAGACATTATAAAGAGAGATCCTAGGCAGAACAAACAAGGTCCTGTCAGTAATCCAGAGGATCTCTAACTTTGCCGGGTCTACACATATCCCATCGCCAGTTAATCCACCCCCTACTAAGTACCAGGTTATTCATTAAAAAGTCATATAAAATTCATCTATCCACATAACCATCTATAACTATCCCACATGCAAATGCGAGTCTATATCCGAAGCAGGAGATTCCAGCCCAATCTCACAATATGCAATAAGCCTCACACCTAAGCCTTGAGGGTATAAACAACACGACCACGAGAGTCAGTACCCTTAAGTTCGATCTCATCACCAGTACTCGAAACAACACGGCGCTGGTCACCATTATGCAAAACAATATCCAGCTCCTTCCAAGCAGGAACAAAGCCAGACTTCTCATCCCGCTCAAACTTAACAAGCACCTTCTCCTCGGTAGAGCTGTAGCTAATAGTGTAGCTAGATGTCTTGGGCTGGACGGAGATACCATCGTCCTCGTACCAGGTCTTCGAGAAGACGTTGCCGTGCGAGGTGCCCTTAGGTGGGAAGATCTCCACACCTCGGTAGTCATCGATTTCTTCGACGGCCATTGAGGCGGCTGTATCATCGCCGGGAACGCGGGTGTGTACGTTCTTTCCGACGGGAATAGCACCGCCGATACGGGCGATGAGTGGGATGCTGGTCTGCCATTCCGAGGAAATATCGGTCCATTGGCCGGAGGCAATGTACTGGTAAGGTGCGTTCATGTTCACGTAGCCGTAGTCGAAGGCATTTCCAGACTTGCGGGGCAGATAGACATTGGCGGTGTTCACGCCAGCAGTGTATACTCCGCCGACAATCATGCTGTCACCGAACCAGAACTGGGATTCGCCGGCCTTGATCTCCTTGGTCCACACTTCTGGATCAGACTCGTAGCCCCAGCCGGTCCAGCGCTGTGGTGGTGCGGCGAACATGTGGCTCTCCAGTCCGAGGGAGTAGATGTAGGGTAGCATCTCGTAGCGGCGCTTGATGGTATCGCGGACCTGTGGGGTGATCTCTGGGTACATGAAGGGTTCGATAACATCTCCGACGGAGGAATCCTTGGGGGAGGTCTTGAAGCAATTGATGGCGAAGCGGGGTGCGTGGCAGCCCAGCTGGATCCAGCGGAGGAGGAGCTCGGGAGAGGGCTGGGGGCCCTCGAATCCGCCGATGTCGTGGCCCTCGCACTGCAGCAGGGACATGCCTGCATTCAGAGACAGTGCGTTGGCTCCCTTCATGTTCTCCCAGCTGGTGACGTTGTCGCCGCTCCAGGAGCTGGCGGCGTACCGGTTTGTACCGGCCGTAGAGCTGCGGGTCAGAACGAAGGGACGGTACTTGGGCTCCATATCGAGGAGGGCATCGTGCGAGGACTTGCCCATCAGCTCGGTGTGGAGGGCACGACCCCAGAGACCGACGGAGTTCTTCACATTTTTTGCGGCGGCGTCGGCGACGGTGGGCTCGTTGAGAGCCATGGTCCAGTCATCATCGGGCAGGGTATATTCGTTGTTGTCATTCCACATGCCATCAATGCCAACCTTCTTCAGGCTCTGCACGCCGTCATACCAGAACTTGAAGGCTTCCTTGGAGGTGAAGTCGATGTGAGCACCGTCGCCGCCAGTGGCACCACCGGCACTCCACAGACGCATGTAACCGGGCTCCTTGTCGGAGTCCTTGAAGAAACCACCTGCATCAACAAGCTTCTGGAAGTCTGGGTGGGACTCCAACAGGAAAGGCTTGATGTTGGTCAAAAGACGGATACCATATTGGTGCATCTTCTTAATCCAGTCCTCGGGGTCCGGGAAACGGCTTCGGTTCCAGGTGAAGACATTGCGAACCTTGGGTTCGATCTCTGCAATAGAGTAGCCTGAACTCATTTGGTGAGCCGAGCAGGGGATACCATGCTGCTTCAGCTTCTCGGCAAACTCAAGGAGGGCCAAGTGAGCACGAGGCTCATCCAACATGGTGTACTTGTAGCCACCAGAGATATAACCATAAGCCCAGCGGGGCACGAGAATCGGGAAGCCGACCAACTCGGCATAAGATCGGACAACATCCGGGATAGTCTTGCCGACGATGTAGTACTGCTCAAGACCACCATAGTCCTGGCGGTACACCTTGAAGTGACCCCAGAGACCATCGATCTCGGCACCAACGGACCACAGACCACGGCCATGGGTAGTGGAGAAAATGGCCACACAGCCCTCGGCAGAAGCCTTGATCAGGAGCGGGATGTGCTTGTACAGAGGATCGGTCTTGTAGACATCGTACCCGAAGCAGTCGGTAGCGGAGAGCTGAAAGCTGCGGCCGCTCAGGTCCATCGGAGCTGCCTTCTCACCCAGTCCAACGTGAAGACATTCCCGATCATGGACAGAGTAGTTCGCGACACCCTCAGAGTCTGCAACATAGGATCGTAGAGGCAGATCACTGTGCAGAGACTTCTCGGAGCCGGTCCATGAAATATTAACCACGGGGGTGTGCTCCCACTCTATCTTGGCGGTGACACCGGCCACATCAATGGTCTTGGAGGTAGCATCCTCCTTGGTAGAGACATTGGCACCCTGAAGGTTGGTGGCGGGCTTGGTGACGCTGGGATAAGGAGGAATAGGGTGATCTGCGGAAGCGAAGGTGGCACGGAAGAGGTTGGGGCGAATGGCCTCGAAGGTGAAGTCGAAAGGAGTCTTGCTCTTTGTGCTGCTGCGAACTTGAACCGAAGCTTCAGAGTTCGTAGCCTGGGGCACTTGCTGGTAGCCCTTCGGGCAGACTTCTTTTTGAGGCATAATGAGAATATGATTGATTCCAGGAATCTGAAAAGACCAGCATCTGCCCAGACATGGTGCCGTATTTGAATGCTTCCTGAGCTCCTTCAAATTGCATGACCCCCGCTGGTCCCATTGATGATGCAGTACGTGGGGGGTTATACAGTCGGAGATCGGTGTTGATCACCGAAGTTGAATATTCCCGCAAGTCAACATTTGCCTTCGCCCCGCATTTCCCCAGATCCGCCAAGACAATCTCGGGTTTGTTCACCGAAAGCCGATGTTATTCCTTGTCCCTGTCAAACTCTGCTTTTTCCCTCCTCCCACGAGCCCCAGAACGAGGCAATTGATTGGACTGGAGGCTGTGCGGGTCAAGTGTGTGCTGCCGTGTCTCCCCACATAACCTGACGTGGTCAGACTAGACTCAAGGCACACTAGACGCACTAGACAGACTCGGCACAGGAAACGAAAAGTATGCCACAGGGGCGAAAGGCTAATTCAGGCGCCGTGGTATGACCGTCGGGTTTGATCGTGTTTCGTCCGGGGTATGTAATATACTTCGTCTTCCCCACGGGGTACTGATATATCCAGCCCTAATTCCTGGTCTTCCCACCCCTTGAGAAGTCACCTTCATATTACTACTCATCTATATATCAATATCTTGCAGCCTCTGCGAGTGATCAACCATGTCGCAGGAGGCACGAATTTCGCAGCCAAAGGCCCAGCAGGAGGAGTTTGTCGAGACTATCGAACCCTCACAACAATCTGCAGCCCGTCACTCCGATGATGGCAAAAGAACCAGACTCACGGAGACCATGCTCTCCAACTCATCCAAGAGGCAGGTCACTCGACTATCCTCACCCCCGAGAACAACGCGAAAGTCCTTCGAAAGATTGACTTGCGTCTGCTTCCCATTCTCCTAGGAATCTACTTCCTCCAGCAACTCGACAAGTCAACCATCTCCTATGCCTCAATTTTTGGCATTGTTGAGAAAGCAAACCTCCATGGCCATCAGTACTCCTGGTTAGGAGCCTCGATTTATCTGGCTCAGCTGGTGTTCCAGCCCCTGGTCGCCTACATTTTGGTCAAGGTGCCCCTGGGCAAGTTCCTGGCTGCGTCGTGTCTTCTTTGGGGTATTGCTTTGTCTTGCATGACAGCAGCAACCAACTTTGGAGAGCTTCTTGCTTGCCGAATCTTCTTGGGTATCTTTGAGGCTGGAATTGGTAAGCGTTGGTCTGATCATAAAGGTTGACCTAGCTGACGAAGGGTACAATTAGCCCCGGCTTTCATTGCAGTTACTCAAATGTGGTACCGGCGTCGTGAACAGCCAGTGAGATTGAGTTCCTGGTACGCAATGAATGGAGTCGTGAACATGGTGGGTTCTTTTCGTCTGGTGTATTTTGGCATACATTGACCTTGGACAGTTCGGAAGTTTGATTGCATATGGACTGGGACACATCCGCTCTTCTATCTTTGCACCCTACCAGGTAAGCTACCTAACACGGGCTCTTTTTCTCGATTCTCAATCTAACGATGCTTAAGATCATTTTCCTTTTCTTTGGTCTGGTTACCGTTGCGTTCGCTGCCGTCATCCTGTGAGATTTGGCCTTTCCCTATCACGTTCATGAACATGTGCTAATGCAATCTTTTACAATAGTGTCTTCATGCCTGACTCCCCCGTCTCGGCCAAATTCCTCAACGAAGAAGACAAACTACTTGCGATTGAAAGGTATTTAGTCTGACGTCCAAGCTGTGAGGCACATCTACTTACGGGTTTATAGACAGCGGATGAATCAACAGGGTGTGGAGAGCCAGGAATGGAAATGGGACCATGTCAAGGAAGCATTCCTCGACCCCAAGTCATGGTTCTGGTTTGCGTTGATGTTCTCAATCTCGTACGTCACCCTAATCTCTTGAGGCAAAGCCAAAGGTAATTTACTAACAGTTTCCCATTCCAGTGTCCCAAGTGGCGGTATCACCACCTTCGGTCCATTAATCATCAAGTCCTTCGGTCTCAGCCAATATGACACCATGTTGTTCAACATTCCATTTGGAGCTGTTCAGCTTGTCGCAACTATGGGAAGTGCATGGCTGGCGACTTTTTGGAAGATGAAAGGCCCTGTGGTGGCATTGCTATGCCTTCCTCCTATCGCCGGATGTGTCATGCTCTTGCAGATTACGCACGACGCTGCCCACAAGGGACCTTTGCTTGCGGGATACTATATTGTAAGTGATCAGCAGGGACAAATATTCCAATGGAAAACTGCTAACCTATATGAACTAGATTTCTGTATACCCAGCTATCAGTAAGTCTCTGCTTGGTTCTTATGAGAAGCATGGCTAACCCTACTTAGCTCCATTGATCTACTCATGGTCCGCAGCAAACACTGCTGGAGAGACTAAGAAGAAGGTTACCACCGGTATCCTTTACGTTGGACAGTGCGCTGGTAATGTAAGAAACGCAACGAAGACAACTGAAACCTCGTTCTCCGCCACTGACCTGCTTGACGATAGGTTCTCGGTCCCAACCTTTATACCACTAATGAGGCACCACTTTACCGTCGTGGACTTCTATCCAAGTAAGTACACAAAGATTAAATCTGTTTCGCAATCACTAACAATCCACTAGCCTGGCACTATTCTGTGTGTTGATACTGCTAACCGGGTGAGTTGAGTTCTCTACGCCATGGTATAATACCCTTTTTGCTAAATTTAATTTCCAGGGCAAACATGGCATACCTTCAATTCCTGAACAAGAAGCATGAACAGAGACGTGTGGCTGTTGGAAAAAGTGCCAAGCTCGTCGATCAGTCAATGCAAGCTGTCCAAGTCGCTTCGGACGACAAAGAAGATCTGCCTGTCCAACAAATGGTGGACAATAGCTGGAAAGACCTGACTGACTGGCAGAACGAGGATTTCGTCTATGTATTCTAAGGTCTCTCAGACTCAGATTCTGCTTTTATGTTTGTGTTATAGTAGGGAGGATTTCAGTACTTGTTTTCAGGTTATATGCGTTGTCTATTAACGAAACGAGATCATAGACCCATATTCCAGCTCATAAAACCGCTTAAAACTTAGAATATACGTATTTAAATCGCCGCTTCAACGGCGAACCAGTTCTGGTAAATTGAATAGCCGGTTCGGAGCTATAGCCGAACCCCGCGTTTCTCCAGGTTTTCCCCTTTCCGTCTTCCCCGAGCCCTCGGCGCAAACGGAACACGACTCACTCATGGATGATCCTGCGGACTGCAGTCCGTATAGTGCAGGGATGGACGCTGGGGACTCCTTGCACCTTGTTCCCGCGCCCACTGGGAAAAAGCGTATTCCGGTACGTAGCGTATTGGCTTTTGGCCAATTGAACCACTGCAATGCACATTCCATGAACCGGATGGGATCTAACTATTTCTGGCATTTTGATGCATAGAAAGCGTGTAGTGCTTGTCGACAGTCGAAGGTCTGTGCTCAATTCGACGAATTCAAGGTGTTGAGGCTGATTTCCTTCTAGGTCAAATGCGATGGAGAGAGACCATGTACGAGGTAAATTAAAGTCCCCGATACCATAATCCAGTTGAAATGTATAGCACTAATTGCGCGGTCTAGATGCCAGAAGCTAGAGAAGCAATGTATCTTCTTCGAAATACCAAAAGACCCTGTCTCAGAGTGAGCCTATGTTGACCAAGATAAACGGATCAAACGCTAACGTACTCCAGAAGAATCGAGGGTGTCGAATCCGAGATCCAATACCTCCGACAACAACTGGATGAGATGCGTGAGCTAATCCAACAAAGCCGCGCTCACACAACGCCAAAATCACAAGTAACTCACTCCCCAAACCAACCCCGTGATCGGCAACAAGTACGCCGCGAGAGTTTCTGTGGCTCTTCATGCTCCCAGTATCCTCACTCACAGGATCATTCCCAAGATGGGCTTCCTACTATCCCAGTCCCAGGGCCCGGTGGGTATGTGAATGGTCATCAGTATCCACGATCCATTCCGTCTATACCAAGCCTCTCTCCGAATGAGATCGCAACTCAGTCTATCTATGAAGCTCCTAATCAGACTATTACACGACCGCTAAAGAGGAAACGGTCCGGGTTTGAGATTCGGGATGAACCTATTGCGGATTTCATTGATAAGGGTCTCATCACGCCAGAGTATGCTGTTTCTTATTTCAATACGTATGTTCCCCTGCGAGATACATCGCTGAATTTTTCTTTTTTGAGTGTTATATTGACTCTAGCCTAGCTTCTTTGGAGGATGTGTATGTGTCAACCTTCATATCGGTACGCTTCGAATACTCATGTTTGAAAACTACACAGGACAGATACATCCCAATCTTCGATCCGGAATACGACACATTCGACTCCATCCGATCACGAAGTAGCATTCTTCTCAATGCTATATGCACGATTGGTTGCATGGTTGAAACCAGTAAGAGCCCGCCCCCAAACAATCCATAGACTCCTTCTACTGGCTCTACCTCGGAATTCCTCACATTACTCGCTCACCCTATGATCCCTCAAATGGTGTGAGCCTGACGCTAAAGCAATGTTAACAGGATCCGGCGGCCCAATGTCTGATACGCTACACGCCGAACTAAAGAGATGGATCAACGTAATCGTGCAAAACAAGCAACTCAACTGCCTTGAGTCCGTGCAAGCAATGCTAGTCGTTGCCTGCTATTCATCTGAACGGTCTCTAATATTATCCTTCGCTACTCGCATGGCCCTGGACTTGGAGTTACATGAAGCCTTCGATGAATTGACTCAGCGCCTTGCGATCAAAAATGACGATATGGCTTATGCTTTGCCGCATCAGATGTTCGAGGAGGAGAGGGCTTTGGTGTGGAAGGCTCGGACTTGGTTTGGACTTTTGGTTTTGGAGCATATGTAAGATTCCTTACTTTCTCCCTCTTGATTGAGTTGTATACTAATGGATTCTAATGTAGTTTCCGTGTCGATGGTGGGAAACCTCCAGGTATTCGACTGAAAGGGAATGCTCGGCGCTGTCGGGTTTTGCTTTCCCATCCTTCTTCGACTATTTTGGATTTGCGGTTGTTTTCTCAGGTCGAGGTATGATAAATGGATGCTATCTATTTACACAGCTTGTTTGGACGAGATGCTTACTTCTTATTGTCAGTTGAATATCCTCAGAGGTGATTGGTCTTGTCTCACTCGGCTCCCAGAAGCATTGCTAACCATTCCCTGAAGCCAACGTGGGTGATACTTTGGGAGGAGGCACTACACTTGACCGGCAGGGTATAGCCGATTACGTCCATGATATGAAGATTGAACTGGATTTATGGTTTGAGTGAGTTACCTTGGTCCACCGTCTGAGATTTTGTATGCTAATTCTTGACAGTGACTGGCTACGCATCATCGGTATGATACAAATTGCTATAATCCAGTAATATGCTTTGGGATCAACAGAAAACTGATAATTAAACAAGAAAGCTGCATAGGTGCCGAAGAGGAGAAGCCGTCTTTGCTCGTCGCTCTGCGAGTACAAAAATGCTGGGCTGAAATGATGCTCAACTGCAAAGCACTACGAGCCATGGGCGTCGAGAACGTCGCGTATGTCAAACGCCCTATAACCCTGGAGGTTGCCACCCACTAACCCCAAGCAGGGCCATGTCCACCACCGAACGAACAATTCTCCTGACAGCAAAAGCAAGTGCCCGTCGCCATCTCCGACTCATAATAGTCGAACCAGACTTCTACCTCGCCAAGCTAAAATACGCCATGGACTTTGTCTGGGCAAAGTGTGCCTTCTCCTTCTTATTACTATTGAAACTATCACGTCTACTTCCCGAACGAGACGAGGAACATCAAGAGCTTCTAGACCACGGCAACCAACTCGTGTCTGAATTGAGCAAAGCAGGCTCAAATGGTAATCAGTCTGGTGCTGGGAATATCTACTTGCAGATTTTGAAGGTCAGTATTGAGAAATATGGACTTGCGTTGCGGGAAACGCAGCAGCCGAGCTCGGATGGGCAAACTGCTACATCGCCGTTCTGGGAGCTGTTTGATGCGCAGGCGGATCTTCAGTGGTTCGTGCCTGAGCAGTTTGTATCTGAGTGGGACTTCCCGGGGTTGAATTTGTTTTATTTTCCTACTGCCTGGCAGGATTTCTTTGGGGACTTTTCGTTGGCTATGTAGAGAATAGCTTTGTATTGGACACCCTGCGTATATGCTTCTATCTAACAAATAATTCAAAATGCCAAATGTAAACATAGATACAGGCTTCTAAGCTTGGAATGCCGTTCACTTTTGGTAGTCCTCTATCTAACTCTTAGGAAATGGACAAGCCCTGGATATCAAGAAATTCGAGTGAAAATAGCCTGGACGAACAAAAACCGAATGCGTCAACTTTCATCATAGTACAATCAGTACTTAAGCGAGAGCCTTCATGGCCAGCTCGACACTAAAGATACGGGTTAGCAGCGTTTCTGGATGATCAAATGAAGGGATACATACGTCAGGAAAGTTCCAGCAGAGACGGGCATAGCTCTCAGCAAAGTGGGACCAATACCCTTCCAGAAACCACCCAGACCCTCAACAGCATAAGTCTTCTTGAAGCAATCGCGCATGCTGCTGAACTTCTGGTTGGCACCGAATCCATCGGTCTGCATCTTACTCTTGACAACATCGAAGGGGTAGCTGGAGAGCCAGAGAGCCTCACCAGCGAGACCACCATAAGTAGCAACTTTAACGCTGGAAAGATCCTCGCGCTTCATGTTGTTGCGCTTGGCATCTTGGTTCATCATGAACTCAAACGCCATGAACCAAGTACCGTAAGCCTGAGCCTCACGTAAGACAGTAACAGCCTGGCCGCGGTACAAACCGCGGAGGGTACCACCCTGAGCAGAGAGCTTGCTCACGCAGTCCAGAGGGCCAGAGTACAGGCGGCCGGCGCCGTGGGGTTGCGCCTGCAGGCGGATACGCACATGCTCGATTGGGCCGGACAGCACAGAGTTGGTCACACCGGCGAATGAACCGGCCATGTAGTACTGGGTGTACGAAAGAGCAGAAACGGCGTATTTCTTCTTGTTCAGCTCTTCGAGGCGGCGGCGAGCCTCGTGGTATGCGCCAAACTGGACACTCACCTGCATTGCTGGGTTAGGGGTTTGCTATGCTGGTATTCGGGCTTAGAGTCACTTACGCAGGCTCCGATACCGATGAGAGGGGTCAGAGTTCCCTTGTAGAAGGCTGCCGGACCTTCATTTTTGAAGATCTGGGTTGCGCACTCCAGAGCACTGCTGTATTGAGTGGAGGTTTGCAATCGCACCTTGACGATATCTGGATTTTGTTAATCAATGTTTCATATTGTGCTTTATCGCATCACGTACCAAAGGGTTGACCTATGTATTTGTTAGCAATTCCAATAATACATGTCAAAGAATAGATTTTGCATAGTCCGGGGCTCAGGGTTCATGTCGTGAGGTCCCTGGCGCTTCCCCGGAATCCACTCAAATTAGGGTGCACACATACCGAGCAGCACTTGGGCCATTCCACCAGCTGCGCCCGCAGCCAGATCCTTGACGGTGCGGAGGGCACCGCCACCCTTCTCAATGTCTTCAAAGGCCTCAGACTCCATGTTCGATACTCAATTGCAAAAGAATGCAAGAGAAGGAGACTCGCGACTTTATAACGGCTTATCGCAATGTCGCCATCTGCCCGCTGATTCGAGGGGGCCGCCGATGCACGTGACTTTACCGGCGGAGAAATTACGTAAGCGGCTGATGTAAACAGCTGACATAAGCTGGTCGTCTCGAACTTCTGCATGGGGAAAAAAGTGTTGACGGATCAAATGTGGAGAGAGCAATTATGCATCGTCGGCCAGTCTTGAAGGTAAGTCTCGAGCTACTGCTGTGTTTGACCTTCTTATTAATGGCTAAAGCTCTCACATCGGGCTGGATTGTCGGGTTCAGTCGGCCTAAAACCCTCTTTAACAGCTTTAACCATTCGACGAATGTTAAGATCATCTGCGAGCCGTTTGAACACGTCTGATTCCTCAAACGGAAACAATAATGATGCTACTTCAAGTATTGCGCCCGCGAAACCCAAGTTTGGGAGCCGATGGGGTCCTAAAACAGCTACTAAGCCGGCCGGTTTAAGTGCCGCAGAGCAAGCTATGCGCAATAGTATTGTCGCCAGCAACCCACCGCCGCCACCACCGCAACCTGAACAACAACCAGAGTCGCAACCGCAGCGACGATACAACGATCGACCAAACCCGCTTCAGAACTCAAGGCGGAGACGCGACTCCCGGGGCCCGCGGTCAGCTTCGAAGTCGGCAGGCTTGAGCGCCGAAGAGCAAGCTGTGCGCGATACTTTTGGCAGCAGCAGCACAACTACTCAGGAGGGAGGCTCTTCTCGATTAGACACATTCCAGAGTTCCCGATTCAAGCGCGATGCAGACGCCTGGGGCGCTCGGACGGCTTCGAAAACAGCAGGTTTGAGTGCCACAGAGCAGGCTATGCGTGATACTCTGGTTGCCGAACACAACGTACCATCACCGCCACCTCCGCAGTCACGACAGGCGCGGCGACACGATCGATCAAACCCATTCCACAACTCGAGGCCAAGGCGCGATCGCGATGCGGATATCTGGGGCAGTCGGGATCCTGCCGACGCCTGCAGTTCGACGCCCTCGGAAGCAATGCCGTTCGGTCGAGAGCGGTGGCATGATGGAGTCCAGGGTAGGAATAATCGGGACAGGGCCGCTAATGACTGGAACTGTCCCAATTGCATGGCGCATGTCTTTGGCACAAAGATGACATGTCCATTCTGCCGCACCGCTCGGCCGGGTGGTCTTAAAGCAAGGTTCCGAACAATGAGAAACTATGAAGATTCCGCTCAATCTCAAGGAAGACAACCTGCTCGAGGCCCCTCCGAGGACGCAAGAAAGTTCCAAGAGCTGGGCAAGTCAGTTTTGCCCGATTTTGACCAAGGTCAGCCGGAGCAGTCCGATCTGGAAGACTCCGCTCGCGCAGAATCTCAACCGAAGGACAAGGAGGCCATTCAGGCAGAGAAAGAACAGAAGGAAAAGGCTAAAAAAGATCAATGGTCCTGGGATATGTCTGCACTCGACCAGTTGGAAAACCTAGAGTCACAAGAGCAGGCGCAACCGCAGAAGGCTGTGAAGCGCCGTGATGGACGCAAGGGCCGTCAAGCGGCACCCGAGGCAGCAGAAGAATTCGACTCGGAAGAACGCCAGCGTCTTCGTGAAGAACGGAGGCGCCAGCAAAAAGAAAAGGCCGCCAAAAAGGCTGCGAAGAAGGCTGCCAAGGATGCCCCAGCGCCTCTGTATCTGCCTGAGTTTATCAGCGTCAGCAACTTGGCTGATGTGATTGGTGTGCGGCCGGCGCAGTTTGTTGCACGCATGGAGGACATGGGATTCGAAGACATTACATACAGAGACATCCTCGATGCAGAGACCGCTGGGCTGGTGGCTGCCGAGTTCAACTTCGAGGCCATCTTCGATACCGGCGCAGATGATCTAAAGGCTGCACCTCCGCCAGAGGATTCATCTGATCTGCCAACTCGTCCTCCTGTGGTTACCATCATGGGCCATGTTGATCATGGTAAAACCACCATCTTGGATTGGCTACGCAAGTCATCGGTGGCAGCATCCGAGCATGGTGGTATCACACAACATATTGGTGCATTCTCTGTTATGATGCCTTCTGGAAAGGCTATTACCTTCTTAGATACTCCCGGTCACTCTGCGTTCTTGGAGATGCGTCGCCGTGGTGCTGATGTCACTGATATTGTGGTACTTGTTGTGGCTGCAGACGACAGTGTCAAGCCTCAAACCATTGAGGCCATCAAGCACGCCACCCAGGCCAATGTTCCCATCATTGTCGCCATGAGCAAGATTGACAAGGAGGGCAAGAATACCGACCGAGTCAAGGGCGATCTTTCTGCCAATGGTGTCCACGTGGAAGACTATGGCGGTGATGTTCAGGCTATTGGTGTAAGCGGTAAGACTGGAGAAGGGATGGTCGAGCTGGAAGAAGCCATTGTGGCACTCTCAGAAATGCTCGATCACCGTGCGGACATCAATGGCAATGCCGAGGGCTGGGTTCTCGAGGCCGCCACCAAGAGCCATGGTCGTGTGGCCTCTGTTCTGATTCGCCGTGGAACCTTGCGACCTGGCGATGTCATTGTTGCCGGAACCACGTGGGCACGTGTCCGGACTCTCCGCAACGAAGCCGGTATGCCCATCAGTGAAGCCACACCCGGAATGCCGGTTGAGGTTGACGGCTGGAGAGACCAGCCTGGCGCTGGCACCGAGCTCCTTCAGGCTCCCACCGAACAGAAAGCCAAGGAGGTCGTAGATCACCGGTTGAACAAGTCCGATACCCAGAAGATGGGTGAGGATATGGTTGCTATCAACGAGAGTCGACGAGCACTTCTTGAGAAACGCAGGCTCGAGAATGAAGATGACGAACCAACTTCCAGACCCGAGGAACCAACCGGCCCCAAGGCCGTTCATTTCATCCTGAAGGCCGATGTGGATGGCTCAGCGGAAGCTGTGATGAACTCCATTGCTGCAGTTGGCAACAATGAAGTCTACGCTAATGTGCTTCGCTCGGGTGTGGGCCCTATTAGCGAGTTCGATATCGAACACGCTGCCAGTGCAAATGGGAAACTCATCTCCTTCAACCAGCCCATCGAGCCCAACATCATGCGTATTGCAGAGAACGAGGGTGTTGAGATTATGGACCATAACATCATATACAAGTTGATCGATGATGTCAAGGCCACTCTCAGCGAGCAGCTGCCCCCATCGGTTACTACCCGTGTGACTGGAGAAGCGGAGGTTCAGCAAATCTTCCAGATCACTGTCAAGGGACGTGACAAGGCGACTATTGCTGGAACTCGTGTGCGTAACGGTTTGATCAACCGAGCCCGCAAGGTCAGGGTTATCCGCGGCGATGAAACCGTTTATGATGGTAAGTGCTCCACAGACACCATAGTGCAAATGTTTTGGACATCACTAACTTTTATAGGCACGATTGTTTCTCTGAAGAACGTTAAGAAGGACGTCACCGAGATGCGCAAGGATACAGAGTGCGGTATCGGCTTTGAAGACTGGTCTGACTTTGCAGTGGGCGACCATGTCCAATGCTATGAAGAGATCTTTGAGAAGAGATACCTTTGAGATATCATCGTATGATCTCAACATCTATGCGGTGAGTACCACCGCTTGTACTATTTGTCCGTATTTTCTGGCGCTCTCCATTCCCCTCGACCTTGGAGGATTCTGTATTATATTTTTCTTTTCTCGGCATGATTGACTTGCATCCATGGTTTGGGCGTTGTTGGATCCCTCAGGGATTAGAGAAAGGCATACAATCAATGTAATTAAGGAGATCATAGAGCAAGTGTATATGTTTTCACAGTGCTGGCCAACAAGCCATTGCCATTTATGTGCCTTCTCACCTGTATATCCTCTCCCCTTCACAGTCACAGCTATCTACTTAAAATATTCATATATCAAATTTTATAAAAACTACCTAGCCTTCCACCTAACCCTCCCAACCCACCCCGCCCAATCCTGTACATCCTCCCTCTCCAAAATCCTCTCAACAGTAAACCACTCCCGAGCAAGCTCCTCATTACTAGCCATACGATGCACGAAACTATGACATGCCCGACAAAGCCAAGCGACACTATTCAACATCCACTCCTCATGCCACCCCTTCTTAACGACCTTCGCATGCACCCCCCGCGGAATAAGATGATGATAAGAAAGCGGAATCCAATCCCTCTCGCAGATCTCGCACGCGTCTGTCCGCGTATCCGCCCACACGGGCGGCCCGGCCGTCACGCTGGTTGTGTACTCTGATAGGATTGGCGAGAGGAAATCCGGGAGGTCGGCTGCGTCTGGGATTATGCCATAGACTGCTAGAGAGTCCGTTACTGAGAGGGGAATTGGGGTGCATAGGGTTTCGAGGGTCGTGCGGTCTAAAGGGGTGTCTGCGTCTGGGGGGACGTAGAGGGTTGTCAGGGTTGGGTCGTGTTGGGTTGCGGAGTAGGTGAGGTTTTGGAGGGCTTCCGGGAAGGAGGTGAAAGTTTCTGAGGCGAGGAACTGGGAGTAAGTGTGAGATTTATGGGCTTTGTGAATGGATTTGGGTGTACTTACGTCGACGAATTCGGCGAGCTCTTCTGGGTTTGCTCGTTCCGTTGAGATGTCTTCTGTCACATCTTTGCGGGCATTGCGTTTGCCTTTGGATTTTCGTTTGGATGTTCTTGATTTACTCTCTGAGCGAGAGACGATGGCATTTGAGAAACATTCGCGGAAGACCGCGTAATTGTCTGAGGTCATTGAGGTTGGTTTTAAGCTCCTAGCTGAGAGGGGAGCTGTTTTGCCCCACGGAACATCGACATCATAGTCTCGCATACACGGATAAAGAACCTCGAACACTTCTAGTTCTATTTTAGTACTCACCTCTGACTTTTTGACTAGTAATCTTTGGCACGCCCCGGAGTACCTTAACTTAAATCATTGATCCATGTATAGTTATATAGTGCAAGATGGTAGATTTATTAGTGTTTCAATTAAGATATAGCTTCAAACAACCATAAATTATCTTCTCCTCTTTACCTCGCGTTGTAATCTTATTACAAAGCCATGAAAGAAGCCCGGATCTGGGCGGGGGCAATATAATTCAGATCAAGCTAGAGCAAGGTATGTTTACTGTATCTTACAGAGGCTCTTACAGAGGCTAAGTAAGACCTTAGATATATCAATAGCATAGCCTTCGAAGGGTTCCAAAGTTATCGTCTCCTTATTAGAAAGCATCCGATTTAAAATCTAGTATCATATATAGGCCCTTTAGAAGAGGACGGTATCCCGCAAGGTATTTAAAGTGCGCGCATCAATATCTACGCTCCTCCTCAGACTATGATCTTTAACAATGAGCTTGATTGCAAATACTGTATGTCTGATCATAACTGGTCCCTTGCCTTTTTCTTTTCCTTTTGCCTGGGCACCGAATTTTCCTTCCTTTTTCTGCCATAACCAATGCACATGATACGGTACCTTGGTCGCGGGGCTTGTAGCCTCTTCACGGGCGCTACAGCTTGCCAACCTCGTTTGGGCATACACGGTAGCGCTCTCTGAGTGCTCGGTATGCTCGGTAGTGATATGGGTCGCAGTTTCTAGATCATTCCGGGCGAGTTCAATGGCCTGCCGATCTCTCTCACAACCCCGAAGTGGATTGAACTACCTATGGGAAACCTTTGATGTGCCGCTACCTATCAAAAGCCCCGCTGTGGAGATATCTCCAACCGTCTCTTTATGCAAAAGGGCCTATGTTGCTGGCTCCTGTCCCCAGCTCCAGTGACTGTACCCGGGACCTACCTATACAATCTACACCCAAAACACTCAAAGTTAGATAACGTTGGAAGCTTGGAAGGTCAGGTAAACCTGATTAGTCATTCGTTATTTTTGTACAATATCGGCACATGTTTGGCAAGGTGAGAATACTAAGCACTCCCTGGGCTTGCGCTCATGCAAGGGGTATATTATAGCTGTATCGCTGCCCTCCCCAATATATCTGCAGCCATGCCCCTTGTCTAATTTTCTAACTTTAAGACCTTGGCCTTGTGTCAAATACCGTCAAAGGCATTCCAACATGGCTGCTCCCATGACTGTTACCATACAGAATCTTAACGGAAGTTGGACTCTGGTAAACGGACCCATCTACTCCCCTTCACCATATAATAGTTTATCAGGACTTTGATCACAGGTACTGACCTTTTATCTTATTAGGACAAGGGCCTGTCCAATGAAGCAGACCCAATGCTGAAGCTGGTACCTACATATTCATTCCTTCCAGATCAAGGATTTGGGACCTTTTTTAACACCCTGCTTAAATAACTACAAGCTAACGGTATCATTAAAACAGCTAGGAGTCCCATGGGTGCTCCGCAAGGCATTTTCAGCAGTAACGCTGCACGTCCATATCTCGGAGTATACTACAACAGACCCCATGACCAGGAAAGCCTTGGTAAACATCGAACTTGTTCAAAGCGCAATAGGCGGAGGCCTCGCAGGAACGACTGAAAAGCGAACGCTGAATTGGCAAGTGAATCATCACAAGGACTACATTTTTGGTGCTGTTCAAGGCTGGAGTCACTTTATTGGTTGTTCTACAGATCTTGACGGGAGCATACTGCCAGATCTCGACTTGCAAACCAACGTCGAGAATAAAGCGAGTGTAGCGCGATTCCTTCAAGCAAAATCTGACCCAGATGGTATCATTGCTGGCGGATTTCTCGTGGAAGAGCCCGAAGCTTCCAACTTTGGAAACGGGTTGGGTCTTTGGGTGCACACTTTTGAGCGTAGTGTGAATTCTGGCTGGACATTGGAGCAGGTACGTCTCTGAAATACATTGGAATCATGCCTGTTATAACGGAATTTAATATTTATCGTCACAAGGTCTGGGGTTTTGAGCTGATCGGTGGTCAACGTTACTTTACCCGTCGGATGGTCATTGTCAACTCCGCGGGACAATACGAAATGGGTAGACTTGTTTACAATTTCCATGATGATTGAAGCGAGGAAAGGCAGCGTGAAGAATCTAAATGTCCGACTGTGCTATTATTTCATAGACCTACCTTCCTGAGACTAGAACTGGGACATACTACTACAATTCTTGACGGCCAAGCCCTCGTTAGTATACCCCAGAGAAAGTCAGGTCCGGCTAAGAAAATAGTAGGTATTGCCTGTGACTAGATCACAAAGTGTTTCTCAAGATTGGGAATCAGGGGGCATTCGACCATATGATGTACGAGAGGGTTGCCAATTGTACCGATTCCCTGACGAAATCATCATGATACATCCATGATCCGGTGGGGTATCTCGTATTATGTATCTTCTTACAAGATAAAAAGACCGATAGAAGTAACCTAATGACCCACAAACTATTTCTTTATGATTTGGAAAAGAAAATAATTTAAAAAGCTAGATTAACCAAAATTGCCGACTAAAAGTAGAAACGGTAGGAGAGAAAGACTAAATCACATAGTGCAAACAGTGCAAACATTGCCAAGCTCAACAGGTTTCTCATCCGGTATCCTTACCTGTAGTCGCAAGTTTACGAGAAGCCATGTAAAGCTCTTGTCTTCGACCTGTAAACTCACAGCGATTATGAAAGGTACTACACTTGTTGCTTTTGATCTTTACGGTACACTGCTCTCGACAGAGTCGATTATCAAGCAGCTGGAGAAGCACTTCAGCCATGCCAAGGCGCAGTCGATCTCCGCTCTTTGGAGACGATATCAACTGGAATATACATGGCGGCTGAACAGCATGGGTAGGCCGATCACTCTAGATCCAGATGCAATACTAACAGCTTGTAGATCGATATGAAGACTTCTCAGTCATCACATTTAACTCCCTTCAGCATGCACTGGCCGATAATGGGGAGCAGCTGAGCGATGACGATATCGAACAACTGATGGCAGCTTACGATAATCTTTCCACATTCACCGACGTGACCCCGACCCTGACTAAAGTAGCAGCAGACCCATCCCTCGAGGCCGTGATCTTTTCCAATGGCACCAAGACCATGGTATCCAACTCGGTGCTCCGGTCGAAGGACCTCTCGCCACACGCGAGCGCGTTCAAAGATCTCGTCACAGTGGATGAGATCGAGCGCTACAAACCATCGCGGGCAACCTACCAGCACCTAGCAACTCAAATGGGCAAAGTCCCAACCCAGATGAGCAAGATATGGCTGATCAGCGGTAACCCATTTGACATCGTCGGGGCGCGCAGTACAGGCATGCAGGCTATCTGGGTTGATCGCGCCAACGCAGGATGGAAGGACGCTGCAGCTCCTGATCTACAACCGACGGCGATTGTACACAATCTGGAACATATTGTGGAAGAAATCCGGGCTCGGATTTAAGCCACGACTGAAGCTTAAGCATACTAAGGCTGAGAGGAGGAAATGTACAGCTGAATATATTTCCAAACGCTCCACGCTTGAGTAGAAGAATTTGGGGTAAGCCAGCAGACTCGGTCTATCCTCCCATTTCCCCTCCAGGATTTTCCATTGCAGGGAAGTCCAGAGTGAATAGGGAGGAAAATAGTTTTATGTGAAGAAGAAAAGGAAAAGGGCTCTCGGCGAAAAAATCTCGAGCAAAATAGGCAGTGCTTAGTCACATGTTAGTCAGAGCGGTAGCTCTCAATCACGTGGCTCTTATCGATAAGAGCAGGCTTCCTTTTTCCGTCCGCGTACTACGTAGACAGGAGAGATCGAGTCTGCAAGCCATGTCGAGACTGTGGGATCCCAGCCGTGCAGCTTGGCTGTACCCTCTTCGAGTACGTGTCCTCGATTAAAATGCAAAGTCAATACTGACCTGATATCAGGGCATCTTCTACTTTGCGTCGAACCGGTTCCTATGGCCTCTGTTCAAGGCCCGCCTTTTGCCCATCGTCCTCCTCTCCTCATTTATATACTTCATTCTCTTCTTCTTCACCTACCTCCCCCAGGTTGCATTCCTTGCTATCTTCCAGGGCGCTTCATCATGGGTTAGCGGTGCATTCCTAGTCCTCGGTGAAGGTGCTGCGATCGTCGCCGCGCTCTTCGAGGCATTCTTCGTGGATGAGACCCTAGTGGATATTTTCGATGCAGTTTTGGTAAATGAGGGCCAAGAGGAGCTTGTCACCACATCCCGTGTCATCTACCCCGAGCCGGGCAATCCTGCCAAACGCCTCGGCACGCCGACCACCAGTGCCGTCTATTCTCCCTTTTCGTTGCGGCAAATCGTTGAGTTCGTTGTTTTGCTTCCGCTCATCTTTATCCCCGTGGCTGGCACTCCCATGTTTCTCATTTTGACCGGCTATCGTGCCGGTCCCTTCCACCACTGGCGCTACTTCCACTTGCTTGATATGAGCAAGCAGCAAAGGAAGGAAAGCATCAATCGACGCCAGCTGCAGTATACCACGTAAGTGTCGGTCCACGTCATTGCCAGATCTGAATCTGACATCACGTTTAGGTTTGGAACGGTCGCCCTGATCCTTCAGCTGATTCCCCCCTTCTCCATGCTCTTTTTGATGACCACTGCCGCTGGCTCTGCACTTTGGGTGACGGATATTGAGCGCAAGCGTCGAGCTGCTAACCAGCAGGCTAGCCGACTCGGTGAACAGTATCGTGATGACATTATGCCATGACCTGTTAACAATATCATATGTGCAGACCGACATTTAAACACGGCCAATGTAATTTCCATGTCTGGACCCTGTGGGCGGGCCCCTTCCCCCTGGTTTGAGCCACTAAAATCGGGCCCATAGATTTCATAAATCCAATTGTAGTTCTCAAGTTTCATTCCACTTGTAGTTCTTAATTTTGGGCATTACGTGCACGTGACTCGCATCCGAGGTCATTTCTCATTGCATCGTGTTCCTTCAGCGATTCATCTTTGGCGGCTCGGTTTCAGTTCCATCTGCCCCGCTTAGCGACTCCCGGCCATTCAATCTTCCCCGGACTTCCATTGAAACGCGTTCTTGCGTTTCGGAGTTTCTGATATACTCCGAGGACTTCACTTTTTGCTCGGGGGGTATACCAAGGGTTTTCCGGCCCTGAATGCATGCGCTTGTGCTGTCCCTGGATTAATCATGACCTGACAGCTTGAGGCATGGTCAATCCGAGCGCGTAAATAGCTCACCGATGGACCTGAAAACTAGGCTGCGCAAGGCCTGCGATGCCTGCAGTATTCGAAAAGTGAAGGTATGTCCGTTTTAATCCGCGGCAAACTGTGGAGATACTGATCTTCCATGCAAGTGTGATACCGGTGGGCCGCCTTGTCGGTCATGCGCTAGCTTGGAGATTCCCTGCACCTACGAGAGACCCAGCAGACGCCGTGGGCCTCCTAACCGCCATGCAGAGGCGCTTAAGAAACAGAAGCGGGAACCTCTGCTTGACGATGAGGCATCCGTAAGTCCGGCAGACTATCCGTCGGTGACGACAGTGACGACTCCACAGGCCACATTCGCCAACCCTCCATCTGGGCCGTTTCCCCTGTCAGCAGAATCGATATGTTCTTTGCATACAGTTCAGCTGTTGCTCGATGATTTTTTTACTTATATCCATCCTTTGGTTCCAGTTCCTCATGAGCCTACTTTCAGAGCTGCTTTTGAGAGGAGGGAAGATGTGACCAATCACACTTTTTTGGCCCTTTTGGCGTCCATGATTGGATTTCTCGTGGCTTCATTTCCTCGAAGACCTAAATTAAGGCTCAACACTGAGGCTGAACGTAATGCGTTCCCTAACTCTATAGCTCTGGTCAAGCGGTGTCTCGACGTTGCCATCCAAGCCCGAGGCGCCGGATATCTCGATCGCAACGCCACAGTATATGATGCGGCAATCAGCTATTTCCTCGCCGTCTGTGCTGGCTATATCTATAACATGCGCCGTTGCCGCGTCTATCTCTCGGAATGCCGAGCTATGCTCTCAGTTTATGATCTATGCCGGTCTCCGCCAGCCACCACCCGATCATCAACACTGGCAGCCAACGGCCCACTATCATCGGTCTCAATGATGCAAGATCAACCCGTTCATAGTTTCATGGACACCCAAGGTGTCGATCTCATCACCCAGGAGCTCGGCCGACGTCTGTTCTATGTCACCCTTGTTGGGTATCAGACATTGCACCAAATGGGGTCTGCTGATATCAAGGTCCACGTCCCTCCAGAGACTCCAACAGACCGGTACCCGCCACTGCCGATGGAGATTGATGACGACTTTCTGTTCCCAACACACGTTGAGCCACAGCCATCGAGTCGCGTTTCACGATTAGTCGGATTCAATGCAAATGTCCGTGTCTATAGCTCATACACGGACCTGCTATCTTGGGAGATAGCATTTGGTAGTGGTCAAATCTTCGACTGGGAGCATCAACGTACCAGCCTTTGGGGCTGTCTTCGGAAAGCAAAGTCTGCATTACTCAATGTCCCCGTTGAGTTATCGCTAGACCACCCGAAACATTTATCCCCAGCCCGCTTGTCTGGTCTCGGCGAAGATGGCACAGTGTTCAGCTACTCAGATGACCACATCCATCAAGAACGACGCGCCATCCAGTATGAGATTCAAAAAGCCAACATATATGCCAGTCAGCTGTGCACCAGGTCTTTTCTAGTTGAGAAGTACTGGAGCCTTTTTGAGACTTTTTCAAAATATGGAAAGTCGCCCAAGTTCACTGCACCAGGTGCCACAACGCCGCAGATCAAGGTCGAAGGCACATCAGATACGACACAAGCTGCCGCTGGCACTACAACCACTCCATCAGAAACCAACACCAACACTCAGGCCCAGACCCACGCCCAAAACGACTATATCGGCCGCATGATGGCGGAAGAGCGTCAATCAGTCATAAAAGACCTCTTCGTACTATTAAGAACAGTAAACGAAGTAAACATGGAGCCAAACGGCGCAAGCATCGTATGTCTCCCACCAATCCACCCACAAATCACAACCAAACTAAACTCACTAACCATCCACTCATCCCTACACAGACAGGCAAAATCCGCCAAGTAGCCTCAACTCTCCTAAACCTCTCCCCACGCACAAAACAAACCCCCACAACCGAAATCCCAAGTTTCGCACCTCAACACCAACACCCCTTAGAACCAACGGCCCCATCCCCAACACCCACGCCAGGCCTACCAGGTCTACACGTCCTCACCGCCGCAGAAGCAGAATCCTACCTGCACGCATTCATTGAGACTCTCGTCCGACTGGAATGTCATTCTTCAATGGCTGACTCGGCTAGTAATGCCGATGGACTTAGTCCGCAGGTTAATGGCCGTTCTATGAGTTATCTTTCTGATTACCAGCGTGATCAGGAAGAGCTTGGGCAGTGGGCTAGCCTAAAGGAGTATCAGCAGAAGTTTGCTGAGGCTGGTGGTGTTTTGTGTCAGTTGTAATTTGGGGGTCTTGCTTCGTTTCGGGGTTTCTTGGTTTTTGTATGAGGAGTTTTGATGTGTGGTAGGTAGACTGAACTTGGGCAACTTTGCTTGGCAGTTGTTCGTGTCAGTGTCACTCTCGGGCTTTGTTCATGCATCGATTGCTGGTTTGCAGTCTTTTTGGACATTATCATGGTGGCTATTATTCAACCTATGTAATCTTATTATATTTTTAGGATTCTTTTTGGCATAGACGTGCTCGTTAGTGTTATCAACGACTCTAGGTACTGTGTTGCGACTGACATGCGCAGTTTGGGTTCCTAGTGGGCAACCTAATTGGTCAAATTCCGTTAGGGTCATATAACCCATCCTCAAGAGTCGTACTCCCTTCTTATCAACTACAAGTACATCATAGCCCTCATGGATCTAAAGTCCTAAGAACTCAGCCAGAAGCTTGCAAACCTTTCCGAGGTAGTCTTGACTTTAGTGTTATTAAGCTCGTACCTTTCGTATAACGCGTGGGTACTGCTGTATCTACCATTGTTCCAAAGCAATCAACATTGCCTGCAAATTACCCGGTGAAAGAATATTTTTTTCACCACATTATCTGTAAGAAGTCCCCACAGTGGGTCGTCCATGATTCACACCTCACACCGAATCTTCAAGACTATATTGTCGGTGGATCGATCCCCCTTTGGTGCGACTTTAGGGCACGATTTCTAACGGGTTTGAAATCCGCCGGAAGGCCCTGAATATTTGTATATAGAAAATAATCGTGCACTCCCTGTTATTCTATGTTCAAAGAAATTGAGATAAACATGGCCTGTAGCAGGTAACGTTACAGCTTCAGCAAGGCTAACATGTACATGTATGTGAGGCTTAATGACAAAGAAGTCAGCCCAGCCTTAACCATTGGCGCCCTACTTGATATTGCAGCTGCAAGTCCCTATATGGACCTGCCGCTAGGCGAATCACACTTGTACACGTTTATAGATGGCTCCGCGCATGGGCCAGTTGGTTTGAGAAGAACTGGGCATTGCGGGTCTGTTTGTCTAGTAGCTACTGTAATGTATGTCCTCCTCAATGATTTGCACGAAAAAAGAAGCGCCTTACTGCAGAAAATACGCCTTTCTCGCACATAAAACCAATGAATTTCGAAACCTGCGTATTTGTACTGAGAACAGAGGCAATTCCCCAACTAGAGTAATTGCTTGCAAACATAGTATTGACCGCTAGATGCAAGCCAATGGAGCTCCTAGAAAGAAAGGAAAGTTAGTCAAATCCTTGTAAGCAAAAGACTAGTCTTACACTGATACACCAAGTGCCCGTTCTTATTGCTAATCCGGTCGTTCAGGTCAATACCCTGTCTCTCTCTGTAACCTCCGTCTCTCATGGGCAACTCCGCTGTCAACATGGGCCCATCGAGCTCAATTCTCTGGGCACTCTGACCGGCGTTTACTCCATCCCACATGAACCACCCTAGTATTCGTTGTTAGTGATTGCAACATCGTCAGAATGGGCTAAGAAGCGAGGATAAAAACGATACCATCTTCGTTTCCAATGAAATCATCGAGTCTCAAAGTGGCAGGATGAAGGTTGCCATCTACATCTTGGGCATCACAGTGCAGGAAGATTGAGCCGTCATTGATCTCAATGCGAACGTTTTCGCAGCTTTCAAAGAAGGACATGTTACTGAATTGAAAGTTGAGAGTAGGAAGATGGTAGGGTAGAATGGGGTGAAGAAGATCTCAAACTTGACTTAGACATATTTATACCTTCGCGGAAGGAGGAAAAGTGGGCTTTTGGCGCCAACATGTCTTCCCATACTGGAATAATGCCAAGAATATAGCCCTAAAAGGTATGACGTGTGAAACACAGACCGAAAGATAATTAAAGAGAAATTTTGAGTTCGTACGTATAATTTGGCTGTATTTGAAATGATTGTGTTTCATTCTAGGTAGAGAGATATGTCCAAATACCAGTGCTTCTGGAGCCCTCAGGTAAAAGCAACAGACTACAAAATGACACTAGTCTGTACTCAAGGTAGCGTCATACAAAAGTGACTTATCAATATTTATTCCAAAAAGAAAGAAAAACGGTATAAGCATAGCTCAACTACATAATCCACAAACTGAAATCAATCTGACAAATTGCCTCCATTTAGAACAAGAAGAACATCAATTGAGAAATATTATCCAGCTATACATTCCTAGTTACAGTAGAAGTTACAGTCTCGACAATCCTCTCTGTAACAACTTTCGTAACAGTCTCAGTAACATGAATAAACCCTGCCGGTGTCACCGGTATAACACTGAGCAAGCCCCGTCCTGCTTCTAATGTTGTCATGTTCGTAGGCACAGGTGCAGCGGAGTGAGTTGTCACCGCAGCGGCAGGTTCAGTGGGTTGAGTAGTTGCCACGGCCGCTGCTGCCCCAGCTGTATTTGCTGTTGATACTACTGCCGGTGGGATGGCGCTCTTCTCACTTGAAGTACTTGAAGTGGATGATGTCGAGGGCAGAGATGATGCCGCTGGGTATATTGTTACGACAAATGTTTCTGTTGCTGTTGCAAGGACGTGGATGGTGTGTTGTTCACTCGAAGAAAAGGATGATACAGAGGGCGCGGCGGAGGCAGTGGTCGTTGGCCAGACTGTTATGCGGACGGTTTCTGTCTTGGTTGCGAGGACCGTGACAGGATCAAGATCGAACGATGTTGTTGGTGGGATAGATGCGGGGGCTTGGTTGATAGAACTAATAGAACTAGCTGCTGGAATAGGTAGGATAGTTGTCGTTGTTGGTGGGAGAGATGCGACGGCTGGTTGTATAGATATGGCTGCTGGTGGAAGAGAAGTGGTTGTTGGCGGGATCGGTGGGATAGACGTCGTTGTCCCTGATGGAGATATCGCAACTGGCTCAATAGAGGTAGCTGCTGGGATTGGCGGGATAGAGGTAGTTGTTGGTGGGAGTGGTGGTATAGATGTCGTTGTTGGTTGGATAGATTTAGTCGTCGGCTTGACAGATGTGGTTGGTACATGAGTAGATATAGTTGTGGGCTTGGTGGATGTAGTCGTGTGCTTAACAGATGTGGTTGTCGAGCGAATAGAAGACTTTGTGGTAGTTGAGTAGGGTACTGAATGTGGTCCACTAACGTAGATAACGACCTGGCTTGTTTGTGTCATCATTGGCATTGTCGAAGTGAAAGACTTCGCCGTTGAAGAGTTTGTGGTGGTTGAAGAGCTCGTGGTGGTTGAAGAGCTCGTGGTGGTTGAAGAGCTCGTGGTGGTTGAAGAGCTCGTGGTGGTTGAAGAGCTCGTGGTGGTTGAAGAGCTCGTGGTGGTTGAAGAGGATATGGTCAAGTGTACATAGGTCATGATATCAACTTCATCTGGATTGACACTGCTACTGCTGATCGATTTTGGCACGCTGCTTGGTAGTATATCAATGATTCTGGCAGCAGATGAAGGAATGGGTGCCGTGGTGCGGGCCGTAGTCAACAACAAAGTTGATGCGGTTGAAGTGTGAGATGTTGTAGTGGAAGCATGTGTCGTAATAGGCGCATGTGTGGTAGTAGGTGCCACCGTGCTTGACTTCTTTGAACTTGAAGTACTTGTAGAGGATACAGGAGCAGACTCAGTATAGTTCGGGTCATTAATCGTAAAAGGTTTCTGCCAGCTGTAACTAGTGAGCTCTGACCTGACCGATAAAAGAGAGGTAGAGGTTGTAGCCGGAGAAGAAGTGGCTGGATCAGGTAGCAGCGATGAAAGGGGAGTGAACCCGACTGTTGGTGCATCTGTTGAGCTCTCGACCTTATGCGTCGGACTAGGAACAGGAATGACCGTCAAGCCACCATGCTTGTCATTGTCATCACGCCGGGAGAGATCCTTGGGCGAGTAAGTAGTCGATAAAGGTTCCAACTCGGTAAGAACAGGAACAGGCGGGCCAGTAAATAACCAGCGAGAAATCGGACCAGCCGAGACAGTCCACGCCAAAAGAGCGAATAGCAAAAAGAGCTGAGCGCGGAACATCCTGGCAAGAAACAGCGAGTGACAGGAAGACTTCAGAGAGCGTAGACAGCAGAAAAAGAAGGAATATCAGGCAGAGATATAAGAAAGAGATTCAATATAGGAGCAATCACACGCATAGAAAAGCATGGCCAAAGAGGAAAGATAGTCTTGTTCTGGGCGTTCTGATGGCCACAGATGAAAGAATGGCTTGATCAGGATGATCAGAAGGAAAAAGAAACAAAAGAATGAGGCGACAGCGAGGCACTCTGATACCAGGAAGGGGGTGAACTTTTTCTTTCTTTGAGAGATTCGCTGTCGAGGACCCTAACATGTATATCTGCAGACTTAGGGCCCGGTTGGGTCAGGCCTAGAGCTCCTGTCAGCCGCCCATTGTTGCAGATATAAGGGCATTAGTATCGTCAGAGGCCGCCATTGCAAGGGGCTCTTTGTGGGACGTTTCACTTGAAATAGATCTGCGAACAAAGAGACGTTGCAGTAGGCGCCGGGGTTGATGGCGCGTGGTGATTGGCCCGCTGTAGGCGCAGCACCACCTTTGATTTTAATTTCGACCTAAATAGAGAACGTGGAGTTTGTTTATACACTGAGAATAGTTGATTTTTTTCAATTGTTGAGTAGTACGGGCGCTTAGATGGTAGAATTTGATTATGTTCCGGTATACTTCAAAAATTAAGGATATAGTGTCATTGCATGATTCAGCCACCATCTCAACCCGATATCTGCAGACAAATAAGTCAGACTAAGTCTGGACTGTAAATATTCCGCCAATTCCTTCAAACGATGAAATCTGACCAAGGGCATTCTTTGAGTCTCCGTAGTAGTGCATCCGATAGGTCCCATCCTGCAGGGGGGTCGGGTCGCCGACGCTGTAATAATCATCCTCAATCTGCCATTGAATAGTCACTTCACTGTAGCCAAGCCAGCTATTTGTCCGTGTCCAAAGGAACATCAAATTCCAGTCGCGGTCGTTGCGCACCACCTCCCAGTCACCGGATTCTTTCTTTCTTTCAACCGCAGCGTAGGTCGATTCCTGACGCAGGTTGTTCCTCGGATTGGCGCCCACGAAGGTCGTATTTACAACCTTACCGGGGCTAAAAGGACCACTCCCCGGGTTTGAAAGCACGTCCCCGAAGGACTTGCCGAATGGTGTACCGTCGTACACAACCCCTGCGATGAAGCTCAATGAGTGATTGGTGTTGATTGGTGGACTTGGGCCAGGCTGGATGTCTGGGAGGGTCAAAGCAATTGATGGCTTGTCCAAGTATGGCAGGTATGTGAGAGTCAGGTTGATATAAGCTGCCAGGGTGTTTGGTCCGAAGAGCGTTGATGCGCCCTCGTAGCGCTGGGCACTGTACTCTTCCTCGGTTGCCACATAATGTGCATAGCTATTCGACGGGGCGCCTAGCACTACTTGAGGGTCAGAAACGGAGAGTTTTTCCCTGGCTCCTTTGGCTATTGCTTCCTTCCAGCGTCGCCCAGACATGGTGGTAGCTTCGCTGGTGGAAATAATGATAAACAGCTGACCCACTCGCAACAGCTGGATGTCAACAATATCTGCCGCCCAAGCATACGGCTCAGTAAGAGTGCCGACATCCAAAAGCACGTCCTTGGCGCCTTGACACTTCTGCTGTTCTTCGGTCGGCTGGTGAATGAATGCCCGCGCGACTTGCCACAAAGGATTGCTTGCAGCTGGACCGGTGGCATTTTGAGTGAAATCAAAGGCCCCTGGCCCATCTGTAGTTCCCGCAGCAAACGAATAACCCAAAGCCGCAGGACATGTCGTAAGCATACTCGAGTTGAATGGCGACTGGAAAGTGTAGCCATTCATATCCTGATAGACGTGGAAAGATCTGACAGCAGAGCTCCCAGTGAGTTTGATAGGACTAGTATTCATCTGCTCCCAAAGCTTCTTTGCTGCTGAATATTGGCGGCGTCCAATTTCAAAGCAGCTCTTTGCGCCATTATCCTTTTCCCGGAAGAAAGGCCCTCGACCATGGCATGGCTCGTTCTTTCCACCGCAGGTGCTATCCGTATACCGACACATTTCGTTCGACCCATCTTCACACCAAGCACCCAGAACATTAGGGCTTGTATCTCCGACATTGGCCTGCGAGAATCCAATAACAACATCATCGGCAAATCTTGCATCGCCGGTTATGCTCCGCTCGAATAGATAGGCTGCTACACCCTTGTTGTCCCCAGTAACTAGGGTGTTGTTGTTATACATGGAAGTGCCATGGACAGGGAACCAAGTCAAAACCGCCGCCGTTTTGTTGTCAGATTCCCGGTCAAACCGAAGGAGGGTCAAAGATTTATCCACATTTGCTGAATACCGTGCCTTTTCCTCTTCGGGGTTGTGGTCGTACGAATAAGGGCTGCGGTTGGTATTGGCGTCTTCCAGGTCAATCGACCCAAAAGACAGCCGTCCCGGCGTCAAACTTTCATGGGCACGCTTGATAGAGAGAATAGTACCATCGACAATAGCTTGATAGCTCTGCTTGTCAAAGCCTCGCGTCGGAATCTGAGGGAGGAGGTAATTCATCCACGCCCCGGGGCCGGAATGCGAATGTGTTCCTGTCAATGCGACGTTGTGTTCGCCGTATCGTGCATAATCAGCACCGAGCGCAGCAAGACCCTGTAGGACTCCATGTCGCACGGCAGTGTCACCGGCGAGTGTATCGAGGACGAGGTACACAAAAGTATCCTCTGGTTTGTTCGGGTCTGCAAAAATGAAGGCGCGAGAATATAGCCTTTGCTTCAGACCGGTACCAAGTTGGTCGAGACTAGCATAGCCATTGAAGTCGACTTCAACCACGGGACTAATTGTTCTATTAGCAATTTTCGGGGTGTAGATATCGGGTTAACAGCACAAGCATACCCTGTTACATCGGCTTTGCCAGCTCCCACCAGAAATGTCCCGTCGTCAGTAGCTTCATTCGCCCTACTTCTCCAGTGATTCAAGTTCCTGCTGAAACTAGGCGAGGGCAATTTCTCGTCATGTTTGAACACTGCGAGTAGCTGCAAACACAGCAGCGCTGCGAGCGTCACCGCTGCGAAGATAATGCCCAATCGAACGTTGGCCATCTTTGAGGGTTTGCCGATATACCAGATAATAATATAGGGCTATGACTTCAGCATATAGAGCTCTCCGAGTTACTTTGCCCCTGTGGAGAGATAGGCCGTCCCAGGGCGACACACGAGCCTTATAGAAGCCCGTCACGGAGGGTTCGCCCGCAAGTCAAGCTAGTTGATCAACATGCAAGGCTTGTAAAAAAGAGGTAAGCACCACGCTAGTAGACCCTGCAAGAGGTGACATCGCTTAGACGATGTGTGATAGCGAGCTCCTAGATCGTCATTCTTCTGCATTCCGCATCCCAAACGGGATTAGACTTTGGACCTCCCCCGCACGGAGGATGAGATATCCCGTCATATCTGCATATTGAGAAACCAGTCGGGAAGCTGGGAACTGATATTAGATGAAATGCGGCAGGTGTCAGGTTTGCCTTGAGAGCACCTGGCAATTGGAACTGATTAATGTAGCCTGTGGCCGGGACCTCCTTGAGGGCTTCAGGCAACGTTCCCAACTACTTTATATCCGGACCCTGGATTTCCCCACTGGCCCCATGGTTCATATGCAGATAGGAGCATCCCAACTCAGATCTATCACTAAGCTAACATAAGTTGTACACAATACGACACTATTTATGCCCCTCATTTCTGTATACTTCTCGGTCACATGACCCGCTGAGTAAGATGTCACTGACCGCCCTGGAGCATCCAAGATTAATCGACCGCGACATTCTCGATCTTAACCAGCAGATCACTCAAAATGCCTCTTATCAACGAATCCCACGACTCACTTCCCTGTAAGTAAAACCCAATTCTCACCTCCAACTACCAATGAACCCAATTGTCCTAACATACCGACCAGACGTCGACGCGGCGCCCTCAGCCTCCGCGCAAGCACGAGCCCAGCAGCTCATCAACGCAGAGCTATCCCCGGAGCACTCTACAACGCTGCACCCATGGATCCCAGAAGCCCCAGAACCCAAGTTCACTGAATTCATGCAACAAGAGCTCGCGCGCAAAGCACAAGGCACACCACTCACAGGCGGAATCGACCTCTCCCGCTACGAAGCCCCCGAAGCCCCAACCCGCGCCTCAGACAACGATGCGCCCAACCTAGAAGAATGGCGTCAGACTCTGCAAAAAGCATACGCATCAAGCTTGCATCTCGCCAAGCGCCATGAGAACCTGGCTCTGCTCGAAGAGCACGGCAAGAATGCGTGGTTGATTGGTAATTCGCAGCTGGAGGAAATCCTTGGCGGGTTGGAGAAGGAGCTGGCTGAGACAAAGGAGGCTGTTGAGGAAACCAATAAGCAGAGGAAGATCGCGCAGGAGGCTAGCCACGGCGAATTGGTTAGTTTGGAGGAGACCTGGAAGCGTGGTGTTGGTGCTATTCTTGATGTGGAGGTTGCGTCGGAGGGTCTGCGGATGCAGATTCTTGAGCATCGGAGGCAGGTTGCTCGGCAGCAGGCGCGTTAAGGGGTCCAGGTCCTTATCTTGTCTGTGTACTATCTTTGAGGGCGAAAGCTTGTCTTGGGCTGGACTGGCGGCTTCGTGTTGGGTATGGTCACTTCTTGGTTGCACGGTTTGCATGCTGGTGGAACGCTTGCATGTTCAAGTATGATGCGTGCGACTCAGTTTCCGCTGTGGTTGGACCCTCTTCCTATGAACGCAGGCTTTCGTTGGTCAATGGTCTCGCAATTTGCGCGTTTGCTTTTGTGCCGAGACCTCCTCAATCGTCCAACGCTGTGATCCAGAGGGTTTTGGTGATTTCTGGCTGAAGCCATTGCCCCCAGCAAGCAGCAACCTCGAACTACGCCCAATTTATGGTTTCATCAAACCAACGCCACAACCGCTCCAACAAAAGCCCTTACATCCGGGTCGGAATCGGAGGAAACCCCCAATCTAGCCAGGTACTGCAGGTCAGCACCACTACAGCATAAGGTACAATGAACAACACAGCTCTGGCTGGTTTTCGCTCATAATACCAAATCTTCTCTTTCAATCCTATCTTCTGTAGTCAATTCCTGAGGTATCAACCCAATCCCTTAACCGCGCATTCCGCATTCGAGATTCAATTTCATATCACTCGCACCACAGTATAACTAAACTTTCATCGGCGCAACAACATTAACATCAACCCCCTCCCTCTCAACCTCGATCCCCAACCGCTGCACAACCCCCTTAACACGTACCCCCTCACTCTCCGCCAACATATTCCAATCAACAAGCCGACGACACATCCCATCAAGCGTCGAAATAACAGGCACATACCCCAACCCTCCAGCTTCAGGACTCAGCCTAGCCCTCCGATCATCCCCAAAAACATGAATATTCAAAATCCCAAAAAGCGCCGGCTGGATCTGCTCCAGATCCTTAGGGATCGCGGGTATCAGCGAGTGCAGGTAATTGTAGCGCAGGAATGCATATGCCTCGACGATGTAGGAGAGTAGGAGGAATGGCGCGGGTTGCAGGGCTGGGAATGAGACGGGGGTTTTGGATAGGGTTGACAACAGCTTGTACAGATCCCCGAAGGCGATTGCTGGATTCGGGTCTGTCACTACGTATGCTTGGCCGCTTGTTTTGGGATTTGGGTTTGATGGGTTGCTTTGTTCGATTAGGCGTTGTTCGTAGAGGAGATGGGCTAGAGAGACGTTTTCGGCGTGGACGAAGCTTTGGAGGACGGGGGAGGCCCAGCTTTTTGGTTTTTGGTTGTGTTAGTTTTAGGGCTTCTGGGAATTGGGGTGAGTTTGTTGACTTACGTTGGACTGCCACCGTTGCGGAGGTAGATGTCTGTGATGGCCATGTTGTTCTCGCTGCCTGTCCCGTAGATGCCATTTACTGGGCGGATACATCCAGTGCGGAAGTTGTTCTCTGGGTCATCGGCTGTTCGAACGATATGCTCTGCTTCGGCTTTGGATACGGCGTAATTTCCGAAGAATTCTTCGTGTGTCTGTGGTAGCTTGGCCTCGTCGTTGAGAACTTGGACCACGCGTTTGGGTTCGGTGGCCCATGGCATAATCCAGAACTTTGGTCGATGGATGCCGATTGACCCAGAGGACGTCCAGATGAAGCACGAGGCACCTGCTTTCTTTGCTGCGCTTAGGACGTTGCGTGTGCCGTCGATATTGACTTTGCTGCATAGTGAGAGCATGCTTTGCAAGCGATCTGAAGGCCGAATCACGGCTGCAGTGTGGTAAACTGTCAGAGGGAGATTGGCAGCTGTGGCTGGCCATGGTTCTTCAAACGCCGTTTCCACTGCGAGCTCGTCGGTGATGTTGACCTTTGTGTAGCCTACACCATGGTCGAGGAGCTCTTGGGCTGGGCGGGCTAGGTCTAGCACACGTACGGTTTTAGGGTCTTCGCCGCGGGCTAGGAGATGGTTGGTAATCCATGCTCCAACGAGGCCTACAATTTGTTAGTCTCTCTCTTATGTCGTGGTTGAAACGGGGAGATTTGTAAATGACCCGGGGCATACCTGTTCCGCCCACAATCACATATCGACGAGACTGTTTTGGTGGCAGGTGTTTGGTCATATCGATAGGGGTTTCCAGGTTCTTCTTGTATGCTGCTTTGATTTCCTCGACGGTCCAGCGATTGGGTGATAGTTGTCGTGCTTCGTCTGGTACTGCCTTCATGGCGCAGTTGATCCGCCACATATACAGGACGCCGAGCGTCAAGATGCCTATCAGTAACCACATGGTTGATTATTCTGTAGACCCTTGAGGAAGTTTTTGGAGGGTTACAAGAGCGGAGAGTTGCGGCGTAAAGGCTAAAAAGAAGCTCCGATCATTGAAGATCCGGCCCCCTGAGAATGTTGCAATGAAAAAGTCCTGAACTGTTCAATTTCTTCATTTATTTAACATCAGATCGGATCCAAAATGGCAGGTCGCTTAGATCTCGGTTATTTTAAACGAGCGACCTGAGACCCTCCCGTTGCTCCAAGCGAACATCTTGACATCGTCACATAGGTTCGTTTGATAAAAGAGAGGTTATCTCTACCCGAGACATGAGTATTCGGTTACCAACATGATTGACAGAAAGTTCCAAGATCCAACGTACATGAAACGGGGACGTTGGCTCTTATAGATAGATGCATAGATCAGAACTAACGTTAACACGCATGGCGGAACGTTCCGCTTAAGTTTCGCCCCTTTTCAAATTTGATCGCAATTCCAGTTTCACATTGCAAACTTGGCTTGGTTCCACTCTCAACTAGCGGTCGGGATGTATTCTCTTCCGTCGTTTTGCCATCTGCATGAACATGTACATACATGCAACTAAGTCAATGTAGACATGGATATAGACATGGAACATGTGTCAACCCCAAATGCCTACAATTTATATTACCCCGCTACAGTCTCGGCATAGACCCATAGGTCAAATGTAATAGAGACATTCAGTGTATTCGGCAAACCGGCACGCTAAAGCTGCCCGAGGGAATCCACTTCCGGCCTGATAGACCCAGTGTGTTGGACCAATTCTCTACACTATGAGGAGTCTTTGTCCCATGGGGAAGTATCTATATTACAGTGTATTCATCTCTATAGGATGGGAAACCTGCGCAGGAAGATTGCGCCATCTAATACATTTTGATACACCCAAACATACGCCAATATAGCAGTTCTTGGCCCTCGGTTTTCATTCCGAGGTCCTCAGTTCACTCGGCATCTACTTCATAAAAGAAGATGCTTATCACTGTATTGGCCCCACCGCTTGAAAAATTTCCAGCTTTACGTTTGATATTCCTTCGTCTTACTACATATGTGAATTGGACTCTGGCTCGTTCTCTTCCGCTCTCAGGTCTTAGCTTTTTGTTTTATCTTTGCCATTAAGATCTCTGTAAAGAAGGCTTCATCCCGAACTTTCTATTGCCCGTCAAAGCTTCTCGGGATGTCTCAACATCCCAATTTGGAAGCCGAGAAACGGCCCCAGAACACCGATGCCGATTCCATCGGCGACTCTATCTCCTCGGTAGAAACACACGATGATCACGATGCCCTGGGAAAGACACTGACAGCTCGCGCTTCACGAACCTCGCATATGTCCTTGTCCGAACGAGTGACTACTATTGTGACCAATGCCACTGCCGACCCTAACTACGAGGTGGACTGGGAGGGTGAAGATGACCCTGAGAACCCCAAGAACTGGACTCTGGGGTATAAAGCCATGGGAATCTTTTTCCTGGCATGGAACACTCTCGTCGTGTGAGTTTCCTGTCCGATTACTGGTCTGATGGGAATATCGAACTAACTCGCCCGGCAGCGTGTTATATTCAACCTCTTATACTTCGGGCACCACCCTGATTGCCGAGGAATTCGGCGAGTCCGAAACCATCGTTACTCTCGGATTGACATTTTATCTCATCGGTCTCGCCATCGGATCTATGTTCATGGCACCGCTCAGTGAAGTGTACGGACGTAAACCCGTCTGTGTGATCTGCTTATCGATCTTCGCAGTCCTGATCATCCCCTGCGCGCTTGCCAAATCCGTTACGACATTGATCGTCGTTCGCTTCATTGCTGCTTTCTTCGGCAGCGTCATGATCTCCACTGCTCCTGGTATGGTCGCCGACCTGGTGGATGACGAGCACCGCGCGCTGGCCATCTCTATTTGGAGTATTGGCCCATTGAATGGACCAGGTTCGTAGTCCCTGCTCCCCGTGTGCCAAGTCGAGCAATTTCTAACCCAAAACAGTTCTTGGTCCTGTAATTGGAGGATTCGTGACTCAATATCTAGGCTGGCGCTGGATGGACTGGATCGCGCTCATCTTGTCCGCCATCGCATTGGTCTTCGCTATCCTCCTTAAAGAAACATATGCACCAACCCTGCTCCAAAAGAAAGCAGCCCGACTCCGCAAAGAAAGCGGTGAATCTCGCTGGTGGTGCCGCTACGACCAAAAGGCAGGCTTGAACGAGATCCTCAAGCTGAACCTCAGCCGCCCATTCGTGATGGCCGTCACCGAGCCAATTTGGTAAGCCCTAACTACAGTCCCTTTCATACACCACATACCCAACAGACCAAAAGGCTAACCAAAACCAGTATCTTCTGGAATATCTACATCGCAATCATCTACGGAATCCTCTACCTCTGCTTCGTAGCCTACCCAATCGTCTTCCAAGGAATCCGCGGCTGGGACCTGGGACTATCAGGCCTCGCTTTCCTAGGAATAGGAATCGGCGTCGTCCTCACAATCGCCTGCGAACCTTTAATCCGCCGCCTAATCAACAATCACGCCGTCGACCCAGAAACAGGCAAACCACCACCCGAAGCAATGGTCTCCTTAATCTGCATCTGCGCAGTCCTAATCCCAATCGGCGAGCTCTGGTTTGCCTGGACCTGTTCGCCAGCTTCGATTCACTGGATTGCTCCCCTGCTCGCGGGTATCCCTTTCGGCGCGGGAAACACCGGTGTCTTCATCTATGCGTCTAATTACCTCACGGGTAGTTATGGCATGTATGCTGCCTCTGCGTTGGCTGGAAACTCTGTTATTCGGAGTATACTTGGTGGTGTGCTCCCGCTGGTGGGCTCGTATATGTATGCCAGTCTTGGGCCGAACTGGTCGGGGACGTTGCTGGGTTTGTTGGAGGTTGTTATTGTGCCGATTCCGTTTGTGTTTTACAAGTATGGACACAAGATTCGGCGGCGCAGTGCGCTTATTGTGCGCATGCAGGAGGATAAAAAGAAGTTGGAGGGAAAAAGGGCTAAGAGGTTAGCTCAGTTGGCTCCGCAGAATGATGAGGAGAAGCAGGCTGGAGTTGTTTAGTCTGGGTCTTTGGTCTTTTCGGTGTTTGATTTGTATCTGATACCCGAGCTTGCATCTGAGGTGTTGTAAAAGTGCTTTTTTATCTTAAACGTTTAATATATCAGTGGCCTGTGAAGCCGTGTCCAGGTAAATAATATTATGGCTTTTGTTTTTATATTGTCTTCACCGCTTGGTATCTCAATTGGTAACTTGTATCATACGCTCCACATCCTGCGAATTGCGAAGGATCCTCTCATACTCTCCGAGAGCAATGGCACCAGCTGGGAACACCACAACAGCCTCGACATGCACCGGGCGAGAGGGAACCGTGACAGGACCGGTGGTTGTATCACTGGACTGCTTCGACTCGGGCGTTGAAGAAAAAGAAGACGATGGCGGCAGAGACTCTCTCACATAACCCAGCACATTCAACCACGTCCCCACACGCAGTTCTTCAGCAGTCAGGTCCTCAAGGACTGCATTGATATCGACAGATACAGAACCGAACTCTGCTTTGTTGCGTGGATAGTTGTGTTCCAGAACCAGATGGCCAGTGGCAATTGTATAATGCCTCACACTATGTGAGCACAAGCCAGAGATTACTGTTAGTATTTAATTGCAATTCCATGCATAACATCCATAGTTGCTAGGCCGGACGCACCAGCCAAGAAAGCGAACCTTCGAGTCCGCCTGTAGAGAAGAAAGATCAGAGAGGAACACGCGATTCGAGGGGCGCGGCCCATTCATTCCAGCATTATAGGCCCAAGGCCGTCGACATCGTAAAAGTGACAAGAGTGAAGTGAAAGAAGATCACAACATCTTCGGTCTGATAGCGCACGTGACCGATCTTACCGTGTATGTCATAGGCCCGAGGGGAAAGACGGATCTCTCCCCTCCTCATCAGATTATCCTGAAATTCTGCGACCAGCGTGCCGATCAACTTCTTGGTCTTCGGAGCCCTTACAGTCTACATCCCATTACCATCACCTGTATCGGCTCACACTGAGTTTGCCTGGAGCCTATCGCACCTCCACCTGACTTGCAGCAACCCACTAGCGCGACACAACTCAACGCCTCTCTTGATTTATTCGGCGCTGCCTGCTTTCTTTGAACATAATACGGAAAGCTCGCTGAGCTTCTATTCTATTTCCCCGACTTTCAGTGCCAGTTACGCTGATCCAATATGTGGTCTTGGTTTGGCGGCGCCGCCGCTCAGAAGCGCAAGGAAGCGCCTAAGAATGCTATCCTCGCGCTGCGGGGTCAGCTGGATATGCTCCAGAAGCGGGAGAGACATCTGGAGAACCTGATTTCGGAGCAGGATACGATCGCGCGGAAGAACATCAACTCTGATAAAAATGGTGGGTCTACTGGGCTTGTTTAGACAGCGAGCGGGAGGGTTGTGGAACCGGGACTAACGTCTCGAAACTATAGCTGCTAAGAATGCCCTCCGACGGAAAAAGGTGCACGAGAAGAATCTTGAGCAGACAACGGCGCAGACCATGCAACTCGAGCAGCAGATATACTCGATCGAAGCGGCAAATATCAACCACGAGACTCTACAGGCGATGAAGCAGGCCGGTGCGGCGATGAAGCAGATCCATGGTGGAATGAAGCTCGAGGATGTCGACAAGACAATGTATGTGTTTATCGGGTTTACACAGCGAACCGCTTGGGTACTTGCGGCTCTTGAGAGCGGGATTGATACTAATGTCTATGCAGGGAGGATCTCCAGGACCAGCATGCGCTCCACACGGAAATCGGAAACGCAATTACCAGTGTCCCGCTCGGCGAACAGCCCGACGAGGAAGATCTCGAGGCCGAATTGGAGGGTCTCGAGCAGGAGGCTATGGATGCGAAGATGCTCAACACTGGCTCTGTACCTGTTGGCGCTCAACTGGATCGGTTACCAGCTGCGGGGAATACAGAACGTATGTTGGGCTTGTCTGTCTATTGCATATATCATTCACTGACCACGTATATAGTCAAACAACCCGCCCAGGCACAAGAGGAAGACGACGAAGAAGCCGAGCTGGCAAAGCTGCGCGCGGAAATGGCCATGTGACAGTCCCTCTCGTTCCAGTCACGCGACCCATGCAGCCCCAGCATTGTTTTCTTCTATTTCTCCATCCTTGATCCTTGTCTCACCTTCGCATGCATGACCGGCCATTTTCTCAAGCAAGTCCCTTGACCGGCTGTCCAGTTCTTTCTTCTTTCTGCCTTTTGTCGCGGCGCTGACCAGGCTTACTTTTCTGTTTCTCCTTTCTTGTTTTCCTCTCTATTCTCTCCGTCACATTCCCCGAGACAATTCTGGCCGGGGTATCTTCCGATATTGCCCCCTGGTCTGTCTGTCTTCTGTCTCTCTGCTTTATCACTTTTCTATCTGGCTGTTCCACTCCTCAACACCCTTTCAATACAAACCTAATCGATCTTTTCGATTCCCGTCCTATCTTTGCTTGTTCTTCTAATGGAGTTCGTATAGATTATCTTGGTTCTTTGTTTTATGTAAGCTAAGATCTTAATCACAGCTCGGGATTGCATTTACAACGTCGTTAAGTCGTAGCTCCATCGTGAACACTATAGCCACTACTGCACCTAATATAAGTTGACTTAAGTGATACCGCTACAGCATATGAAAAAGAAGCTTTTGAATGTTTCATTATTATCCTATTCATATCTCAGATCCAATCGAATGCAAGCACAAAGGCAACATCGAAGAAAGAGATAAGTCAGATACATCATTGAGATAGAAATACATCCCATATGGAGATCGCAAGAGCGCAATCTCAGAGAAAAAGAGAAAAGAAAAAGAAAACTCCCATGACGAGTAATTCGCCAGCCATGTCCATCCAGCCCAAACCCAGAAATTCGCCGATGCGCAAGGAATCAAAATCAAAAGCAGAAGAAAATCCCAGAGAATGCCAATACCATGCCAACCCGAAAACGAGAATCGAAGACGTAGGTCCGAAGTTGAAGATCAGAGATTAGGGGAACCAGGCATAGCTCTTAGTAGGCTTCGCACGCTGACCATTCTCCGACTCCGTGCCCCACTTGGACTTCCACTCGACCTCCGCGGCAGCAGCGTCGAGAAGAGCCTCCTTGCAATCTGGCGGGAGGAGGGCAATGATCTCGGGGGTCATGAACTCCGGGTTTGTGGGGTTGGCGATGCTGACCATGCCGTTGTAGCCAATATCTTGGAGGTCGCCGTCTGGGCCGGGGATTCCCATGTTTGAATACTGGGGCGATTCGTAGACGATGTCTTGGACTACGTAGCGGTCTGTGACGGAGCGGGGGACTGGGGGAAGATTGTTGCGGGTTTGGTGGTGGTTTCGGGGTCTGTGGTGGGATTGTCGTTGTTTAGATCATTGGTGCTTTCGGGGCTGTCTGCGTTGGCGATGTTGAGTTCGGACATGTTCGTTGCTAGTCCGGTTTGGGCGTCAGATTCCAAGGGGACTGCTTCCCAGCGTACGTGGGTTGGCTGCATGATCTTGGGATATTGCATCGTGTTGGTGTGGACTTCATAGACACCTTTCAGGTTGGTACGGCGCATATCGGTAAGTTTATGGTTGTAGTTGCTGGAGAGTGGGTTAGTTGAAAGTTTATAGTTTGCATGGGTTGTTAAAATTACCTTGCAGCACGGGCATGCTCCAACATCCAGTTGTCATCAGTCACGGGGACACGGCGCTTCTTGGTATCAACGGGCTTGCCACCGGCGAGAGGCACAGTGGGCGCATTGGTGTGGTAAACACTGCTGGCGCCGTGCCAGGCGACGTATTGGTTGCGGTTGTACTCTTCACCAGGGCCAGGGATTCTGTCCTCAGGGACAGCCAACTCGCCTTCGACATCGCCGCGCTCACGGGCAGCTTGCTCGTCGTAGTCGTCGATAATCTTCTTGCCTCCAACGATAATCTTAGCACCGAACTCACGGAACACAGAACGGGCAGTGACAACACCAATTGCACGACCCTTGTAGGAGTGGGGAATCAGATCGCGTTCAATTAGGTCACGCTTAGCGTCGTCGTCAATGATAATCTTGTAGAGCATCTTGTGCTTCTGGAAGAACAGATAGGAGTCACGGAAACCAATGCAACGAGCCGGTTCAGTCGACAACATGTAGAGACGGTTACCGCGACCAAGAATCGAAAAAGTGCGGACACGATACTCACGACCTCCCTGAAGGTGACCGTCCTGGTCGACCTTGGTCGCACCAATAGGGTCGGGGGGGATCGAGACTTCATCGTTGATGACATCCATCATGTTTCCTTCCTTGTCGACAGGTACTTGGGTGAGATGTGAAGGACCGCGGTTGCGAGCCCAGCGACCTCCACTGGCAGCAGGACGACCTCGGCGTCTCCTCACCGGAGTAGTGACACGGATGTGGCCGTCGGCATCCAGGGTGTCCTCAGGGCGGGGGTTCTTGGGTGGACGACCAATGCGACGTTTCTTAGGAATGACGGACGGGCGACCAGGTCCGTAGTTGGGAGTATCACCTGCCTCAAGTTGGGGTACGTTGTCTCCGGGGGTTGCGACGCTAGTCCCTTCATCTGCCTTGGATTCGGCAGGAGTCTGAGCCTCAGCATCCACACCTTGGCCTTCGGCTTGGGATTCGGCTTGAGGTTCAACTGGAGCTTCAGATTCAGGTTCGCCTTCAACTTTGGATTCAACCTCAGGTTCGGCGTCTTGATCCTTTTCGGGGGATTCCGCTTGTGGTTCCTCGGTTTCGGCTACGGGGGAGGATGCTTGCGACGAAGGAACATCTACCATTTCCTCGTCAGAGCCCTCAGGAAGTACAGGTACATTTTCTAGTATATTGTTAATCGCGAACGCGTCCTAAAGGGATAGGTGAAGTGGAAGGAGGAATTGCATTGAATCGTTGAGGAGTGCAGGGTTGCGACCAACTTACTGATTGATTCCGCTGCCGCTTGGGCAGCTGCCCTCAGCTTGCGTGGCATTTTGGCGATGGTGGTTCAACACGCTTCAGCGCAAATGGTTCCATAGGCATAACTTGTTTTGCCGGTTGAATGTTGTTCCGTATCACGTGCATGGAAAGGCGGTGGAGGGACCAATTACTAATAAGTGAGTCATTCCCGGGCCACCACTTTGATTGTTACCTCAGTTACCTCAGCCGCCCCCAAAAAGGCGGTGAATTTGGCCATCCACCGCCTGCTGTTTCCAGCGATGCTGACACACCTTTTTTGGGGAACGTCTGAGCTGGGAATTTGGTGGTACCATACAAGTTTCCGGGGTTTTTGCCCGTGTTTATATGGCGAAGTTTCCAGGCGCGTCTTTCAATATTTCCAAGTTTCTCGCGCACCCACGCGAATATTAAGAATCGGGCGACGATGTCTTCTGCATCTTTCTGAGCTGAACCCATTGACACCAAAATTGTATGTATAACTGGAAAGGTGGGTGAGAAATATGTCCTTAAAATACCCGAAGGAACCCTTTCTTAAGCTGTCAAAGCCATTATATGCCCCAAGTATTCCGCCAAAACCTCCATGAAGCATATATTGACATATTTTAATGTATAGTGGCTACATCTGATCCACAATATTAACTCTATCGCGTGAGAATTGACTCCAAACCCGCCTCACGATGCCAGATCGACGCCCATCACGACGGAAGCCTCCTCGGAAATATAACGCGAAACTGAACGACCCCGGAAATGGACAGACACAGTTGGATAACTGGTTGGCCTCTGAGAATAATCGACCTTCTTCAAAGGCTGGAGAGCCTATTGAATTGGGAGTGGAGTACGAGAATGAGGGCGCAACTGTCTTGCTGGAGAAACAACAAGTTGAGAAGAATTCAGTTCTTCAAGCGCAGAAACTGATTCGCGATGCGTCTGAGAAGCGTAAGGATGAACAGGACCAAGCCATCAGACAAGCAATTCGAGAGCTGTATCCCTATTATCCACGTGCGGGTCAGTTGCAAGCATTGAGACAATTGATCTACCTGAGAAAGGACCTTATCCTGATTGCGAAGACGTCATTTGGGAAGAGTATGATATTGCAAGCAGTGTCACTCTTGCTTGATAAGTCTATCACCCTTGTTGTGCTTCCATTGAATCAAATTGGCGTTGAGCAGACCAATTACATCGAGAACATTGGAGGGCGACCTTGTTTCCTAAACAGGGAAACATTCTCATCCGAACTTCTTGACAGGGTACAAGCGGGCAAGTTCACACATGTCCTCGTGAGTCCAGAGCTTGCAATCAGTGACAAGTTCCGTTCAACTGCTATGCATCCAGGTTTCCGAGACCGGCTGGCTCTGGTTGTTGTAGACGAAGCTCATCTTGTGGCTCAATGGGGCAAAGATTTTCGAACGGACTATGCGCGATTGCATCAATTGCGAAGTCTATTCGGCAGTGGCGTCCCCTGGTTTGCATGCTCTGCTACGCTTGATATGAATACATTGCGCGTTGTTATTGAGGGACTTGGGTTTCCAAAGGATGTTGAAATCTTGCGGACATCCGTCAATCGTCCAGAGTTGCTCATTCAAACAGCTTGGATCCCACAAGGCGCGCATAAGAAGGCAACGGCCTTGCGTTTCCTGTTTGACAATGGTCCTTGTCAGCCCATTTTACGACCGTCACGAATCCCAAAGACATTGGTATTCTTTGACTCGAAGAATGATGCATATACTGCCATGGAAAATTGTCGGTATTGGCTGCAGCATAACAAGCAACCAGATGGGGCAAGTGTTCAACATTGCAACTATACCCTCAAAGAGGCAATGGATACGGTGAAGGTCTACCATAGCGACACCGCAAAGGGAGACAAGGAAGCAATGATCAAAGAGCTTCAGAAACCCGGACCGCAATCCAAGCTTCGTGTCCTCATGACCACCGAGGCACTAGCGCTCGGAGTGGACCTCCAGGATATTGATCAAGTTGTCATGTATCGGTTCCCCAAAAACCTACAACCAGCAACGCTCTGGCAACGCGGTGGTCGGGCATCTCGCCTTGGACAGGATGGAAAGATCGTTATTCTCGTTGATCAGTGGATACAGGGGCGTATCAAGAAACGTGCCGTGAAACGCAAGATTCATACAGAAAATGATGATCTAGCGGAAGACAACCCACTGGCCGATTCAGATGATGAAGTCAAAGAAGCAAACCCTGAGAGACCACAGAAAGGTGGACGCTTAAGTCATGAAGAGCGACGTGCTGTGTTGCCTGAATTTTGGTATCTCCTTGCCAATGAGCCTACAGAATGCCTCCGGAAACGGTTCCTGGACTACTTCAATGAACCTGAAGAGTTCAGATGTAATCCTCGGCGTGACCGGTGCTGCAGCAACTGCAATCCTGAGTATCAGCTCAATGATCCAACTCGTTATCTGTATACTGAGCACGGTCCGAGGTCAGGACAGATGGACGAGATAATCATCAACCAGTTAAAATATTGGTCCAAGGAGGTCCTTTCAAGCGCTTTGAACGGAGTGAAGTTCATACCTGATTGCTCAAGCATACTGGCAGAAGAACAATATGTCCATCTTGCGATATATATTGAAAATGCCACCTATTCGGAGCGGGAATATTTCCAGGCAAAGGATCTTCAGACAATATTGGGAATATGGGCTTTGTCGAATCAGCTTGCTGAGGGTCTTGTGGATGTCTTGAAGAATGCATATCAAGCAGCCTTTATGGCCACTATTCAAACCCCTGCAAAGAGGAAGCGTGTGTCGAATGACTCTAGTCAAATGAGTGAATGCAGCAACCTCACATGGTCTTCTGCAGTCACGCCAGAAAGCACCAGTCAACCAACTCCATCTCGGAATATCTCTCCGTGGGTTGATATTAACACGCCATCCCAAGCTTTTATGGACATGCCTCCTCCTTCGGCAACTCCAGTTCCCAAACGCAAGGCCCTCGGTGTGGTATCAGGAAATGGGCGTCGCGTGATGAAGGGTGGAGAAGACCTAGGTTCTAAGGTCTGGTAGAGAATGATGAACAATCCATCTGATGCATTCCATCAATGTGTGTCAGTCACCTTATAATATAGCGTGGGAGTATTATCAATGGAATGAAGAGAAGTATAGCTAAAGCTGTCCCGGCAGCAACCTGCTATTCAGTGTCATGTGTCATTCTCTTCAATCTCATCTAGAACAGCAATAGGAGTCGATGTCATCTTGCTAAAATCAACTTCTTGTGCCCACTGTCCGTTGACGACGAGGCTATTGAAGTTCTGTACGGCTTTGAAGAGCTTTTCGCCAATTGTTTCTGTGAGTATATCACATGGTTGAAAGCCTCTTGTCCGACCATTTGGTTGCTTTTGGATGCACTTCGAGATCTGATAAGCTAGATGACGAACATCCTGGCTAGCATCCTTATTTTGGTGTCGCCCATTGCTATATTCTCCAAAGGTAGCCTCCAGAAGCTCCTTTAGATCAGTACAGTAGCTGGCTGTGAGAGCAGTTCGACGGAACATGGTAGTGATGTCCAGATTTGAGGTCCGTCGAGTCGACATGAGTGTCTTCATATGAAGATTGAAGAACTCATTCAGTCGATCAATTTCGAACCAACCGTCCTCCGCACCCCGTAGATTCACAAGTCCGTTGGCAAGAATGGCAGTCTGCAGCTCGGGATCAGCTGCTTTGGTTTGAGTGAGCCATGTCATATACAAGGAGAGGAAAGAATATCGGGTTTTCTTTGTGCCAGGGAAGAGGAGACAACATTGTGCAAAGATCCGCTGGATAATTCCAATGTCACCAAGTTTGATGGCAAGCTTCAAGGACTTGTAAGTCTCCATCTGCTGAAGGAATTTCGCATGTGCTGAGAACTCATAGTCGACTGGTTCTCCTTCTCGTTCACGAACCTTAGACTGCTGCTCTTTAAAATGGAACAGAGACTGGCGTATCTGATCCACAACGTCCAGGAATTGACCCCTTCCGAGGCTTTGAATCCAATCATCCACATCTTTAGCATCCGCGAAATTGACTGTTAATGGGACAAACTGATAGAACATGGCCGTGACGCGAGCGTCAAATGAGCGAGTAGCCACCTCTTCTTTATGGTGGAATGGACTTTTGTGTCCCTGTACGCAACCGAGACAGACCTTATTATGATGGATCGTCGATTCAACGGTAGGGTGGTCTGTCCCAGCATAGAGCTCAAAGATCATATCCAAGTAGTTCATACGCCAGTGGAACAGTCCGGGGATTGGCAATATCCAGCTGAAACGATCGAAAAGACGAGAAGCCTCCGCACGTTCTTTTTTGACGGCACGAAGGAGTGACACTGTTTTCTGATCTCCATAAACCAGTTGTAAAAGCCCATCAAGGTCTGTATCATCATCATCCCCCAGTTGCTCCAGAAAGACATTCTGAATGACCTTGTATGTCCCCTCTGTCGTGCCTTCGTTGTATAACATTGGCCCAAGGCTGTAGTGAATTGTCTTCTGCGCTTGCAGTCGTTTAACTGCTGGGAATTCAGGCCAGTCAATAAGATGGGCTCGCGGTTTCATCTGGCCTGGTTTGACGCACGCTTCCGCAGTAAATAGTTTCTCTACTGCCTCCCGATGAGTATAGCGAATGGCCTCTGCAATCCAATGGCGCTGACATTGATGGAAGATCTCATCATCCTGATTGCCTGGTGCCATGTAGATATCATGAGGACTCAGTGTAACCTCTGGATGGAACATAGATCGGAGAAGCCCTCCTGCAGGGATGGACTGACCGATACAAAGCTTGCCAGTGGTGGCGGAGATATGCTCTGATGGATCACGAATAGTTTGATGTCGAACAGTCTGGCTGTAGTCAAAGTTATCCCATGCCACAATGAGATTCCTGCGAGAAGCCTGGGCATTCTGTTTCAATTGTTTCTGTACACATCTTGGGGTAAGAAGTCAGCCAGAACATGTTATTCTCCGGTAAATGCGGTTATAGTACCTGTCCTAGTTCTGCAAGTTCCTTCCGTCTGTCCATGATAGTCTGGTATGCTGAGTTTATCCCCAGGCCAGCCAGAAAGCTAATCACACGTCGCTTGACACCCATTGCATGTAAATACAAGCCGATCAACATCGGGAAGTTGTTGCTTTTCCGTGGTGCAAAAGCGCAAGCCAGAATTGAACAGACCATCACAATGCTGCCCTGGTGGATCTTGGGTGTATCGCGATGGTTTCCTGGAGGTGTCATGATGCTAACGAGCAGTCCACAGAGCTCTGGAGCTTTCCTCTGCATCTGCGTAGCCAAGCTAGAGATGTCCATATCTTTAGGGTCCACATTGGACTGGAACTCGCCGAGTATATCTCCGTTAATCAGCCCTCGAATCTCGGTCTGTATCCGAGACACGAGATCGGATGCACCAGTGGCATATATGTCTTTTGAGACACTACCTAGCCGCTCAATAATTTCAGGTTGCCCATATATAGCGTCAGACAATTTCTGTGCTCGATACGATGTCGAATATCCATTTTTTTTGACTGGTTGTGCATGCACCATGTGGTAAAGAAGATCCTTGATTGTCCACCGGTGCTTATCATTAAGCTCAGCCAGTACCATATCGACACGTTCGCGTGGCTGCAATCCTGAGATATAACGAGATCGCTGAGTAGACGCAGGTGGTTCTTGTAATGGTGAACTGGAAGAAGGCCACTCGAGGGAGGATTGTCGAGCACGCTTTCGCGATCTAGAGATCATATTGGGCAAATCCGGTGATGCCATTCTTTCTAACAATGTCAGAAATACTCTCAGAGAGCTTGAGAAAACACACCTTGACCAAATGGTGGGGTTGCTGGCGAGAACCGGAAACTTGTATGTACGGAAGGGGTTCCCGGCTCAGACCACGGGCTGATGAAGCAACCCAATCGGGTTAGCGTGGCAGAATCGGCAGAATTCTGTCTCATCATTGGCTGTGGTCTGAGGGAACTGAGGTAATTTGATTGCGTAATAAAGATGTCGAGGTAGCACGTGATCTCACTGCAACCTCTAACTGCATGACATCATAGGCTCCGTTCTTCGCTGCGGAGCATTTCGGGCTGTCCAACCTGAATTCAATTCTAGGCCTTGAACCGCCATTGCCGTCTCAAATTCCCCTTGGTATTCATAGACTTGTGTGACTGGACAATTTGGAACCGCTATGAGTTCATATAGATCTACATTGTAAATACATCTACTCCCCGGGTATACCGTTCTCTGCCGAATACATACAATACTACGAAGGAGTTATACAGCTTCAACCGAATCTAGATGACGCGGAGAATGAGTTGTGTAACCTATGACTTGTGTGAATTGACTGGAATCTGGATATCTTCAGCTTCACATGTGAAGAGGCTTGAGCTCCCAGATTAGCAACATGTTCTCCCCGCTCGGGCCTCCATTTCTAGGCATCTCGAATTGGCGCAACTGGCGGTTCCAAGAACGCGTCAAGGCTTCCTTTCGGCTCACCAACCGAGGAAAGCCGAATGGCATCATAGCAGTCTTGACAACGTGAATGAAAGACATTGCTGACAGGACCGCAGATCATGACACAGCGCAGATGACCCTCTGCGCCTCGGGCTCGGTCTGGTGCATAACGGACAATGCCTTGCGAATCCTGCATGCTACTATTCTGCAGCAAAGCCCGAAACCGAAGCATCCAAATGTATACAGTTTTGACCCTCCAGACAAGGATGCGAATAATCAGATCCCTTAACCCGGTCGAGCATCGCCAGGATATCATTTTCCATGCCTTCCCATTCGTTCTACATGTACAATCGAGAGGGGAGGCGAGCGCCGATCCTCCCCACCAAATTCGGAGATGTAGAAGAAAGAAGGCGATCTACTACTCCGTACAGTAGCGCTTCAAGCTCACATCTGTTGCACAATTGACGCACTGGTTGTGAGCTCCACCGAACTATGTTGGTGCTAGAGTCGCAGTGAGGGACCGATGACGCATGTGGAGGGTAGCCTGGTAGCCTTGGAGCATTTGTGACCACAGCATATTTGCAGATGCAAGGGGAGCTGAAAGGGCCGGTCCATATTCCAAGCTCAAAGCTGAAAGGCTGCACCACGATCGCGATCGGCTTGTGTAGATCGGCCTCGATCTATGGTTTCACAGTATGAAAGGCGATGAAATATTTGTCGGTCCTATGGGCTATAAGTGCAGTGTGCAGTATACAGTGTATGTACAGTGCGTACAGCAGGAAGGAGGAAGTATACGGAAAACACTACTCCGGATATAAAGAAGCGGTCTCTGTCACCAGATGATGAAATCGCACAGTACCCCGCCCTCGGGGAATGCATTCGAGCGCGATAAGAGACAAAATTCGAATATTCCACCATTATTGAGGTCCAAAATTCCATGTATCAGCCTCTTGATTCCAACCCTGGTACTTATGTGGGCCATGTGCCTTGGGCAAATGAATCTAATCTGCCATATGAATGCTGAAACTGAATCCATAAAGTGTACGGAAATGGTAGAGACTCCTAATTAGGAAATCGAGAACAAGATCCCGAGTCATTCTCTTGATATTACTCTGGGCTCCACCATCCCTTCCCTTTTGGCTTCCCCCCATGATTTGCCTCTTCGAAATAGGAAATAGACTGCATAGAAAATACAAAAGCGTCCAAACCTCCGGTCGTCCAGGCTTTTTTTCTTATAATCTCACGGCTTATGGTCAGCTTCTTTCAGCTGGTCATTCGGTCAAGGGACATTTAGCGCGGAGACATGGGTGAATGAACATCTCAGGGTGGATTATCGAAGCAAGAATTCCTCCATATTCCAACGATTCCAACAAATCCAACATTTCCAGCATTTCCAGCATTTCCAACCTTTCCCCAACACTACTTCTCGAATACTCGATACTCGACCGAATCTAGTTGGGGCTCGGGTTCAACCCGCAAACTTCCTTAGTCAACCTCCAATTTTTGCCTTCACTCAATTTTCAACCCAACCCCGCCCCCTCCGATATTTTTGAATGGAATCACAATGGCGAGCGGAACCGAATTGCACGATGCAATGAAGTCAATCCCGTAAGTTCTTTTTATCTTCTTTCTTGCGGGACAGAGAGACCATCCCCTCGCACCGCATGGCATTGCAGTCGCTCTGGTTTTTACCTGCATGAAACACGTTTCGAGGCCTTTCTGCCGTGTCTCTCCTACATCTCGATTCTCGTCGGACTTTGCCTACGACTTTGGGGGAGAACTTCTTGCTCGGACCACAAAAGCCAAGCAGATGGCTAATTTTTAATCTCATTAGTTCTACATCGGAGGACGAGAATCAGGACCAGATCGGGTCAAATGGGTCAACCCCTACGCCGACTGGGATCGCTACACCGGAACCCGATCCTGCGGACAAGCGTCTGCCTTCCATAATGCACAACTACTTCCAGGTTGGTTCTATCTCTGGTGATAAAGCGAGTTTGCCGCGGTTTTGGTCATGCCTGTCGAAATCCTCTGAGGACCCTCAATCAAATGCGCTCCCACCCTCCGATCCCTCCGAGTCCTTTGTCATGATGGAGCAGGAAGATGGGTCTGATAAGATGACGGAAACTGTTCCTGCTGGCCTGCCCACTCCTCCTCATTCGCTGTTGCAACACGACTCAGATGAGATGGAACTCGGGACGAGTCCAGGCACCTCATCTATCTTTAATACCCTGAAGAGTTACCTCATTCCACCCGCAACCCCCGATGATTCTTCCCGCCGTCAAACTTCCCTTCCAGTCTCCAGCGTTTCTGACGACCCCGTCCTTGCCACACACTTCTCCAATCCTTCTCTCCCCTCCGATGCCTTTTCCCTGACCGAATCTCCCCTCCTCGACCATGAGAAACCGCATGTTTCAGTGTCTTCCGAGAACTTGGCCAAGCTAACTGGAAACGCGCCCGACGGGTCGCGTCTTAAGAACACCCCGCCCCTTACCCCCAGGGCCATGTCCAACGAAGTCCAAACCTCCCAGCCAAAGGATGTCACGCCAGTCACGCCAGCTGAGCCAGCTCCGCAAGAGCCCGAACCAGAATCCACCACGGACGACATGGAAAGCTCCACTGATGAGATCACTATGAAGCTCGACGAGGCATTCCCCTCCCAATCTGCAACATCTACATCTCCTGCCAACGGTGCACCCACGGGTCCAATCAACGGTAAATTGTTTGTGAAGATTACCGACGGTCGAGGATTGCGGCCGAGTTTCGATCCCTATGTGGTGTGCGTTTTTGAATGGAATGAGTACATCTCCAAAGGTGCTCGTGATGGTGAGGAAGAAACAAAGAGACGCCAGCTTGAGTCGGATGCCGAAGAGGCTGCTGCTGGCCGACCGATGGCCATTCCCATGAAGAGCCGACAGAGCAGTCACAACAGTGCCGTGGATGGTGATCACAAGGGACGGACGCCTGTCACGGACCCCCACTGGGATCACGAGGCAACTTTGTAAGTTCTATATTAAAATGAGTTTATATGAATCGTTCGCTAATTTTATTTAGTGATGTTATGGGAGACCAGTCAGAGCTTGATGTCACAGTTTACGACCGCAACAACCAAGAAGCTTTCCTGGGTCATGTACGGCTCTGCATCAATCTGAAAGAAGATCACAGCAGGTTAGAAGGGTGGTTCCCCTTGGTCGCCCGTGGCGCCGGAGACAACCAAGTGTCGGGAGAAATCCACCTCGAGATGAACTTTGAGAAGACGGATCGGAAGCAGGTTGGGCCGAACGATTTCCTTATCCTCAAGCTGATCGGAAAGGGAACTTTCGGTCAGGTTTATCAGGTCAAGAAGAAGGACACTCAGCGTATCTATGCTATGAAGGTTCTGTCAAAGAAGGTTATCATTCAGAAGAAGGAAGTGGCACATACACTTGGAGAGCGCAACATTCTTGTGCGTACCGCTATGACAGCATCTCCATTCATTGTGGGCCTCAAGTTCTCCTTCCAGACCCCGACAGATCTGTATCTTGTCACGGATTACATGTCCGGCGGTGAACTGTTCTGGCATTTGCAACGTGAGGGCCGATTCCAGGAGGCCCGGGCGAAGTTCTACATTGCTGAGTTGATTCTGGCTCTGCAACATCTTCACGACCATGACATTGTGTACCGTGATCTCAAGCCGGAGAACATTCTGCTGGATGCCAACGGTCACGTCGCTCTTTGTGATTTTGGTTTGTCCAAGGCCAATCTGACACAAAATGACACTACCAACACCTTCTGTGGTACCACTGAATACCTAGCCCCTGAGGTGCTACTTGATGAGCAAGGATACACGAAGATGGTCGACTTCTGGTCTCTGGGAGTGTTGGTCTTTGAGATGTGCTGTGGATGGAGTCCATTCTACGCCGAGGACACTCAACAGATGTACAAGAACATTGCCTTTGGCAAGGTGCGATTCCCCAGAGATGCCCTTAGCACCGAGGGCCGGAACTTTGTCAAGGGTCTGCTGAACCGGAACCCCAAGCACCGCTTGGGCGCCAATGGTGATGCTAAGGAGCTGATGGCTCACCCATTCTTCCACGACATCAACTGGGAGGCACTTTGCCGCAAACAGGTGATCCCTCCATTCAAGCCCCAACTGCAGTCCGACACCGACACCTCCAACTTTGACCCGGAGTTCACAAACGCGCTGGAGAACAACAACTCGCTGAACCTCCGCGCAGCTGCCTTGGCCAACGGCCTGATGCCCGGCTCCACACCTCTGTCCCCCGGAATGCAAGCCAACTTCAAGGGATTCACCTTCGTCAACGAAAGCTCCATCGACCACCACTTGAAGGACGATTTGAGCGATCACATGGAAGAAGATGCGATGCATGACGGCGGGTACCAGCGATCGCACCGGTCCGGCAACTCAGTCGACCAGCGCATGGCAGGCGTTCAGAAGACGCACGATGGCACAGAACCCGGAATCTTCAACGTTGACGATACCTTTGACATGTGATTACGTTTTTCATTCATCTCCTACTGCATGATCATAGAGTCTTGATCTGGCATACATTTTCCTACTTGTCCTGTACATGCCCTCGGATGCATCACTTCAGCCCGCAAATATATGTTGCTCTTTCCATCTGCGTTTCCCTATTTTCATGTCTCAATCTTCATGTCTGATGTCTGTCATGTCCATTTCTTATTCGGCTATCTGTTAAGGTCTCTCAAGCTGGTGTCTAACCCAATGTTGCTTTCCCTTTCAGTCTGGTTTCTATCCTGGCAACTAGTCTGCGATTATACCACGACACATCATTTCTTCTAGACATGATCCGCGATTCGTGATTCTTGATCCCAGCTTTCTGCCAGCTAGTCCCCAGCCACATACCCCCTTCTCCCGGGTCTCTATTTTTCATCATTCAAACATGTCTCCCGGGGGAATTTGCGTGTTTGGAGTTGGGTTTTGGGTAATTTCATGTGCCTTACTGAATTGGTATGTCGTTCTGGGCGATTTATCCCTAGTACGCGCCTTTGCTTCTCTGTCTTTTCTGTCTTCGGTCTCCAGCGCAGTTATTGATAGCTTGTTTTTTTGAATCTCTCTATCTTTATCTCTATTTTCTGGGATCGTTGCGTTTCCTCAGTCCGAATTCTGATACCAGCTCTTTTGCTTGCTCATACTCTATTCCTATCTTATGGCATCTTATCTCTTCTTATCATGGTGGTATTGGTAATTTCGTCCTTTATGCCTGTGGCTGATCAGGTCCATCTTTGATGATGGAGGGAGTGATAGTTATCCTTATCGTCTTCGGGTCATTTTCGTGGCGTTTGGGCATTAGGTTAGGCACGGGTCTGGATGTGCATCAGCGGGTATGCTGTCCACGGGTTCTATAGCAACTTGATTGAATGTCACATGCTAAATTTCAACTCTCCCGTAAGATGTCTACATCTACAAGAGTATGTACCCGCCGCCTATGTAGGGGCTCTAGAAGATCGTACTCTATCAAAAATTGGCGGATTTTCCACCGTTTTCCAAGCCATTTTCTATGTTTATTTTAAGCTCGACTCTTTCGCCGAATACATATATACTTGTATTTAGGTGGGGTTTGTTACCGCTTTGTAGGATTATCTACTATATCTTAGTCAGGTGTAGCTACATGAAGGAACCTTGTCTGACATGCTTAGGTAGTTACACACTCCTACTTTGGAGTACGTATCCAGAGCTATGGTATATAAACCTAAAAATCCGAGACTGCTATGTCCCTGTCAATTAAGGATGACCGGATTGCGCAATACCTAGGGTGTATGCTATCTAGGCCATGCCATGTAGTATATTTCCTCGGGTAAGGCTTTCATACCTAAACTGCTAGATTTCTCGAAAGGCCGGCTTGGAAATAAGGAACACGGAGTTAAGAGATTACCCAAAATGAGATAAACAACTTTTCATAGCCTTGAACACTATTTGTAAAATAGTGCCACAGGGTTTCCTATTTTGGATGCTTCGTCTAAAAGTAATGATTTCACATCTGCCACGTTCATCGCAGGTGAAAACTTCTTCCTCCCTTGCGAAGAGTGAATGTACACAGATCCATGGTGTACGTATAGGACCAACTGGTCATCAACGCTCTTGCCGAGCAATTCTCGGTAGTAAGCCGTCAAAACTTTGGGCTGGAGAACAGAGGAGTACTATGCTTCCATAAAGCACTGTGAATGTTTGCTTTGAGCTGGGAAGACGGCTGTTTCTCTTCCAGTTGATGTAAAAAGGAGTCGAGGACATCTTCAGGCAAATTTTGATGTAATCTCAGCGCATCAATAACACGGTGGTCCCAATCTTGCATTTTGTCCAACAAGGATATTAGTTGGTCTCGGAGCTTGTTTGATGTGGAAGTATGTCTTGCAACAAGTTGAAAGGCATCCCGGCTGTACTTATGAAGGTCACTTGTCACATGGTCAATCATGGCTTCAAGAGCCTTATCCGGCAGGTGAGTCGCCCGTACAAGCGCGTAAACAGCCTCTGATCTTTCGGGATCCTTTTTCATACTTGCAATTAGAGCATCATACGCCCTGTTGGGGAGATGGGTATGCCCTCCAAGCACCCGAGCAGCAGAATATCTCACTGTGCGGTCGGTGTCCTCCGTTATCCGCGCAATTAGAGCATCAAAAGCCCTTTCCGGTAGATGATTCTTCCCAGCTAGCGTCTGAGTTGTGGAACTTCTAGCACTTTCATCAACCCCCTCCGTCATTTGCGAAATTACGGCATCAAGAGCCGCATCTGGCAGGTGCTTCTGAGACCTAAGCAAAGAACCGGTATAGTATCTAACCAGTTTTGAGTGGTCTTCTGTCATCTGAGTCACCAAGATATTTAGGGTCTCGTCTTTGAGTTTATGGCCCCATAAAGTCCTGGTTGCCTGGACTCTGACAGCACCTCCACATCCTCTATCATGCGGGTGGTGAGGGCATCGATAGCACTCTCTGGCAGGCGAGACTGTTTGCTCAACGTCTCAGTGCCCCGAAGTCTGACGCAACGATCTGCGTCTCTTAGAGTTTGCAGGATATATTCTTGGACGAGCTTCGGGCTGTCGGAAAATGGGACAATGCGAGCAGGTTGGAAATCAAGATTTTTCAGATATATAGTCAACACTCGTAAGACCCTTTCAGTCATTGGAGATAGCCTGCTCAAAAGGCCATAGACTTGTTTTGAGTCTGCCTTATCGCCATTTTGAAGGCAAAACATGGCGGCATCTAGATCTTCCTCGGGTATAGAAGCTTGCTTGAGCAAAGATTTAATCGCGGCGGTCCTCAAGGGTTTGCTGGATGATCCTTGCCATTGAGCTCTCAAAAGCTCCAGAGTCTCTTCTGACACTTTTGTCTCCTTCTTCAAAATATTAATGGCGTCAATTTTCAGGTTTTCTGGCGTGTTTTCATCTCTCAGAACTGACAAAGTTGCCTGTTGCAGAGTGTGAGTGAGATGGGTTCGTAAAGAACCGTAGCATATTGGGATCGACGACCTTTTTATCGGCCGTGCCATTGATGATTTTATTTGCAAAGTTCCTAAGCAAGACATCGTATTCGTCGTCGTGGGCAATTGAAGACAGCATGGCAGCCTCGGTCATTGAGCCATCTTCAACCCATGATCTTCTTCAACGTTGGTCAAGCGCGCAAGAAAAAGAAAAGACGGCTCTGCAGGCAATGGTGACTTGTATGATCCGCTAATCTGGTGCCTAGGTGGTAATGCCATGATGCTCCCATATTACTTCAACCGCGGTTTTATCGGCTCTATATTAAAAGCGATCTGTCAGGACATGCATCCTGCCTAATACATCGGACCGATGCCTTATTTCTCCGGCCTCATGCAAACCTCCGGGTTAACCTCCGTTTGATAGTCATGCAGCTCTCCCTCCCAGCAAACTACACAGAGAAAACACCTCCAGTCACCTTCCCCTCACCATCAAACAACAACGTATCTTTGCACACCTTAATCTCGGCCCCGCAAACAAATACAACAGACCTAAGCGCGGGCATAGCAATATGTCCACCTCAAGCAGGCCGGGCTTTGTCCCCATCGTCACGAACAAGCAGAGATCTATCATATCCTCGAGGGGGAAGGCGAAATGACTGTTGACGGGGTTACCACTCGGGTGCAGGCCGGGTGCACTGTTTTTATTCCGCGAAATGCTGAGCATGGGATTGTTAATACGGGTAGTGGAGTGCTGAGGTGGTTTTATGTTTTTGCTGTTGGATCTTTTGGGGATATTGTTTATCGGTTTTCGGGGGAGGCGGGGGAGAAAGCCAAGTTGTGAGATTAACCCGTAGTATACGGTATCTGGGCTCTGAATCGTCTCGAAATCACAGCATGTGTAAAGCTGTAGCTTGTTTTCCTGAATCCAACCTTTTTCTTCTTCTTTTTCTTTGGTCGTCAGCCAAGCTAACCTAGCTCTTCTCCTGTGCTGCATGCAGTATTTGCATTACACGTTCCAGCTGCAAGGGGAGAAAAGCATCGCAAACCTGCTCATTACCACTCGTACCCACTCTCCACGAGGACCTGGCGGCATAGCTGGTCATTTAGTGTTATGCATACTCAAAGAAATGATGTTAGGGGGTATTATTCAATCCAAGAAAATAGCGCACCAAGGCTCATATAAGGCTACCTCAAAGCAGTTACTTGAAAGCGTACAGCCTCCCTTAACTATGTATCGTATATCACCGATCCGATCCCTTAATATTATCAGAAAATCAATTCACTTCCATTGTACAAACTCTGATGCCTCAAAACGCAAGCACAACTATACTTCTCGCTCTCGCTGGCCACCGACGAATAACCCGACACCATACGATATACTCGGCACCCAAAGAGGCCAAAAATATCTGAAGGCAAGATACTATGACCTGGTCAAGACCTACCATCCAGACCTGAACATGACTTCCTCCCGTGAAAGTTTGTCCAAAGAGGAACGAGTAGAGCGGTACCGCCTCGTTGTCGCCGCACACGAGATTCTTTCGGATCCCCAAAAGCGTGCGGCATATGATGTATACGGAATCGGCTGGGGAGCGCCATCTAACTGCTCTCAATGGAGTGATACAACGACAGCCCCATTCACGAACAGACGTCGCACCTATAGCTGGGAATATGGAGGCCACGCATCATCCGAGTTTGATATATGGGGCTTTCTTTCTACGCATAAAGATATCATCCGCCTAGTGGCGGTGATTTTCATTTTTGGCGACGCTTGCCTCTTCCTGGTTACTTTGTCCAAGGCAAAGGTTGAATTGGAACGGTTGGATATAGAGCTCAGGAAGCTTATGCTTCATCGTCAACAGCGGTCGCTTGATGCACCCTCGAGAATTTTACAGCTGGAGCGCTTCTTTCTAAGGAGAGATCCCTCTGGGATGGGCGTATTTCCTGGAGAGGAGTCTTCTTACCGTGAGATTCTTCCATTGTGTATGCATTGACGTTATTGTAAGGAGTTTTGGAGTGTATCTTTTTCCGGCACTATATGCATGTATAGAGCTCACGTACTGTTCATTAAGATGGCTACATACCACGGGCGATATTTAATGTCTTTGGTATCCTATGGTCGTCAATGTGATCCGTACTGATCAACGATGAGGGGATTTGCGGTCTCTAGAGAATTTGACGTAAAGTCGCTCCACCACGCTCGGAAATGTGACCCTGGAATGACAACATGGATGGAAAGAGATTGTCTAGCCGGATTGTTCAATGACAATTTTCCTCCGTTGCTCGATATGATATCATCTATATTTGTAGTATGTAGGTGGGCCTGAGAGGCAGGTCCGACAACAAAAGACAAAAGAAAGGTCTCCCCAAGGATTCTCAAAATTCTCCATGCAAAGTACCGAAATCATAGTATAGTCCAAATCAAGTCATAAACACAGGTTCATCTACGCAGGAAGCCCCGTTCTTTCTCGTGATATCACCACGTGGGAATTGTGGCCATATGGATCGTCTCTCCCAAACATCATTGAGTTGTTTGTTCAGAACCATCGTGAATAGGCAATGAACCCTCCTGGTGATAGTATGGTTTGCAAAGCACCGAACCTAAGGCAACAATATATTTCAGTCTCTGATATGAAGTCAATCTAGAGACCAGTATGGTATACCTGGGGCAAGTGGGACCATGATCGCCCAAACTTCTCGACAATGACAATTCGCCCCATTGGTATGGGTGCAATTGGCGAGTGGGCGCCCGGCTTTGGGTATTCTTTTCATGGGGCGATCAAAATGTGCACATTTAGAAGATCGATGGCCTCTTATACATGATTCACTTCCTTGGAATCAGTAAGCGTCCCGATTGGAAAGTGAGCTCTTACCAAGACCATTTGTCGCCCTCCGAGTCAAAAGGCATAGTTCCAACGGGTTAAACAAAGGTAGTTTTTGAGAAATGGGAAGTCCAATATCCGCTTTCTGGATCTAGTTGCTTGGCGGGGTTGTATAAGATGTAATTTGCGCAAATGTGCTCAAATTGCGCCTGAGTCCATTATCGACTGTGATGCATCATTTTTCCTGTTGTTTCTTTTAGCTCATGTAACTGCCAAAAAATCCCCTCGGAAGGGGTTTGCATAGAATCGTTGTTCCTAGTTAGAAGCCCTTGCTTGAGGGAGATCAAGAGTCAGAATTAACCAATTAGCTAGTCTTGGGCATGTTTGTTCTTCTAGTTGCTATGCGTGCATGAGATTCTAACACGGGATTGCTAGCCAAAATGGCTCTTTCGACAATATATCGTATTTAGCTCTAACATATCAATATCCTATCAAGAATGTATAAAGCAAATATGAAGGACGATGAATGATCCCAAGCAACACTTATGGCGTGCACGTAACTTATACATATTGGCAAGGTTCTAACAGAGATTTGCGCATTCATGCATTGAACCACATCTTTGCCACTCGTACTGAAGGATCGTATGCAGCATTCAAATAGAGCCTCCATGGACGGAAACTGACATGCGACGCGTTGCATTCCAAATAAAACGCCACGGGAGCCTCGCTATCACGATTAAATGCCCTTATTACCTCGGCCACTGTAAAGGCTCCATAAATCAGAGACCCAGTAGTGAACAACGTCAAACTGCTGGGGTCAAACTGCTGGAAAACCCGAGGCTAGGATTAGATGCCCTTCTTTTCTAATTTTCGAAGCTTGTTCATTTAGCTATGCATCCAATCAGTGGGACCGCGACAGTGGAGCCTATCATAATTGCGGCGAAGAATGGTAAGCCCCAAAAAGAAGATCTGAAAAGCGCATCTGTAGAGCAAATTTGTTCTGCTGAGCATATAGATGTTCTGGGTGCACCTAGAATGCGAGATGTATACATTCGTACATAGCGTGGGGTGCCTTGGTGCCAGATTGCCAGGTATACAGCCAGATGGAAACAGAGGCTATCCACAGGAGACTTGCTAACGTAAGTAGTGTCCAGCGATGCGCACCGTTTTAGGACTGCTGCGAAGAACACAATCATAAGGACTATAACGCATCACATAGCAATATTTCCATAGGTCAAGTAGCCAAGTATGTAGGGCGAGTTCTGCTAGCCTAGGGTGGTTTACCTCATCCCCTAATATCTGAGATACACGCGGTGGTAGTAAGGGCAGCGGGCGTATCCCTTGCTGGGATATAGGGTTTGTCGCCACGGCGAACGCCAAAATATTTATTCAGACAGTGTTAAAATGTCGCTAGAAGTTAGATATACTCCAGTAAGAGGAAGATATGAAAAAGAACAAAAAAAGAAATTTGAGGGTAACCCGTCTCGATCAGATAACCTTGTGAACTGGAGTCACACGCGCTGCCAATTGCGCCATACCCCCGAATTGGTGAAAGGAAATGCCCCACCAAACCCTATCACCATTCCTCTCAACGGCCACTTTAGGAGAAGATTGTTGCATACTTCTAAATCAATATAACGATATTATACTGGCCCTAACGTAAGACAGAATAAAATTATTGTTTATAAATTTATTCAGCCCAATGATAATTAGCTGGATTAAATTTGATGCGTGGAGATACGTTTATGCACTTTTGTGTAGTGATGTGTGCTGTTATATATAAAGACATCCAGATCAATGTATTAAAGTAATTTATCAAGAGATTATAAAGGCCTTTGCACCTAGAATTTCGAGCACAGAGAACGAGAACATACCCACGACCATAGCTATTAGTGCTTTCTTTACATCGACACGCTTGTTTCCTCACACGCGACCGGAATTTGAGACCACATGCAGCGAGTAGAGAAGTTACACTAGAGCCTAGACGGTGGATTCTACTCTACCTATAGTATATAAACCAGATGAAAGCCTAATAAATAAACAAAGAATGGATAGAGGTAAAGGGTTTGAGTGTCGAGGCTGCATGACTCCCTTCTGATTTGCCCATTCCATACAGCCCTTTTTTTTTTCTCAATTTCAAGCGCTTTCCAATCCCGTGAGACTCACATACCATTAATGTAGCCAGACATATCTCATGCACTCATTAGAAGTGGGGTGTTGTACGTCGCTCTGCCAGTGTGCACCCCTGTGCTACTGTACACGTACTTGCATGCGTGGGCAAGTACATCAACCTCAGGGGTTGGAAATCAATAAGCATGATTAAAAGCATGGTAATCAAAACCGAACCAGTTGCAGCCACCTACTTCATATCTACAGTGTTACGGCCCCCACCGTAAGATCTATTTAAATCCACGAGCAATAGACAAAAGATCAAACACCAAAGGAACAGCGCTCCATCCAAAACAAAGCATGTCCAGGGATGGTACCAACACAAGACACATTGGAACCCAAACCAACCCACAACATACCATAAATAGCATCCAACCTTCGGCCGATCTGTGTTATCTGCACCTGCATGCAAGACCATCAATTCAGCCAAACCCTGTACATCACAAACATACACTGGCGAGCAAATGAAAGCAGTCTGGTGGATCAATTAGGCAAATGTATTCCAAATCCCACAATATCACACACCGAGGGAGTGGCACATTCCCCATAACTCGCCAGATCCAATGGTGCAATTGGCCCTAATGAAGAACTGTATGGAGCTGGTCCCACCGAGATCGGGTTTCAGCTCTGATTCTTTCCCACGTTCTCGGATCTTCATTCTGCATGTATATGTAAAAGGGAATATAGCACCGAGCTTTGGTTCCCGAGTTTACCGTGCCTTTCCGAAGATACAGTAATGAGCTACATGCATTGTGTTGCTCACTACCCCTATTTGGGTGGCGTGGAGGAAAGTTTCCGAGGAGTGGTAAAGTATGGCTACGCAGATCCCGATCGATCTCGGGAGATTATTGCTAGGGTTCTGAATTGACTAGTTTTTGTGGGTTATCATTTAATAAATGCCATTAGTGTACCATACATTGAGGTTATGACATGGAATGACGACCTCACTGTACTCCGTAAACATGTACCCCATAATGCTATGCAGAGTATGAAGTCAAGATTGGTTCGGCCAATTGCCTTTTTGGATGGCTTGCATAGTGCGCTTGGGCCCCGGTTCGTATCACACTCGGGTATATCAAGCCAAGCAGACAGCTCTACACCCGGGCTTGTACAGATTAGGGTCGCAAAAAGAGTGTCTACAGTATGCTCGGACCTTGGGGACAACATGAAACACCCCAAGGTCTGTGATATAGTACTAAATTCGTAACGTAAAGACCAAAAGCAAAGAAAAAATAAGAAGAAAAGGGGTAAGCCGCCCTATGACCCACAATATTAAGCCCGAACAGGTGATAGTGCAGGTTTAACCCTCAGACCTTGACGCCGCCATATGCCACATGTTATATTTATATGTTATATGTTGGATGTCTGGATAGATCAGGAACAATGGTGTATGTCCCTCGCATAGATGTGAGTGACCGTAAACTTATGTAGACTCTACACACGTATGAACTCGGATGTTCGGATGAATCAACCCCTGAACCGCCCCTGTCAAGCCGTCTCCGCTGGACATGCACGGCTCAGCAACTCCTGATGTGGGGGGCGATCTGCCTTTCCTTAAAATCCGTACAGAAGAGAGCAAAACGTGGCGTCCCTGGGATACTAAGCCAAGCGTTTGGTTCAACGGGCTTCGTACTCCGCTCGTTTTGATATCCCTCTCTATCCTACTTCCTTCACATCCTTGCCTTGAGTTCTCTGGACTATACTTCATTACGCCAGTTACGCCATCCCGCATCCCTACATTCCCGACATCCCTCGTCTTTATTGGCAATTAACTTCGCTTTTCCCCGTGCCACGCATCGCTCCGATGCTAGAGCACATTCACAATGAGTGTTGTCGCTACTAGACCGGAGAACCCGGGGTTCTACAGCTCAATCCCTGAGGACCATGTTGCCGTCTACACTTCGCCTGTCCAGCCAATTGCCTCGCGAACGTCGTCCGTATCCTCCTATAGAACCAACTACAGCGCCTCAACCGCGCCGACCACATATTCCCCCTCCTCGCCCGCCTCGTCCTGTCGCCAATTCGACTCCCAGGGCTCAATTCCCAAGATCACAGAGCCCATTCAACGTCGTATACCCCAGGAGGTTTACGAGGTAGTGATTCACCATCTGGAGGAATTGCACAAAGGCCAGCACCAGGCAGGATGCACGACGTGTTTCCAACGCGATCTTCATGCCTTGTCCTTGACGTGTCGATCTTGGGAAAAGGCCGTCAGAGCGCCTCTGTGAGTACCAGTCTGGCCCGTCCCAGTTGCAGGGTTTTGCAGGAATATGTCCGATTCGCTAACCATGCCATAGTTATCACCATATTCACATTGTTGGAAATGACTCCCCGGCCCAATTGAAGAAATACCGTCTGAAGCGCGGAAGTCGCCTGAAACTCCTGAGACGAACCCTGCGCGAACGAAAGTTGTTGGCCAATCTTGTTTACGAATTACGCGTGCCACAGTTGGACCTGCTCTTTACCACCACAAAACAAAGTGCCCAATGGCAGGAATACCGCGACCTCGTTGCATCGGTGGTTATGGTGTGCCCGAACTTGGAACGTCTCTTGGGCTTGTCTATCCCCTATCACCACGAATTCGACCGTCTGACCCATGCTCTGTCGACTCGCAAAAAACTAAAAGAGCACACCTGGGTTCTGGGCGAGGCTGCGGAAGTATCGGAGGTGTCTCCTCGCGACGACTTCTGTCCTGGAAGTTTGGGTCCTTCGCAGATGTTTGAATTCCTGGACTACCACACCTCTTGGTCAAGCTTGGAGACACTGATGCTTTATGGGTTGAACGGCAATGGCGCGTTAGAGCCTAGCATCTTCTTACGAATGTTCCACCTTCTCCCCTCCCTGCGAAACCTGTGCATCTCCTCTTTCAACGAGGACGCCTTTGCCGATAGCACCTTGCTGTGCCTACCGCCATTGGAGTCATTGCGACTAGAGAACCTGCCCGGCATCACAGACGCCGGTCTCACACAATATACGTCTCGTTCCGAGTCAGCTTCCCTCAAGACTTTTGTTCTAGTGGAGCAGAACATCGAGTCCCTCCTTGTCATTTCCAAGATTCTTTCATCACTACGACAGCTCGAACGATTCAAGATCGTCCAGACCGAAAAATGCCCAACTTTACCAAACGAAGACATGATCTTCCAGCCTATCCTTGCCTCGTCGACTTTGAAATATCTTCACTGGGATGTGGCGTGCCCGGACCCAGGCACAGCTCTCACTCAACTTGATACCCTTCCCTTCCAGAAATCCACCAAAACCTCCAATACCCCCAACTCTCATCTTGCCCAAAGCATTCTCTCCGCCGGATTCCCAGAATTGGAATCCCTCCGCGCACCCAATGACGTGGAACCCCTGGCGCGCTCCAGGCTGCCTGCCGGCCCATCTTAAAGGGACAGGCTTTGCTCCGACCAGACCGATACAGTCTCCCTCGTAGCTCATATGGGTCTGTCAATACTCGGCCGCTCGCTCTGCCAGCCGGTAACAATCTAACCTCTGCTCGGATCCGCGCCCAAACATTCATTGACATGGCGGCGAAAGATACAGAGGCAGGGATGCCAGTGCTGATCCAGGATTACTCGGACAGCTTTGTGCCCGACAATGCGCAGGCCACCCAATTTGAGGACGAGCCCGAGCAAGAAATGGACGATTACGGCATCTGGGCCGCCTGCGAGCGATACAAACACCAGGAAAACAACCACGACGGACCAAAGACAGTGTATGAGTTCCACATGCCAGCCTTCATGGGCCGCAGCGGCGTTAGAGATCCCGCAACCGGTGCCTCAATTCCTCAATTCATCCTCCGCCCCGACATCACGGGCCAGGAGGCTGACGGTGGTTTGATTGGGTGGAAGCAACTCCTCGCATCGAACCAATCCCTCTCATACGCCGCCGGAGTAGGCGTCAATTGCTTTGAGAAGGGCTCAAGCCCTCCCATCCCACCCCCGAAGAGGTTGCCTCGCCTTCCTCTGGCACATCCCGCTTCGGTTGGGGCAGCTTGAGTGGTCGGTCGGTTATGGGTACCTCTCCTTCGACGCCTATCACTCCGATCACACCTATGAGCAGTATGTCTAGCCAGGCATTGCCATGGGAAAAGGATACCTGCACCGGTTCCTGGAACCACAAAACAGGCCGAGAGTGGTGGTTCCATATGGAACGTGATCGTCCGAGCAATACCGAGCTCATTGATATCAAGCAACTTTTCTGATTTGCTTTTTACTTCTCTTCTTCCCTCTTTTCGATTTCTTGTCAATAGTTTCATACGTTATATACCCCGCCCTTGTTCGATCTCTTTTTCTACCTCAGTCTCTTTCTTCTATTTGGGTACTTTCTTATTGTACATGTTTCATGATACATGCGCTGTGTCAGATGTCGGGGCGTTGCATAATGGTTCATGCACATGACACGGATCTATTGGTTTTTATCTCATTTGGTCTGTACCGTCATTCCGGCGCTTGTGTTTTCTGTTTGAGTCTGCGACTCTCTGTATCATATTGTACAGTAATAATTAAATGTAACGTTATAGCTTCATATGCATAACTCGATCTATCAAATTGGACTAAATCGGAACTATAAAAACTCACGTGCCCAATGACTCATCCGGGGCAGAATCGGACCGATAAGTGGGACTGATAAGCATATACAAAGAACCCCTCGTTGAGAAAAAATATCCCCCACATTTGTCCCTACACTCATTCGTCGCAATGGATCCCGGAAAGCCTGTTGATCTGCCCGAGAGGCCCAAGGAGGCCACTGAGCCCACAGACCCGAACAAGAAGTCCAAGAGCCAGCTCAAGAAAGAGGCGAAGGAGCAGGCCAAGAAGGACCGCAAGGATCAGCCCAAGCCTGTCAAGGAGAAGGCCCCCAAGGCTCCCAAGGCCAATGCAAAGGAGCCTGCTGCTCCCCGGGACCCTGATGCTATGTTCAAGGTCGGTTTCCTGCAGGATGTCTACCAGGAAAAGCCACTCTCCGAGACTGTCCCCAAGATCCGCACACGATTCCCGCCCGAGCCCAACGGATTCCTCCACATTGGCCACAGCAAGGCTATTGCCATTAACTTTGGATTCGCCAAGTACCACGGCGGCGAGTGTATCCTGCGCTTTGACGATACCAACCCAGAAGGCGAGGAGGAGCGCTACTACAATGCTATCCGTGATATCGTGAGCTGGCTGGGATTCAAACCTGTGCGTGAAACCTGCGCCAGTGACAACTTCGACCGACTCTACGAGCTTGCCGAGGACCTCATCAAGCGTGATGGCGCATATGTCTGCCACTGCACCAAGGCCGAGATCAAGGTCCAGCGTGGAGAGGGAGAGGGCGGCCAGCGCGGCGGAGAACGCTTCGCTTGCAGCCACCGCACCCGTCCCATTGAAGAGTCCATGACTGAGTTCCGTGCTATGCGCGATGGCAAGTACAAGGCCGGTGAAGCTGCTTTGCGCATGAAGCAGGATCTCACAGACCCTAACCCCCAGATGTGGGATCTGTTTGCCTGGCGTATCATGGACAGCGAGGAAAAACAGCACCATCGCACTGGTGGCAAGTGGAAGATCTATCCCACCTACGACTTTGCCCACTGTCTGTGTGATAGCATTGAGGAGATCTCACACTCTCTCTGCACGACTGAATTCGAGCTTTCCCGCGTCTCGTACGATTGGCTCTGCGACAAGCTGGAGGTCTACCGTCCCAACCAGCGCGAATATGGCCGTCTGAACATTACCGGCACAGTCCTCTCCAAGCGCAAGATTATCCAGCTTGTCAAGGAGGGCCACGTCCGTGACTGGGACGATCCCCGCCTGTACACCCTCATCGCCCTCCGCCGCCGCGGTGTTCCCCCCGGCGCCATCCTCTCCTTTGTCAACGAACTTGGCGTAACAAAGAACACAACCAATGTCCAAGTCGCCAAGTTCGAGCAGGCCATCCGCCAGTACCTGGAGACCACGGTGCCCCGTCTAATGGTCGTCCTCGAGCCATTGAAGGTCATCATCGACGACCTCCCCGACGGCCACGTCGAACTAGTTGACTCCCCCTTTTCCCCTAAGGACCCCTCCTTCGGTACCCACAACATCCCCTTCACAAAGACAATCTACATCGAGCGCTCCGACTTCCGCACCGTCGACTCGCCAGACTACTTCCGCCTCGCCCCCGGCAAGACAGTCGGTCTCCTCAAAGCCCCCTACCCAATCACCGCGACCTCCTTCGAGACCGATCCAGCAACAGGCGAGGTCACAGTCGTCCACGCCAAATACGAGAAACCCGCCGAAGGCGAAACCACCAAGAAGCCCAAGTCCTTCATCCACTGGGTCGGCGAGTCCGCCGAACACAACAGCCCTATCCGCGCTGAAGTCCGCGCTTTCAATTCGCTTTTCAAGTCTGAGGATCCATCTGCGCACCCTAAGGGTTTCCTTGCTGATATCAACCCCGATTCTGAGGAGATCTATAAGGATGCCATGGTTGAGACTGGTATCGTGGATATTTCCAAGTCTGCGCCTTGGCCCAAGGCTGCCGCCGAGGATGATGTCGAGAATAACAAGCACTGTGTCCGATTCCAGGCCATGCGTAACTTCTACGTCTGTGTTGATCGTGAATCGACTCCTGAAAAGCTTGTGCTTAATCGCATTGTTACGCTTAAGGATACCCAGGGTAAGAATTAGATTTGTTGGGCTTCCTTATCTCGGGGGAATTGCCTGTTCTTTGAATGTGCCTCTGGTTTTTGTCTCTTAGAATATCATGTTGTGGTGTGTGTGGGAGTGTGTTTCGGGGTGACTATGGTTGTTATGGATTTATGACACTTGCATTTTTGTTTCAGCTTACAGGTTTTCAAATATGAAAAACATATCATATACATATGTATAAATATACCTATCAGATAGCAACACGATGCCTGTCAAGATGCTGATGAACGAGGATTCCATCGGGTTGATGGCACCCTCCTGGGCGAAGTTTCGTGGCCAGAAGAGGCCTCGCCACTTAGTAGTATCCCCCAATTGACTACTTTGAATGCGGAAGGGTCGATTTCTCGAATAATGGGAGGAGAGATAAACTGGCCGTCCTTGTTGATCTTCGTCTCGTGAAATTCTGTGTCAATCGAACAAAACAGCAAACGGACAGCAAAGGGCCGGGGGGTGATAAAATCTGGCCGCTAACATTTTCCATGAGTGGGCTGGTTACCTGTCCCTTTTCCTTCTTGCGAGAGGGTGGGCATGATGCTGCTACAAAGTCTGGGCACGTATGAGAAATGCGTACTTAAAAGTGAGTGTCACTTGCCAATTCAAAGGCAGAGAATGCCTCGGACGAACGCAGCACACATTCACTTCGAGAGCATCGGAATTGTGGTCAAATTCAGCAAGAGAAGAATGAAAGTTGCTACATCCCTTCCAGCGATAGTTGTGTAACCCCTGCACCTTTCTAGTGATTGCCAGGACACCCGCACGCAAGTGTCTTTCATTTGGCAGTTGGGTTAGCCCATGTAACGAGGATGACAAACGGACTTTCGCTTGAAAAATAATCACTGGTCGACCTCGTCGACGCACTGGTCAGGTAGCTCTGACACCTGCCGGGTCTGAAGCGGCCCTTTGATATTCTCATGACCAGAAACAGGGTCTCGGTCTCCAGTCAGAGCATGAAATGTGCGGCCCAGTGTTTGCAGTGCATACATATAAAATGTATGCTAGGCTAGACAGCACCATTGGGATCTTCTTGCTCGATATGGGTTCGGTTAGCTAATATTGATAGTTTGATAACAACATTGGTCTAAGACTAGAGGTAGGCGGAAGTGTTGTATTTAGAAGTCCATAGAATATAGTTCATTGGGGTATGACATGGCATTATGCATAGCGAATTACCGACCTCATCAAGCCGAGGAGCATACATATATGACACGACACAAAAGAAACGAGGAAACAAGTAGAGAGAAAGGCAAGCACAAAAGGACATCAGAGAGCACACTGCTGTCTAGTCTAATCTAAACATAGATGCCCATGTTGGTATCCTTCTTCTTAGCCTGGACCTCAGCAATGGCATCGACATAGTTCTCATGCCCGATCTTGCTAAGACCCTTCCTCAGGGCAATCATACCAGCCTCAACGCAAACAGCCTTGAGTTGGGCACCACCGAACTCGTCCGTGCTGCGAGCCAACTCGGCCCAGTTGACGCTGTCCTCAACGGACATCTTGCGAGAGTGAATTTGCAGGATGTTGGCACGGGCTTCCTCGTTGGGCAGGGGGAATTCGATCTTACGGTCCAGACGACCGGAACGAAGGAGGGCAGGGTCCAGGACGTCGACACGGTTGGTTGCGGCTAGGACCTTGATGCGGTCGTCGGAGGCGAAGCCGTCCAGCTGGTTCAGGAGTTCCAGCATGGTACGCTGCACTTCACGGTCACCGGATTTCTCAGAGTCGAATCGCTTGGTTCCCACGGCGTCCAGTTCGTCAATGAAGATGATCGAAGGGGCCTTCTCCTTGGCTAGGGCGAAGCAGTCGCGAACAAGCTTGGCTCCGTCTCCGATGAACATCTGCACCAGTTGGGGACCCGCGAGCTTGAGGAATGTGGCGTTTGTCTCGGCGGCACAGGCTCGGGCGAGGAGGGTTTTACCGGTACCTGGGGGTCCGTACATCAGAGCACCTGGATATATAGTTAGCATTAAATGAATAGACTGCAACAGAGGATAACACACCTTTAGGGGCCTTGATGCCAATTTTCTTAAAGCGCTCTGCCTCCTTCATCGGCCATACGATAGCTTCCACGATTTCTTCGATCTGCTTATCGAGACCACCGATATCCGTGTACTTCTCCGTAGGCTTCTCGTCAACCTCCATTGCCTTAACGCGGTTGTCATACTCGGCCGGTAGTGTGTCCAGGATGAGATATGAATCCTTGTTAACACCAATGAGATCACCGGGTTTGAGCTTTTCGTGGTCGACGAGACCGATGAGGGGAAGGAAGATAGTCTGGCGAGTGGAGGTCTTGATGACGGCGGATTTGCCTACGCGGGTGGCATCCAGGTCGATATTGGCTCCTTCCTCTGCTGCCTCTGCCTCCACATCGAGATCCAATAGCTCAACGACGTTTCCAACGAGGTATGGTAGTTGTCTATATTAGAAATGAACAAGTCAGTAAAGAGAAAAGGCAATGAGGTTTCGCAGGTTCCGTTACGAAGCTTCGCGAGCCCGCGGAACCGCAAAGAAGACGTTCGACACCGCACCTGTTGTT